TTTGGAAAAGTCAATGCAACTCAAAGAAGAAACCTTGCTCTTGTAGCAGTAGCATCTACAAAAATGAGAAGCCTTTTCCATTATCACAATGATGTTGTGCACCTGCTTTGAAAAGCTTTCCACAAATGTATATTGTTATTAGCATCTAAATAGGTTCCAAGCCAGTGTTACTTTACGGAATATGGCAAGAATTGTATACACACACCCTGAAATCAATGCCCTTTTGCAAGAAGAGATATTGGGGGACTGTGCTACTGTTTTGTCTATAGTTTTTTGTGCTTGAAATACATGTTTTGCCTTCAACAGACAAAGAGCTTAATTGGTTGCTCTACTGAAGATGAACTAAGCTCTTCCACCAGCTCCACAGAGAGATCAGATGGAGACAGTAAAGAAGGGTAAGGCTTCTCCCTTAACCGTAGGCATTCAGTGTATTTCTGCCAGTTTGTATTTCTCAGTGCAGAAAATATTGATCTGATGTGTAGAGATCTTTCCTATTCTAATTAATTCAAGAGGGTTCTGAAAACTTCTCTGTGTGAAATAAACAAGCAGAAGGTTCATGTTTGGGTTATACCTTCAGAGAAACTGAGTACAGCTGGCTTAAACTAGTTGTTATCTCTTTCTGTCAGGGTCATGCTGACTATAATAATAGGCCAGAAGGAGCCTGGATTTTCATTTCTCTATCTCTTTTCCTTCTGGTGTGGCCATAGTATGCTTAGTGTTAAGGTTTAGACCAGGCATCCTCATCCTCAGCCCTCCAGATGTTTTTGGCCTACAACTCCCATGATCCCTAGCTAGCAGGACAAGTGGTCAGGGATGATGGGAACTGTGGTCTCAAAACATCTGGAGGGCCGAAGTTGAGGAAGCCTGGTTTAGACTTATTATAAGTTATTGTAAGTTTAAATTAAGTCTGCTGCAACTAGATTTCTTATGGACAGTGCAAATCCTGAATGTATTGGATTATGCACATTTGCCTTCAATAGCAGTAAAGCTCTGCTGGATGAAATACAATTGCCTCTGGTCTATTTTTTGGGAATCTTGCAATGTGTTTAAGTTGTTGCTCTGCTAACTATACATTGGAAGCTACTCTGGATCAATATTGAGTAGAATTTCACAGCAATTTGTGCATCTGCGTACCACAGCCACACAGATGGCAGATCATCCTGCCCTTCAAGACTCAGGGAAATGTTTCTCTGAATTAGCTTCAGGAAGCATTAAAGATTCTTCGATATAAAATGGTTTTTAAAAAAGATTTTTAGATCATTCTTTTTGCTGTTCTTTAAATAAGAATTCCAATGCTTATCACACAGCTCCTGATCATGCGCGTCAGTGTTTTACAAGGACTGACCCACTTCTTGCAGCCATTCAACTACTTCTCAAAAAATGCTTTTGAACACATTTCAAGTGTTGTTTTTTTAAACAAAAAGACAAAAAAGTTGTACAATATAAGTGAGATACATACATTAAAGAAAATACATGCCCTGATTTAATAGCATAATTTTGCGTATTGCTAGTCGAATTAAGACCCTTCTTGCCAATGTACTTTCTTCTGCTGATTAATTTTAAAAAATTGGTATTAAAATGTTTTTGAGATTATTATTTTTATTAACTCAATCTGCCTTGGTAATCTTTGCCTTAAACACAAACCTCTTAATCCTGGGAAAACCCTTTCCCCAGTATGACACTCCATCAAACGCATCGCTGGGATCTAAGGATTAGACAGCTCAAACTGGTGTTATTAAAGCAGTTGTGAATTTCCTGATTTAAATCTCATCTTCCCTATAAAGTCATTAGGCAGCCTTAAGCAAGTCATTCTTTCCTCTTTGCTGCCCACACTCCCTATCCCCTTATCTGCTTTTCCCTACATCTGCTATATTGTTTGACCTTTATATAAGGTTGCAAGCATTACTAGCAGTGTATGTGAAGTGCTTTGAACTTTAAAAAAGCATTAGAGAAATGTTAAGTAGTACTTCCTCAGTCAGATAAAAACAGCCTTTCACAAAGGCTATCATAGTTCATGCAAGCCAAATCTATTTTCACAGAAATAATGTTCTGGTACATTCCATTTATTCAGTATCCTTTTTCTTTCCATGTCCTACTTAACTGTTACACTCTCTCTGCATCTAGGCTTACTGAGCAAATAATTTCCCATGGGTTTGACACACTCTGCATTTCCGCAGATATACTCTCTTTAAGATACTGGCCCCATTTACATGCCACAGTAAAACCAGGGGTGAGAACACTTTGCGGCTTGAGGCCCATATGCCATTGGTGGCTGGGACCTGAGGCAAAAGTGTGCAGAGCAGCAAGCCAGAGGGAAGATAGCTCCCATTTCGCTCCTCCTTATATGAGCAACAAAGTATGACTTAGCATTATGTCTAAACTGGAGCCAAGGCTTGCACTTGGCTTCCCAACTGTTGTTTGGTTGAGTTAAATAACCCATGATTCTGCCCGTTTGCATTTCTTAGTGCAGAAAGTTTTGCTCTGATGTGTAGAGATCTTTCCTATTCTAATTAACAGCTGCCCTGTGTGAAAGAAACTTCATGATGTTTGGGTTATTCCTTCAGAGCAGCCGAGTACAGCTGGCTTAAACTGGTTCTGTTATCTCTTCTTTAAGGTCATGCTGACTATAATAAGAGGCCAGAAGGAGCCTTTCTCTATCTCACTTTTTCTCTCTATCTCGTTTTCCTCTTGTGTGGTGTTCTGTACATAGTATGTTTAGTGTTAAGGTTTAGACTTATAAGTTATTGTAAGTTTAAGTTAAGTCTGCTGCAGCTGGATTTCTTATGGACAGTGCCAATCCTGAATGTATTGGATTAGTGATCATTATGCTCATTTGCTTTCAGTAGCAGTAAAGCTCTGCTGGATGAAATGTAATTGCCTCTGGTCTGTTTTCTGGAAATTCTGCAACATGTTTAAGTTTTTACTCTGCTAACTATACGTTGGAGTTCTGCTCTGGATCAATACTGAGTAGAATTTCAATGACAGATTCCACTTCAGATGTAATGCTAAGCCAATGATCAGGGTGTGTTGTTCCTGCTCACTGGGGGTGGGGTGAGGGACTGGTATCCTCAAAGTTTGATGTGGGCTTCTTAAAGGAAGGGCTTTCTAAGGTGGGGAGAAGAAATAAGGACAAATTAAGGAAAAAGGAGGACGACCAGAATAGAAACAGATCAAGGAAACAAGCAACCTATAAGAATTGTCCATTACAATAACCTAATACCCCATCAGTATTAAAGAGTTCTTTCTGTAGCCTTAAACCCACTGTAAGTTCCCATAAATTGTGCATTAAAAACTTAATATTTTTATACCTTTTGCAGAAAAACAAATGAGATGCATGACTTGGTGCAGCTAATGACCCAAACGCTAAAAATGGATAATAAAGAAAATTGTTCACAATCTGCAATACTAGCTCCCGAATCGCAGTTCCGGCTTAATAGGAAATACAAAGACACCCTTAAATTACATGGAAAAGCGTCAGAAGAACCAGATGAATTCCAGTTGCAGGAGTTTCCTTCAGGTCTGTATCATGTTTGAAAGGAATCATTCCCAGATTAGGTATTCTGCTGTACCATTGAATTGCAGGAACATTATTTCAATTAAAAATGTTTGCTTATAAAGAGGGGAAATAGGGCTGTTTGCTCCACCTCTTCTGTCTAGAAGTGCACAATTGAGCCCTCTAATCCATCCCCTTATTTTAAATTGCAAAAAGCTATGCCCTCTTTCGCAAGACTATAAACTCCAAGCCTCATGTGAGAAAAGGGTACTGATGCTGGACTGGGAAAAGTTGTTTGTATAGTGAAGCAGGAAATTTGAGATTTGAAGTCTGGGAAGTCCTTCAGATGGATATTTGTTTGCACCAGAATAAAAGGAAAAGTGTTTCACCAGGACTCCTACAATTACAATTTAGATTTCTGGCAACTAAAACAAAATAATAAACAGAGAATTAAGGATATCTAATATGTTTCTGCTTATTATTTTAGATGTTCTCTCTGGTCATGAAAAGGTTAGGAGATTGGTAGAGATCTTAAGAGCAGATGTGGTTCAAGGACTTGGAGTGAAGCTTCTAGAGAAGGTGTATGATGTCATGGATGAGGAAGATGAACAGAAAAGAGAAGTATGTCTTTCATATTGCCCACTTGGCAACACTCTTCAACACTTTTTTTCTCGTCTAGCATTTAAAACAGCTAGTCCAGGTATTTCCCAATAACCACCATATATTTCCTTGCACAACTCCAAATAATGTACTATTTTGAAAACAAGCCTGTTTGTCCTACAATTCTTATGCAGATCAACTCCTAATCCAGATAACATTAGTCATTATTAAATTCCAGTGATTGAAATTAATGGACACAGTGTAATCTTATTTCCTCTTACCATTTACGGTAACTCAATGGAGCTTCCTTCTGAATAAACTGCAAATTAATAGCGACAGAGTCCTATTTATTGCAAAGGGGCTTTTGCAGATAACCTCTGGAACAGGCTTCACTCTCTGCCACCATTTTAAAGTTTGAATACTTTCCATCTATGTGCACTTCAGAGAAGTGCCACTACTTGAAATTAGATGCTATACATAAACCAATGTAATTAAACATGTTTAACTTCACTGTAACTGATGGACTAAAGTACCCATAGCTAACTGAATGTCAAACATGAATTGACTGTTACTCTAAATTTGTGCAATTTCCAAAAGTTCACTTTGGGATGTTCTGCCTAACTATCTGATCCTGTTTCAGTGTTAGGAATTCCTGAACCTATGGATATCAATGTTTAGGAAGTTATTTAACTTTACATAAGACTGTAGCCTGAATATTTCACACTAGAATCATTTGTGTTTTGAATTACAACACAGAAAAGCCTTTTTTTTTTCCTACCCTGAACAGCTGCATTTGCGGAAGCTCATGGGAGAAAAGTATACTTCTTACAGCATAAAGGCCCACCATTTAAAATTCTTGGAAGAAAATGTGAAGCTTTGACAGAAACCTCAATTCAGCTATTTCTTTATGAAGAAAAGAGCAAGACTTTATTCAACAATTTTTACCCCAGTGGATTTTTATTTTCCTGTACACAACTGATTTGTGGGGTACAATTTTTACTTTACTGATTTGTTACCTGCTGTAGAGCTTGTTTAGCTTTACAAATAGCAACATGTTTCTTCCAGGTAAGTGAGTAACAGTGTTTAGGGATTTTTTTTATACAGGTAGTACATCTTAATATTTTCAGTTTTTTACATATTAAATTATTACTATAAATATCAAACATCATCAATGATGTTTTTTAAGGTTGCAATCCTGCCGAATCACAAATAGCCATCCCCACTGATTTGACCAGGTCTTGCATGTCGTTAATCCCGGCTTTCGATGCAAGTGTAGTAAGAGTAGGAAAATGCCAAAAATGTTTAGTCAACACCAGAGTAAGCCTGTTGTATCCCATACTTTGAATCAGACATCTAAGGAACAGGTTCTTTATATGTAGATACTGGAAGCATTTACTATTGTTGCAACCGTAATTATTAAAATTCAGATTAAAAACAAACACCCAGCTTTTGTAGCTACAATATTTTCTATGCACTCTAAGCAAAATGTCCTTAAACATGGCCTCTTTGCTCGTTTTTAGTGCTCAACTGCAGTGAGTTAGGATTTTCATTTGAAATAATAGGGCCAAGAAAGAGAAGACTCTTGCTGCTTTTCACAGTTTTATCTATGAGAGGAACATAGGAAGCTGCTTTATATGGAGTCAGACCATTGGTCCATCTAGCTCAGTATTGGCTACACTGGCTGGCAGTGGTTCTCCAGCATTTCAGGGAGGAGTCTTACCCAGCCCTGTCTGGAGATGCTAGGGAATGAACCTGGGACCTTCTGCTTGAAAGACAGGTGCTACCACTCAGCTCCAGGCCTTCCTCAAGGATGTTGTATGATGGGCTATACTCAAGAGATTTGCCCACCTAGGGGGATAGGCATAAGAAGACTTCTCCACCACCTCCTTTCCCCATTAGGTCACAAAAGCATTTCCTGACAAAAGATTACTCTGCCCAATTTTCTATGATCTGCCCCTTCCCCACCCCATTCAAACTTTCTTTAGGGACCAGCCCTGCCCTTCATTTTATGTGGACAGATTTCTGGATACAACCCAATTTAGATTGGTATAAGCAAGCTTCTAAGTTCCAGAGAATTCAAGTAGAATGAATTGCCATAAAATGTCCTACAACTGATGAAACATAGGAATTCTGATGAAGTCTAGGAAGCTACCTCTGGTTGATCCATTGCCCCGCTTGCTTTTTGCTGCAACAGCATAAATTGGGTCTTACAAAATGATAATCTCCCTTGGGACCAACAAGACAGAATATAACCCTTTACTGCTACTGTATTGTTGCTTTATGTGTGAATGTTTAACTTTAAAAAAGTGAGGCTAACTTTTGGTAAAATAAAGTACTTTTATCAAAATATTTTCCTTGCTTAGGAAAAACCCAGCTGGTTTTCATCCTGCAATCAATTAAAGAAAAGAAAATTTCATATGGTACTTTCCTTCAGCCATAATTACACAGCATATGTGTCTTGAAGGACTCCTGGCTAGATAAAGCCATGGGCTAATAATTTGGCTACAAGTTTAGTACATGGAAGATAGATGTACCTTGAGTACATTACATAGCTGTTTTGTACACAGTCGAATCAGTTGCTTGTTTTTCTTTTGGCTCCATTTTTGTCCTTTTCAATGGAGTTAAGTATACACACACTATTCACAGTACATGCTTGTGCTATAGTCTACTTTTTATTTTCATTTCTAAAGTTTTTCATAACCTTTCACATGACTGACTTGTATACTCAATATAGAGTTTGCAAAACCTGGAATAAATTGGGGTTAGGAAAAGACAATAAAAAGTCTCCATGTGGAAAAAGGATGGAAGAATTTTCTCAAGCATTCAAAGAGTCATTCAAAGAAAAAAAAACCTTTGCTTTTGGATATTTTAAACAATAAGGTACCTCAGACCTATTTGGAAACCATGGTACTTTTAACCCTCGGGAGCTGTAGGTATGTACAATGGCTAAAGGGTTAAATAGAAAAAAAATAAAGACATGTTTCAATGTTTAACATTTCCAATACCACCACCACCACTTCAGGCTCAGAATTACACTACAGGATGTTACATTGTCTCTAACACGCTGCTAAATCTACTTATTTTGGGCCACAGTGAAAATAGATAAAAACCGGAAGTTTTCCATGTTTAAAAGCAGTGTCTGTAAATTACTAGGTCCAGAAGCAAAACCAATTACGCCACACCCTGCTGTGATCTTCCTAAAGCATCAGGCTGGCAATGGATAAAATAAAATGCTGGATTAGAATCTTATGATTCTATCTCTATCAAAGATAGGCCACTCTAGCATTTTAATAGTAATAACTCCGTTTTAAACATCTGTTTTCCAGGCTGCTGTTAAGTCAAAAGCACTATCACATTGTTAAAACTCAAACTGTGCAAGGCCAATTTTAGAATACTGTCAAGGTATTCTCAAATAGCAAACCAAGTAAAAGGAAGAGGAATAAGAGATTTTAAATCAAATTTAATGACAGAAAATGATACAAGATATGTATTTTTTTCAGTTTTTAGTGTGCCTTTTTACTTTTCTGTCTGCTGGCTTCTTATCATCTACTGCAGATTCCTGGACAGGTAGCCACTTCAGAGGATTGCGACGGTAAATGGGCCACGGAGGAAGTGTGAGCTGAAATGAAAAATACAAACTTCCTTGACAATGTTTTTGTAAAAGTTTGAGCTTTGCCTATATTAACTTTTAGAGTATATACAAAGCAAAAGAGCAGTGTTTCTGTTTCTAGTAGGGGCGCCATATTTCAAAAAGTAAAAACCAGGATGTTTTTTTAGGAAGACCCCAAAAACTACAATAAGTTTTGGGGTTTGGAGCTTTTTAAGGCATTTTTGGTATGATTTAACCCCAGTTGCCAGTTTTCCAGGACATCTGCACAATTTCCAAAAAATAATCCAGGGCGCCATTTTCGAAGGCAAATTCCAGGACATGTCCTAGAAACTCAGGACATATAGCAGCCCTATTCTAGTGCAGTTATTTCAAACATAAGGAGAGAGAAAAAGACCGGCATAAAGAGCACAAAATAAAACAAGAGTATCAAGCTAATGGTACTGTTGAAGATTAGAATCATGTTAACACATTGTCCTAAAGAAACACATATTTTACTTATTTTGCATGGTATGAGCTTTCATTACAGCTCCATTCTATCACAAGCTTCGCAGAATTCACTGTTTTGCTACACACACAAAAAAAAGTAATATTCTTACCAAGCATGATAAAGCAAATCCAGCCATTACAATGTAAACTGTCCAGCCAAACTGTTCTGTGATGTACCCATAAATAAAGCCAATTACCTGCAAGAAACAATAGGTCAATGAGAATTCCAGGTCACTCTCCAAACCCAGAATGGAGAGAATTTTAAATGAGCATTTTAGCAAACATTTTAACTCATTTAGGGGGTTAATATAGGGAATTGATAGCAGCAGAACATTGGGCACTTAGCTGTCATTCATTTGGACTTGGCCCACTGCAATATTATTATTAATTCAACTTACATAATATAAACATATACAAGATAAATCAATAACTTAACAAGATTAATATTACTGTGACATGCTGACCTAGTTACTCAAGAGCTATTTTTTACAGTACTTAAGACAAAAGGCTGCAGCCCTAAACATACTAAGGCCACTAACCGCAGTAGAACTTAGTTCTGTAGAAACAATCATTAGCTTCGCCTCAGTATGCTACATACAGGCTGCAATCCAAATGAACACAATTGTTGCACTATTGCTATATGTATGCTTTAATTTCAGATACCATGTATTTATCGCCTTCTAACTGTTAAAAGCACAAAAAACAAATACTTTAAAAAATAAGACTAAAATATATGGCATTTTTGTTTACTTATACTTACAGCAGAGAAAAGAATGATTCCCTGAAAAATCTGCTCTGCTAGTTTTTGGCCTTTATAGTCCTGTGGGAATGGAAAAAAGATTTGTGAGCACCAGTATTTCCCCCCATGCTGCTTACAGTTTCTGTAATGATGGCATATAGATATAAGAAGATCCTGATTTAGTTTCCTGTGCCATCACTGCCATAGCAGCTTTGTAGGAATATTCATTGTCTTGTTTGCTGTCATGTTTCCATGGCTTCACTTATGTGAATATTCTGAAAAAAATGTCCTAACAACGTAGAAGCATCAGAAAAGGTTTCCACACAGTTGGGTGAACGTGTTGTGCTGGCACTGAGATTCTGCATTAAATAGGTGCAGAACAGTCGTGCGGGAAGCAATTATCCACGTCACAGCAATCAAGGCAAAATCATTCATGGGGCAGCTTCCACATGGCTGCTGTTAGCACTTTACTGTACTTATGTCAGATATGAACCCCTACTGATCCCTAAACTCAATATATGCTTTGACTAAACATGCCTAATACGCGGACCTCCGGAACGAATTAAGTACTTAACTCGAGGTTCCACTGTATTAAGCTCCGACTTCAACCTCAAGACTACAATTCTCAGCACGCTTTAGCTTACTTGGAAGTCAAGGCGCACGGAAATCTAAGGGGCTAGGCTTTTAAGTAAACACGAGATCGGGGGTTTACAATTGGTCGGTTCAATAGCCCCAAGTGTTTTCAGGCGTTCTGGCTCTTCTCTTTTTCTCCAAGCCCCCAGGGACGAAGAAGAAAAGAGTCGGCCCCCCCCCCAACATCCTATCGCTGGGCATCAAAGCCACCCGCGCTCCGCTTAGGACACGTCTGCTTTATTGTGGCAGGCGGCCAAGCAGCTCCCCCATCCCCACTTCCTGCCCGGCTTGGAAGCGGAGTAGAAAGCTCTCACTAATGGTGCGGGGGGGGGGGTCCGCAGGAGAGTCTCCCCCCAAAGCCCCCTCCCTCCCCGCCTGACCCACCATCTGTGTCGGGATGGATCGGAATACGCCGAACATGATGTCTGCCTGCAAGGCCACGTCTTGCGCTCCGCGGCCGTCGTAGACTCTCTCGCGGGGCAAAGGAGGCTCGCTGGTTTCGGGCTGCACCACAGGCGAGGAGGCCGAGTCGGCGCCGGGCAGGCGGGGTTCCTTAGCCCAGCCGGGGGTCCCCTTGCTCTCGGGCAGCAGAAGAGGGTCGCCCTGCGAAGCGGAAGAGCCCAGGGAGCAGGAGGCGGCGGCGGCAGCAGCAAAAGGCGCTTCCGGATCCTCAGACGAGGAGGCTCTGCGCCGTAAGGCGGGGGCCACAGAGCTCACCGGAATTGCCGCTTTCTTGCCCCGCCTCATCCTGCTCGCACTTCCGGGGCGGCAACCGCGTCGCGCAGTTGACCGGTCCCTCAAACGCGCTTAAAAAAACCCAACAACCACAACATAAACGCGCCCGCGACCCGAACCACCCGCCTCTTGGTCCGGCGACAACCTCTTTATGACAGCGGCAGGCTTCTCCGCGGCCTACGGAGCGCTCCGCCGACGCCGCGTCTCCATGGCAACAGACCCGCGAGGACCCCAACATTCCCCACCCGCGCGCGGAGGAGGGGACCTCGAGCGCTCCGAAGGGTCTTAACCGACTGCCTGCCCGCGCTTTTTCTTCCCCGACCGAGGACAGAACTTGTCGTTTCAGCGCATCGGGTGAACAAGGCTGCCCTGCGCGGCGCTGTGCGGCTGCGCCTGTTTTGCGCATTTGTTTGTTTTCCGATCAGGCACCGCGTGGGGCAGCTACTTGAGCCGCTGACAACTTTGCGCTGTTGAGTTGGCATTTCTCTCGCGGGTGCCAGACTGCGCGGAGGGAAGCAGGAGCGGGAGGGTCGCTCGCTTTCTGGAGAAGAAGCAGGTAAAGAGGTACGGTAACAACAGTCTCGGTGGCGTCGATCAACCCGTCCGCGCAATCCCCCACGCGCCATCCTTTCTGGCCGTCCACTTTCCTGGAGGAGCAGATCCCCTCGGATGCGCCGCTTTTCCGCTGGTGTCTGAGGATTCGGGCTGCTCCCGTTTGGGAGGCTGCAAAATAACTGGTGTGTGAGCCGGGGGCGGGGGGACCCATCACTGGACTTCGACTACACCGTGAGAAAGCGAATGGGCAGAGTATTATTATTATTATTATTATTGCAAATGGGCAGAACTAAGCAGACCGAAGGTTAGAAATAACGCGCGAGACAAAACGAATTAAATGTCAGTTTCTTTCAAAGGTCTGGAAAGGCTGCAGGCCACGCAGCTAGGTGACAGAACAGCGAACAGCCAACGGAGCGCTGCAAAAGCAGTTGCCTGCCTTTAATTCTTCAGAATTAAATCTCTCTCTTTTCAAGCCAAGGGCTACATTCTCTCCTCATGGCTGATCTTCCAGGGTCCATAGAATAATAGAATTGTAGAGTTGGAAGGGACCACGGTGGTCATCTAGTCCAGCCCCCTGCAATGCAGAGGTCTTTTGCCCAGCGTGGGGCTCGAATCCACAACCCTGAGATTCAGGGTCTCCTGCGTTATTGACAGAGCTGGCCATTGCATGGAGCATATGTTGAGGGCATATGTTAGAGGTGGATGTGGCTACTGCTAGCCCATGCACACTCATTCTCATTTGCACACCCTACGCATTCGTACTTGTCTGTTTTGCTGCCCAATGCACACCCATTCGCTTGAGGTATGGAGGAGGGGGTGAACTTTAGTGAACTTGCAGCTGTGTAGGGAAGGGGCTAACAAAGATTGGCACCAATAGAAGGTGGTTTCAAGGCTGATTGCTGCAGGGTGGTGGTGGTTGCAGTACACAGGGAGGGAAGAGTTAACCCTTCCTTCGCCAGCTGTGATCTCCACTCCATATGTGTATTATGACGTTCTGGCTACAAACTAGGCAGAGTGGAGGTAGATAGAGAAGGGTATACCCTGAATACAGGCACTCAGGCTGTGCTCTGTGAAAGCAAAGTTTACACTGCTGTCTCCTAATTGTGAGCTGTACTGGAAGGTGCTGTTTTTCTTATAGGGACCCAGCCTTCTCCATTACAGTCATACCCCATGTTATGGATGCTTCAGGTTACGTGTTTTCAGGTTGCGGACCACTGGAAACCCGGAAGTTACTTCCGGGTTTCGCCACATGCGCAGAAGCGCCAAATTGGGCCAGCGGCTGTGCAGACGGGCGCTTCAGGATGCAAACGCTGTGGGTTGCGGACATGCTTCCGTCACGGATTACGTCTGCAACCCGAGTACAGGGTTTTTCTTACAGGGACCCAGCTCCTCTTCCATCTTCCTGTGATGGAAAGCTCTGGCCGCGCTGAGCCTTCCATGGAGTCCAAATATGGTAGCGCCACTTCATAGCCCTTGAAGGCTTATTGGGTGGCAAGGCTTGTGGGGCATGCCCTACGTGCCTTCCCCTTTTTGTTTCAGAGTCCTCTGCTTCATCACCTGGGGAAAATGTGGACGCCTGGACACTGGCAACCCATCTCCCCGGCAGTTAGACTTGCAAACAACCCTACATGGGGTTTCAAGAATGATTGCACTCTCTTTGTGTGTGGATTTTTTATGCTTGAAAACATCCTCCTGTTGACTCCATTGTGAAGTTTTTTCAAGCCTAGTTGCTTTGAATTGAAGGGATGAGGAGCAAGGGAGAGGAAGCCTCATGGACTGGCAGTTCCCCAGTCCTGGTCTTGATATCCTTGGATGATACTGTAAATCCAAAATGGGGACCAATTATTTGAAGGATGGTCAAGTTGTATAAAAATGTTCAAGCCTGGTGGGCACATATCGATAATTGATGAAGTATGAAATGAATTTATTTATTTATTTATTTGAACCCCGCCTTTTTCCCCTGACAGGGACTTAAAATGGATTACAGATAGAATAGGAATAGCTAAAAACTTTTTTATTATTACTAGTTTTTAAATTACTAGTTTTACTGTGAAACAACAGATTGACTCTGATTATCAAGAAGTCTGTTCACAGGAATCTTCTTTGACGCCTTAAGCAGCTTGCATCTCTTTGTTTTTTGCAAGAGTAGGAGAAGCAGGAGTATAGATGACTAGAAGGCAGGTGGAGCTCAGCTCACATAAAAACTGACAGATTGTTGCTTATGTTTTAAAGAAGACAGTGTAGCGACAAGCAATGAAAATTTCTGACTGTGGAACAAACCACACAGTGAAAATATTCTAGGAGGTGAATGGGTTTAGTAAACCTGGACTGTTTGAATGCCAAGTCATCTGTCCTTAACTGGATTGCAGCCTGCTTTGTAGACAAAAATGCTTTGTATTTGTCTCACTTTGCAAATGGGTGGTTTAGTGAGGGTCTAAGACCTGGGAGAGATGTGGCTTTCAGCACTGCCATTGGTTTTGCCCCTGTGAGCAAACCTATCCCTGTCACTTCAGTTTTTGAATTGCTAAAATTCTAATTCTAATAATAATAATAATTTATTATTATTTCTACCCCGCCCATCTGGCTGGGTTTCCCCAGCCACTCTGGGCGGCTTCCAACAAAAGATTAAAAATACATTAAAATATCGGTCATTAAAAACTTCCCTAAAGAGGGCTGCCTTCAGATGTCTTCTAAAAGTCAGATAGTTGTTTATTTCCTTGACATCTGACGGGAGGGCATTCAACAGGGCGGACCCCACCACTGAGAAGGCCCTCTGGCTGGTTCCCTGTAACTTCGCTTCTTGCAGTAAGGGAACCGCAGAAGGCCCTTGGCGCTGGACCTCAGTGTCTGGGCTGAACGTTGGGGGTGGAGATGCTCCTTTAGTAATGCCTGGCTGAGGCCGTTTAGGGCTTTAAAGGTCAACACCAACACTTTGAATTGTGCTCAGAAACGTACTGGGAGTCAACGTAGGTCTTTCAGGACCAGTGTTATATGGTCTCAGCGGCCACTTCCAATCACCAGTCTAGCTGCCGCATTCTGTTAGCTTATGTATAGATGTTAGCTTATGGCGTGGTACTCTTCTAAGGAAAACACGTGCAAGTCTACTCTTTTACTCTCCCCATAAATAGCTTTCAGCATATCAGGTAAAAGGTATGAGCTGGCAAAATGCCATGACAAAGATGTATGGGAAATTATATCTGAAGATGCTCCTTGTTGTGTGCATGGTGGAATCCTAGGTGGATATTTACTTGAAATCTTTATTCACGACTCAGAACAATACTTTTTATATTTGAATGTGGTACTCTCAGTTATGCCTTTTTGTAAGTTTGCAGAATGGTTCTCTGTTGTGTGTTTTTCTTGTAGACATTTGGAGAGGCTCAACACTTCATCCAGAGTGAAAGGAAGAAATGACGTTCAGAAAAGGTATTATTTCCCCAAATGGCACATTTTAAAAATCAGTATACTTGAGTCATACTTGGCCATTATTATTATTCTAATCATGTTTTTCTTTGTTCCCTTTCAGTAAACATTTTCATTTTGGTGCTTGCTGTTGTTATATTTTTGCTAGTGTTGCATCACAACATACTGGGTCTCAGTGATCTCTTGAAAAGGGAATTATCAGGTATGGTGTCTCTCTCTTATTTTTATGAGTCTGGGCTTCAGTAATAATATTTATGTGGGAGGTAACAAATCATTGTGTTGGTGAAATTATGTCCTTCACATAGATTGTTTTTGTAATATATACTTGCATCTCAGTTATTTCACAGAAATATCAAACCATTTGAAGTGCGGCTATCATGTCAAGAGTAATTTTATTTACTTATAAAGATATACTGCTTAATATGATAAAAAACCTCTAAATGATTTACATAAAAAGAATAAACAGAACAACATTAGATAACTCAAAATATAGCTGTAGGTAGATTAAAAACAAAACATAGCTGCATATCCCAAATAAACTAATTAAGCCATAGGATTTAAGGGTCATCTTACTTGAAAGAAAATTTAATCTCATTGCAATATCACGGTCAATCATTAGGAAGAGATAAAAAGTTTGATTTGAAGGGATGGCTCACCAGTGATCACCTAGACATATTAGACTATAGCTCACATTATCCCTGACCTTTAGCCATGGTAACTAGGGCTAATGACAGTTGACATTCAACTACATCTGGAGTGCCACAGATTAGCCACCCAATTTGAAGTCTGGTAAAATACCCTTGGCTGCTCCTGTTCACCACATGGCCCATCCTGTCCACCACGTTAGGCTTCCCCCTCCAAAGCCTCACTTATCGGGGTGCCTGAGGCAGCTGCTTCAGTCCGCCTCCTGGTTGGGCTGGCCCTGCTAATGGAAGTAACTGGAGGAATTAAAGAAATGTGTAAAAATTATATAAGGCGTAACTAGCAAAAATTAAGCTCTTCAAAGCGTGCACTTAACTTTGTCCTTGATATTTAACAGGACTTAAGAGTGAGTGACATTAGATTGAGCATGCCCAGAATGTTGTTTAAATAATAAACCTGTGCACACCGTGCCCTTATTCTGCAGATTCAAGTCCATTAGGCCTCCAACCGATAGATTTTATTCCTGAGGCACCTCAAAGGTTGACAGAGGACTGGAATGACAAGGAGATTCCTGTGGTCATTACAGCATCTGATGATAGGCTTGGTGGGGTAATTGCAGCTGTGAACAGTATTCAGCAGAACACCAAGTCCAATGTGGCCTTCCATATTGTCACCTTGAATGACACAGTGGACCATCTGAGGTAAAGTATGTTTGAGACATTTTCTTCCTTGGTTTTCGTTTGCGAAAGGTTTCCAGGTTTAGTAATGCTTACTTTGAAGCAGCAAACATACACCGTCCTCTGTTTTGTAATCCTGTATTCTCTGCAAGAAGCTATAGATAATAAAGTACTGATTACGTATAGCCAAGCAGAACGTTCATATAGCCAAACTGAAATAGGATCGACCAAGAAGAGACATCTCAGAGAATTACTCTTGCAGATGCTGTTCACTGTTACCAGTTTCAGAACCGATTTGCAGGGTATTGAAAACAAAATATTCCCCTTTCACGATCCTCATCTAGCTCCTCTGAAAAATAGAAGAAGTGATCATTCAAACAGTGCTTTTTTCTTAAATGTTTAGGGGTGTGCATACCCCTGCGTACCCCCAGAAAAAAGCACTGCCTTCAAGTATTTGGACCCAAATCATTTTTGGAATAATGATTTAACAACAATGCTTTGAACTGAGCCTGGAAGCTTATGGGCAGCCTGTGGAGATAATGGGCCATAGGTGTAATGTGACTCCAACTTGATATGCCACACAGTAATCTGGCAGTAGCATTTTGCACCAGCTATAGCTTTTGTACTGTCTTCAGCGATAGCCTCGCATAAAACAAATTACAGCAGTCTAGATGTGAGATTACAGTAGCATGGATCACTAGAAAGGCTATCCCAGCCTGTAGCTGGCAAACCAACTGGAGCTTGAAATAGGCACTGCAGCCGCCTGTGACATTTTTACTGCTCTCTTCCCTGTACAGATCATGGCTTAGTAAAACTAGTCTGAAAAATGTGAAATACCAAATACTGGATTTTGATCCTCGTATGCTGGATGGAAAAGTGCAGGTTAAGTCTGAAATGCCAGACTCGATTAAACCTGTGAGTACTTGTACTGATTTATATTATTTTAACTTCCTTTCAGGTTGCTGATAATTCATGAAAAATATATACTTAGATATGGCAGCTTTGAAAAATCTGACTTGTAACTACTGATGCTATTAGAGAAGAACTCTAATAGAAGAACTTGAGAAGAACTTGATTGTATTCCTCAAATTAAGTTGGGACGGTTGAAAATTCTACCAGCAACCTAAGTTTCAATAAATTGTTTATTTACTATAAGCTTTGTTAGCGACCAAAATATATTGTTAAGAGAGATTATGGTTATTTAAAACCTGTGTCTGGCATGTCAGATTTTCTTTCTTTCATTCATTCTTTCATTCATTCATCATCTTCTTATTCTTCTTCCCTTTTGTTTCTACCTAGCTAACCTTTGCAAGATTCTATCTGCCTAATTGGGTCCCTAATGCAGAAAAGGCCATTTACTTGGATGATGATGTGGTGGTTCAAGGTACTTTTCTTCCTGCAAATACTTTCAGAGATGGAAACGTCTTTCTGTAGACCTATCCTGTCTCAGGGCGGGGGACAGATTTTAGCCCACCTAAAGAAATGGGATGAAATCATAGAATTATAGAGTTGGAAGGCACCTCCAAGGATCATCTAGTCCAACCTCCTGTAATGCAGGAAACACATTACGTTATAATTCCAAGAGAGTTATACTGGTTTTAGGGGGGAAATACAGTAACACAAAATTATTTAGTGCAGTATCTTCTTAGTGCAATTAAAACTGCTGTTTTAACTTGAAATATGAAATTGACTTATGAACTCTACACCCTGATTTGAGCTTTCCATGATATCTGTACTCTTCCCAGCTTTAGAGACTAAAGTAAGGCTTCTCTAGAACATGTTGGAATGAATTTGGCATTTTAAGTAATAACTTATTTGTAGATGAAATGGTTTATATTTGCAAAAGATGTATTTAAGCTCCACACTGCTCTTCACTTCTGTGCATACATGAGAATAAAGCCATGTTTTGAATGAAATGAAGTTATCAGAGGCAAGACTGTGTCTGGGATCTAAACAGCTGCTTTAGGCACGTTTCGGGGTTTTCTTTTGAAATGAGATTTTTTTGTGGCATATGCCCATATAACCATCATAAACTGAAAGATAACTGTTTTAGTTTCCCGTATTTGCAGCTGACTATTGAAAATGATTGTGGGGGGCGGGAGCAGGATGGCAGACAGGGTTTTATAATTTGTTTTGAACTACCATTTCTTCTTTGCTTGGATTGCTTTTTCAGATGATATCTTTGAACTTTACAACACTCCACTGCAACAGGGTCATGCAGCTGCATTCTCAGATGACTGCGACTCTACCTCAAATAAGTTTGCAGTTCGTGGAGCAGGAAACCAGGTGCAAATAATTGTAAAAGAAGAAAGCGAATGTTACAGGCCCCAGTTCTTAGAGGCTACCTCTACCCTTGTGGTTGCGTTTGTTTTACAGGAGTGCTTTATGCCTTTTGGTTTGCCAAAGCATTGAATGCAGCTAAGTGCCCCCTTTTTACCTGTGTAGGATTTTAGAAGCTAAGGATTGGGAACCTTGGCTTCTTCCTGGGCATGCTATATATTCCTGGCCCTTATCAGTCAGTAGCCTGTATAATTTTCAGGGAATGGTAAATGCCTGTACCTGTCTGCATGGGAAGGCTACAGAATGTGGTGGAGTGGTCTTAGGACACCAGGGACTGTGGTCTTCTTCCTCATGTCTTGAGGAGATCTGCTTCTCCTTTATGGTAATCTGAAGCAACGCTTTCAACTTCCTGTTCTAAGCACTGAGGAGGAGCAGGTTGTCCTCTATGGTATGCTGAACAGCCAGGAAGAGGAGGCTATTTTTGAGTAAATGTAGATGTAGGTGGTTCCTTACTTCTTAGAATCTGTATGCTGTGTAGGGAGCCTCCATTTTTGGAACATAATGGCCATAAGCAAAATGTGGCTGATTCAGAAAGGCGCAGAGGGCTTTTTGTATTTAACTCACCTTGCCTCAGTATAGTTATTTTAAGGTATTTGAAATGTAATAGCTAATAAACAAAACCAAATAAAACTGCTAAATATCATCACATTTTGGTGAAGCTAGCATCTCCATACGGGATATCTTTTCCTCTGCAAATAGAGGGGTTGGGCAGTGAAACTTTCTGTAGAGAGAGATGTGTGTAACCAGTAAAGACTTCTGGGGATTCTTGTAACTGAAACAAAGACCCAGTTTCTATTAATTTTCAGTACAATTACATTGGATTTCTTGATTATAAAAAAGAAGCAATTCGGAAGCTGTCCATGAAAGCAAGTACCTGCTCTTTCAATCCGGGCGTCTTTGTTGCAAATCTAACCGAATGGAAACGACAGAACATCACTCAGCAACTGGAGAAATGGATGGCGCTTAATGTTGTGTGAGTGTGCCCATATTTCTGCTTAACACTGCCACTTGGGGGACTAAGCCTAATACAGCATTGTGTGTGCCAGTGGGGGTGGAGAGTGATGAACTGCCAGAAGTATTTGTCAGGTCTTTCTACCATGTTGATAATAATCTTTCTCTATGCATGGATCATCTTTGCACTGACACCAGGCTACTTTCTGCATCTACTTCAGCCTACTAGCCCTGAATATAAATTGTTTTCAGGTCTGTCATCTTTCAGTTAAAATCCCTTCAGCTATCTTGTTCTTTAAACACGCCGCTGCCCCAATCTCAGACCATGAAACCACCTTTATTTCTTTCTACCAACACACTTTTACAGAGGTTGTCCTGAATGATCACCTTAAGCATCTGCTATTAGGTGGTCCATCCCCATTTCTTTCTCAGGCTCTTCCTTCTGCTTCTATTCTGCCTGTTACTTTTTGAGCCTTTTGCGTAGGAAATACTATTCAGTACTCTCGACACTGAGCTTTTTGAATAGCCAAAGCATGTCACACACTTTATGAGATCCTTGTTACTATTGCCTTGCAAATGTTTTCCTTATATTGCAAATGGTGGACAATGACTGAGAGAAGGTACATACTCATTTGCAGCTGAGTTTCTTAGCTGGGCTACACTAACACTCAGATGATTCCTCCATTTATTTTTCTGGCTCATTGCAAAGTATGTCAGTTGCTTTTGCTGTACAATGCCTGACAGACTGTTGTAAACAAAATGTTTTATAAGACGTTGTACAAAAACAGAAGCGTTCTGTTCATTAATAGGATGATTAACGATTTGAAAAGAGAAGCACTCGATTGGATTAATGAATATTTACCCTATTTAAGAATTGCACTTCTGTCTTTAGCTGGTTAAATTTTCTTTCTTATCCCTGACTAGAGAGGAAATATACAGTCGGACTCTCGCAGGCAGTATCACTACACCCCCTCTGCTCATTGCATTTTACAAGAGACATTCAAACCTTGATCCTATGTGGAATGTGCGCCATCTTGGTAAGTATAATGGAAGAGGATGTGATTACCTTTGCCAGACTTAAGCTGGTTGAAGTGGTTGCTTCTGTAGGCCTCGTTTTCTCCGTTACAGGACCTTTGAAAGTGTGGTAATGAAGCCGTGGATTTGTCTGCCCAAAATTCTTTACTTTCTTCCTCTTCCTGTCTCTGAACTCTTTACTACATTCTGAGAAGTTTGACCTTGATGTGAAATGGCTCTGGAAACATGGTGTTTGAATATGATTTAGTGGTCAGTTAAATGTGGCCACAGGAAGATTTCTAGATACAGTGGTACCTCTAGTTGTGGACACCACCTGTTCCGAGCGGTGCTTCTGCGCACACGGCGAAACCCGCAAGTATACACTTCCAGGTTTCCCGCGTTCACAAACTGAAAAGACGCAACATGAACCTAACGCAACACGAGGTATGACTGTATACTTTGGTGATGGCTATTCAGGCATCCTTGCTGCGTTCTCCCACCCATCCCAGTTGCAATGGGGGTAAGAAAGGATATTTGAAAGATAAATCAGTGTTTTAACAATGGTTGAAAATTAAGAGTCAGCTGTGAACTTTGATTATGTGACTTGCTAGCCTAGAACCCAGCTAGTCTTTTGAGAGAAGGCAGGATAGGAATCTAAATCAACTCGTTTCTTACTCAATTCAAAGGTTCGAGTGCTGGCAAAAGATACTCTCCACAGTTTGTGAAAGCTGCCAAACTACTCCATTGGAACGGACACTTCAAACCCTGGGGAAGGACCGCATCCTACGCAGATGTTTGGGAAAAATGGTACATTCCTGACCCTAGTGGCAAATTCAACTTGATTCGGAGGCACACTGACACTTACGAGGCAAAGTAAGACAGAAGTGATACACCCCATATTCTTCTCAGGAACCAGACAAGACCATAGAGTGAAGCTGGTAATGCTACGTCCATTCAGATTGTTTTAAAATGGAGACACACTTAAGTACTTGAAATGCATGCTTAAGAGAGGAAGCCTCTTCAAGCAGAGGAACCTCCATGAAACTAGCATTTTCAACCAAATGGGATATTAAAGAATGACCTTCTACGGATAAAATGTTTCAGGAGACGCTGCACCCAAGACTTTATCACAGCTGGTGCTGGGGGAGCGTCTCATGTGTTGCACAGCAACTTGATGTACTAAAAAGCTGCTACCACTTTTTACTGTTACTTAACCTGTGAATATAAGCTTTTTGGTGGATCCCTCCTATTTCTTGAAGATCCATTCAGATTCTTACAGCTAATTTTAAGTTTGTGGATTTTTTAAAAAAAAATCTGCGTTCCAAAAACTATTTTTTATAGTAAAGTTTCTTTTAATATAACTACCCATCAACAGTAAAGCAGCCCTTATTTCTTAAAAAATGAGGAAATTTATGAATTCATTTATATTCAGATTTATGGATTGTGTGCAGGCAACTGAAATGTGAATGGTAACTTGTGCTTCACAATATATCACTCTCTCTAATAAATTAATTGTGCTTGAGTTCCTATCAATTTGGAAGCAAAATCCCACCATGCAAAAGTTAGTGGTTTTTATGTGTTCAGTGAGTTCCTCGCATATGCCGATCTATAAACACCTGTAAATCTAAAAGGGGGGGAAATGCCCACTGCTAAGGATCTGTGAGTTTCCAGGACTTGAGGTTGATAGTGAGCCAACAGATACAAAAAATCTTAACACATTCATATTAAATACTAAACAATAGGAACTTGTGTCATTTTGCTGCTAACTTTAGCAGGTGAGAAGTTTTTGTGTGATTGCAGTTATGATAAAAATGGGAAATTCATTATTATGTGGGTAATTCCCACATCTACTCCCAGAACAAATTTAGGGGACATGCAGGGAGAGAAAGTTCTATGGTGTGATGAGAAATCCTTGCACCTGATGGAACATTTGCATCAACACTACGAGTACAACCCAATGTGTTCTTAAAATTAGTAAATCCTAGGACCACCACATTTTGGAAAGTACAGTGGTACCTCCGGTTGCAGACGGGATCCGTTCCAGAGCTCCAGTTGGATCCCGAGGTTTCCACAACCGGAGGGACTGCTTCTGCGCATGCGCGCTTGGCGGTAGAGCGCTTCTGCGCATGTGTGCGCGGCAAAAACCTGGAAACATACTTCTGGGTTTGCCGATTACGTATCCCGAAGCTACAATTGTACAGATTAACTTTGCCATCAAACTTGTGTTTAAGTAATTTTAAGGTGCTTCATTCCAGCATGTGTAAGCTATATATCTTAAAACACAATAAACTGCCACCCCAAACATAGTGTTTCAACTTCTTGAAAACTGAGCAAGGGCCCATTGGTGTAAAAGGCTGCAAGTATTACAGGACCTGCATCCCTTCTTTGTCCTTGGACCTTTTTAAATTTTCTTATTTTTCGCACCTATGCTGTCTGTACGTGCACATTCTAAGCTTGGAAGCCCATGAGCTTGGTGGTCATGAGCCTGAGACTAAATGATCATCATTCCTCTGTCATTGGTTCAGTTGTATGTGGGATTACAAGCTGTGGCAAGATAGCTGCCTGCTTCGCTGGAATGAAAAAAACATGGAGGTTTATGAACAGCATTACTAATTGTATAATGCCTTCCTGGTAGACAGGTTGCATAAAAAACCCTTGCTGCTTTTGTATATAACTGAAGAACCACACATTTCAGTTAAAAGCATATTAAAAAGTGAAGTTTTCTGTGTGTCTGTAGTTTTCTTGATACTAATCCTTTCTCTGTATGCCCTTCCACCTTCTTCTGGACTATTTTGCTGGCCAGGGAAGGTATTCTCCAGAAACTCAGGTGAAGGGGAGATTTAATAAGCTGTGTGTTTGAGCCTGTCTGTGCTCTCTTTTACCCAGTTGTCCAAATACCAGTAAAAAGTATATGATGTGTATGCTTTCCCCCCTAACATCAGGGCTGGAGAAATGGTGGTATTCATAATCTTAAGCAGGCGACATATTCTTCATGTATCGCATCTTTCCTTAAAGGGGTGCTTTGTGTGAACCTAATGGTCACTGCACTGAAGTGAGAGCAGCACATCTTTCTCAATACCACCCTTCCTACATAGCCCACTGCTGCTCCATCAAAAAAAGGAAGATTTGATTCTATTATTGTAAATCAGCAAATAACCCTTTATCCTCAGCATGCCACTTACAGTGCTCTGCTTTAGTTCATTTATATATAACAGAGGCAAGGAAGGGCCTTTTCAGCTGACAAGTGGGACCCAAGTAAGTAAGAAAAATGGACAGGGTATAAGTAATAAATTATCATTATTATTCAATACGATTTATGAAGTTGAAAACAAAATCTTTTCTTTACTATTTTTACTGAATTATTTAATAGTCCTGTACAATATTCACATGGCCTGAACTTGAGGGGCTCCAAAAAGTCCTGGTATTGGTCCCAGAAATCAAGGCAGCACTCAAGTCCTTTTGATTTTCTCTTCACATATAATCTGTATTGAAGTCATATGCATCATCCAGGTCACCAGTCTTCTCTATTTTGAGTTGCTTACCTTCAGAAGGAGGGAAAAAAATGTCAGTCTGAAATCATCTGCTTGCTCAAGGTGACATTAGTCTTTTGAAATTCATTAATCATAATAAATGTACCTGTAGGTAACTTCCCCAAGTCTGAATTTTTTGCTTTTAGCTCTTCAGAGGTTGTTTTGCCGCTTGCTGTTCTGTTGCTTTCCTGAAACAAGGTGACAGGAATGCAAAATGTCAACAAGACAGCACTGACGGTAATTAAACATTTTTCTAAACGCCAAAGGCACTGCATATTACAGTGGTACCTCTGGTTATGAACGCTTCTGGTTACAAGCTCTGCTAACCCAGAAGTAGCTGCTCCTGGTTGCAAACTTTGCCCCAGGATATGAACGGAAAACTCGCGCCTGAGGTGCGTGAACAGTGGGAGGCCCCATTAGCGAAAGTGCGCCTCAGGATAAGAACAGTTTCAGCTTAAGAACGGACCTCCAGAATGAATTAAGTTCGTAAGCAGAGGTACCACTGAATTTCCAAGAGGAAGCTATTTGCCTGTTTAGGCAACACATGCAAATTCAAAAATAACCTACAAGTGTAGGTTGTATTGTCTTGACAGTGTAAGGACTGAGGTCAAGAATTCCACCCTCTCCACTCTCTGCTGACGACTCTCAAGGTATTATTAATCTTAGTCTCACAGATGTACCTCTTCAATATCACTTTCTATTTCATCCTCCTCTTCATCTTCTCCTTCGGTTAATTCCTCCTCATCTTCACTCGCTTCTATCTTCTCCAGGTCGACTACTTCCTCTGGCAGTTCACTCTCTTCTATTATGCCCTCCGTGAAGCCAAGAGATTGAAAGGCAATGCTGCTTGCCTCATTAGGATATTTGCTACCTGTAAAAGAAATGTCCATTAATACTATATGGGCAGAACTCTTGAAAGTGCTTTCCCAAAGGACAAATACTCTGGTCCGATTTCTACCAAAACGGTTTCACATTTTAAGTGAACTGTGCAGCAGAAAACATCAAAGGTGCAAGATGCTCAGTTCATTTTCCAGATTTAGCTATATGTATTTGTCAGCACAGCACACTCAGGAGCATTAAGTTTACATCTCTCGCTATAATCAAGATTCCATGGCACCTAAGACAGTGATGCCACTGTTTGTTTGGATCCACAGAACTCAGTGGCAGCCCCTAAAAACTGAGCCACCTCCCAACTGCATAGCTCTGTCTGGCCACTCATTTTAGAAGCTTGATAAGCTTCAAGAGATGGCTCTTAGGTGTATAAAATAATGCTGCCCACTAACGAACTAAGTGGCATAACATAGCAAAACAACAATTAACCAACTGCTCTGAAACCCACATCTTAAAGACACAAGATAATTTGGTACACCAGCATCACCTTTTATGGTACTTTTGTTATCTTCTTCCAGATCCTGAAGATTAAAAGCCTGTTGCGCTGCTGCTACAATTTCACGGGAAAGGTGTGGCGACAGAGTCCATGCTGGAGGAGGCCGTGAATAGTAACTCACTTTGGCCCTAAGAGAGGGGTGGGGAAGAAAATTGTTTACAAAGGATCTAAAAACCAGGAATTTGCCCTATTTATTTAGAAGAAGCAGAGGGCTGGAGAGCTGGCTTTACACTGTGTAAATTGCATGGGGCTGGCCAGCAGCACCAAGCACTCTGGTCCTGCCTCTCAGGAGTTAACATTTAATTGTACACCCCCAATTTCCCACCTTGTTTCTGGGGCTGTAGCTGACCCCCCCCAAAAGGGGGGGAGGTGGCAACTAGCAGAGAGAAAGACACAAGTAGCAGCATTGCAGGGAAGTGCAGAAGTTGGGCAAGGAGGGGTGAGAGAGAGGTTCTCCTTCACCACACCGTGTTCTTTTCAGCACAGCACCTACTTCTCAGCAGCAAATCTTTCATGCAGACAAATGAGAACATATTTACCCTGTCCAATCGTACAGAAATAGTTTGGCTGCACTTTCTGTATCAGCAAGACCTCCTTTCTTCAGCATTCCTCTCTTCTGAGCAAGCAGAGTTAAGAACTCCAGAGAGTTTCTGTAGTCTGGGATGTTGTAGTGCAGCATAATCTGAAACAATAATAAAAAGAGAGCCTCATATGTGTACACCAGATTCTCCAACATCACTCGTAAGCCCAAGCCTTTTAACGGCAAGAACAGCATTTTCTTGCTCCAGTTTACATATCTAGACCACGGCAGAAAGCAGAAGTGGGTCAGAACTCCTTAGGAAGCACCATTAAGCACAAAGCAAGATCAGAGTTGGATCTGATGTCTTCACTGTAACAGTAAGACATAACAAATATCCTCATTTCTCACTTGGCTAATACATTGAATCTGTTCGATGATGGGGAATATAAAACTTGAAATTCATATTTTATAACGCAACCAAATTCTCAGTTGTGATCTGTTTAAACTTTTTAAAGATTGCACTTTTAAATAATTACAGTATGTGCTGGGACCTCATAGTGAAGAGCAGGTAAAGTAAACGAGCATTAACTTGTTGAATCTTATCTGATTTAATCTAAAGAGCCTGACATGATGGGCAAACATAGATGATTCTATCAGTGTGAACTTGATGCTACACAACTGCTACTGAACCTTGCCAGAAAACAAACCAACAGCTACTTTATCAACACAATTAATAAAATAGATGGAGAACCTGTGGCACTTTGGGTGCTAGTGGATGTCAATTCCCATTAGTTCCAGCTAGCATGGCCAATGAACAGGGATGGTGGTAGTTTTAGTCCAACTACACCAGTAGGGCCACTGGTTCCCCATAAGTGCAACAAGTGTGCAAGCTAAACACACCCGAGGCCAATAAATTACTGGGAAACTATACAATAGTGTTACCTGCTGTTTGTTGCAATGCTTCAGAATAGCATCTACTGAACCAACTAAGTTTTCAGCATCAATGTCTGCAGTACTTCTCAGTGCCAAAGCAAGAGCAGAGCTGGAAGGCGCTGCAATGATACATGGACTATCTAACATCCTGATCTGTTTGTCGATGTGAACTATTTGTAGACACCTTTAAAAGAACACACACATAATGAGCATGGGGGGGGGTATAGAAAAAACAAACTCCAGGAAATATTTGACAAATAAGCAAATCATAAAGCAGGAGTGGAAAAGGTGTGGCGCTCACAAACTCCTATCATTATCAGCCAGCAATGCTGAGGGATGATAGGAGTTGTAGTTCAGCATTGTCTGGAAAACCAAAGGTTCCCCATCCTTGCCATAAAGAATCAAAGCATTAGATCTGGGCTAGATGGGAGTCTTTCCAGAAAACAAAATGTTAAACACTGAAGACAGCACAAATCTGAACGTGTCAGGTTGCAATTACTGGGATATGCATGGTTATTCTCCACTATGTGCCCTTTTACTCTTGATTAAACAATTGCTTATTGCTTATTATTGCTTAACAATAAGGAAGATTATATCCATTTGATTGCCAATTTGAAAATGGCTATGCGATGGGAAAACTGAAAATGAAGTATGTCATTGTTAGAATGGTTCCCATCCCATCCTAACAATACATCTCCCTAATGGGATCTCTTTTGTGTAAATGGAGAGAAGTCGAAACACAGGAGGGATCTTAGTGAAGTTGAATGGCAGTGCTTGAAAACCGTTGTACCACGAAAGCAAACTAACTTAGTGAGGCCTCTGACTGGTCCCACGTCGCAGGCATGCACCTCTTTCAGACTATTGATTACGCTGCTTTTCCCTGTGTTAGGAAAACCTGAAGGCCAAGATACAAAATAAAAACAAAGGTGCATTAGTAACCAAATTTGGCGTGCTAGGTATTATCTGAAGACAAAAGTTTTCATTTTCTTGGGAAAGAAATCTGCTTATGCTACCAGACCAGCATTTGCCCAGCAGAGGTGGAACCCCAATCACATAACTTGCACTGCATCACAGCTCTTTTCTTCCCCATCTGTAGGATTCACAATTTCCGTGAAGACATTGCTTAAGCTCTTTGTTCCCAGTGAAGTCTAAATGTGTTCAGCTGCAGTTCCTTGCATGAATCCCTTGCCCTCTCTTCTACCAGTTCTCTCTGCACCCAACTTTGGATTGTAAGTATCTTGGGAAAAGATGACTGTTCATGCTGTTAGTACAAATAATTGTAAGAGCAACCTTCCTTTCCATTCATCAATCCCAGAAGAAATGGCCAGAGCAAGTGTGAGCCAGAACATTTCACACACATTCTCCCCCCCCCCCCAAAAAAAAAGTGCAGTTGGGAAGATTACATGTAAAGATGGTTCCTTCTCCTTCTTGGTGGAGTGAGTGTCAATAGATCTCTCCCACCCCCAAATGAGATGTTTATTTAGGTGGGATTCCATCCCAAGTTCAAAACACACCCGGGAGTAGAAACGTCATCTTCAAGTTAAATTATCCTCCAGGAAGACTGCTTACTTGGGAGCAATATTGTGGTATATATTCAATCTCCACTTCGTTTTCTTTGCCCACCCTTGCAATATTGCTGAGGGAGCCATGAGGGCCATGGCATGCAGACCGCAAGAGAAATGTTTGTAGGTGGCACTGCCACCTTCTGATTTTTGGCATTGATTTGTTCTCTAAAAATATTTCACCTATAGGCGTGTGAGATACACCCATTTTAAAGCTGCCTGCGGAGCAAGATCAGAGTTGGATCTGAAGTCTTCACAATAATGTAAGACAAAAGCATATATCCTCATTTCTCACTCCAGTGACAACAACAGTATGATCTCCAGGATCCTGGGCATGCACATGGTGTTTCGAGCTCATACTGGGGCTTTTCAAGCACATCATTCCCACAGCACATCCCTGAAAGGCTACAGCTAAAGGTAGGGTCCTTTTTTGAATTGCCACCATGTGATACCATGTGCTCAGACAGATTATTACTGCAACCCAAGGAACTCCATGTAGACAAAAAATGGGGTACTTACCCACCACACCAACCTGAATAACTCTCTCTTTAGTTACACTGTGCTCTCGAAGGAGTTTTAGCAGGCACTCACTCCCAAAACATAAGCTGGATCTCGATAAATCAAGATATGCACTACGTCTTTTTGTGTGCTTCTTCTCTTGCTGTAGATTTAAATTAAGATGGGGTACGCCAGCATCAGAGGAAATGATTTCATAAGGCAATATGTTTAAAACAGGAACACATTTAAATAACGCAGATCCTGTGGGGGAAAACACCTTTTTCATACCACCCTTCGTCCGAGGATCACTTTACAATATAAAAACACAGAAGCACATACCGCAGTAATAAACAAGAGCAATACCCCTCTAAGTTTAAAAGGCCACAGAATTTTGTAGAGGCCTGGAAGAAGAGGAATGTTTTTGGCTGGGACCTAAAGATATGTAATGAAGGCGCCACGTGAACCTCCCTTGAAGAGAGCATTCCACAATCAGGGAGCCACTGCAGAAAAGGCCCGTTCTCGAGTTGCTGCCCACCAGACTTCTCATGGAGGGCAAACACAAATTTCTTTAATAATAATAATAATAATAATAATAATAATAATAAAACAAAAGACAAAAGACCCACCAAAAACAATGGAGTTAAGCTATCCACAACTAATCAAAATCCAGGGCAGTGGGAGCACCATTCCCACACTGATGTATTAATGGGAGCATGTTTGTTGCAGGAAAAGAACAGCCCCAGCGCATGTAAATCTGCATCCACACAGAATTCCCCCACTCACGTCAAGAACACCTATAGGCTAAAGAGTCTCGACCAAGCATACACATACAGGTAAACATACTGTTGCAACCTGTTAGAATGGAGTGAATGCAGTTTTGTATTAGGAATTTCACTCTCTCTCTCTTGCCCCCATAACATTCCATGCAAGCAACACATAGTCCAGCACTGTCGAAAAGAGGGCGGCTGCTCTTACCACAGTTTTGTCTTTTTGCTGCATCGCAGACTTAAAGGCAACGGTTGGCAGTTCCTGGTTTAAATAATCCAGCCATTTCTCCAAGTTCTCTTTCGGTATTAGGTCTGAAAGATAACATCACCACAAACCCCAATGTGCAAAAATTAGGCAGTGATCACATTGCTGATGATAAAATGGTTTCAAGGAAAGGCAGCTGCGTTAAGTATGTTCAGTGGATTTGTTAGGTACTGATGCAATGGATGAAGCATATTCCAACCCATGAAAACATGCCACAAGATACTTTGCAAATTCAAAGATGACTGTATCCTATCCCCTTTAGATGTGAGGAACTGCTTTATTTCCCTTGGTTTAGAGGAAAATCCAAATGCTAAAAAAAACCCCAACTCTTTGCTAGATGGCTTTTTTTTTTTTTGTCTCCAGCAAAGTACAATAAAATAAATAGATTCAAACTACTAGATTAAGATTTTGCATGGTACACCTCATTTACCTCTGGCAAGTATTGAGGTATGTATCTTTATCTGCCTCATGAAACTGCCCAGCTGAATCTTAAATAAATGGTAATAATAGGAATATATATAACAAGTTCACTAAAAGCCTTTTAATTAGTCATACCTTGGAAGTTGAACGGAATCCGTTCCAGAAGTCCGTTCGACTTCCAAAATGTTCAGAAACCAAAGCAAGGCTTCTGATTGGCTGCAGGAAGCTCCTGCAGCCAACTGGAAACCCCATCGGACGTTTGGGTTCGAAAGAACATTCGCAAACCGGAACACTCACTTCCGGGTTTGCGGCGATTGGGATCCAAGACGTCTGAGTACCAAGGTGTTCAGGATCCAAGGTACGACTGTATTGATTCTATTGTTGTTTTTGGCAGTTCACACAAAGTAGAAGAGATGGACACCATAAGACGCTGTTCCCTGCAATACAGGGTTGCTAGCTGATGGGGGAAAAAATAGTCACCCCCCATTTACGCATGTTTAATTCATATGCGACTGTGCATACGCACAGCCCAGGAAACCTGGAAGTTGGGGGAGAGACCTGAAGAGCCTCAGCAAAGCCCCTCTTTGGGCTGCAGGGAAGGTCTCTTTGAGAACCACAGTGGAGCATTGCTGAGGCTCCCAGCTAACAGCTGACATGTGGGAAAGTGGCTGCTGTGGCTGCTGCTAAAACTACCCTATTGCAACCGGAACAGTGAGCTCAGAGTTGGATCTGACAGTCTTCAGAGGTACATCAGTATCATTTTGTATCTTCCTCATAGCTCACATCCCACTGGAATGTTATTTAACTGGTAGACTGTACAAGTCCGCTAGGTAGTGAAACTTGGATGCTTGGATTTAAGTCAATCCCACCCTATTGATGCCAGATGAAAAGTATCTTGATACCAAACAAAAGCCATGGCTTGCAATATAGCTTATTATTAAACACAGGACATACTTTTAAGTAAACACAAACATTTACTTCCATTCGTAGGCATCACACATTATAATGAAACCACTAATCATTTGGGCTTAACTAAACTAATACGTATTTGTAGGATTAAAAAAAAAGGTTATTTCCACTTACCAATTTTATTTAAAACCAGTAGTATTTTTTTCTCTCCTTCCATCTGACTAACAAGTTGCTCCACCTGTGGGCACCTGCTGCCTAGAGGGTCTCTAGCATCTAAGACTTCCAGCACGACGTCAGAAGCTTCAATCACCTAAACAGCAACAGGCGAAAGGTGCACATTCCAGAGTCAAAATCTGCACAGAAATGTTGTCACCATGTGCATTTGTAAGGAGTAGTTAAGATAAGGGCACTTTCTCTACTATAACCGAATCTTAACATCTGTTTGAAAGCAGCCATCTCATTATTTTTAGAAGCGTACAAAACCAATGACATCTTTCTTTGCGATGGTCAAAATACAAAGAGAGAAACACAATCATTTTCAAAACCAGTTGGGACCACTTGGAAAACAGGGCAGTGCTGGTGTCCCCAGTAAAAGAGATGTCACACAGCTGAAATGAAGGCGTTAGGTCCCCTGGATGGTAAATGGCCCACAGTGAAAGAGTTTTTCACATGACTGTAAAAAAATTACCTTTTTAAGCTCCTTGCAAAAGAATTTCTGTGACTTTTTCTCTGACTGCTGGTTTGCCTTTGCTTTTTGTTTAGCGGCTGATTTCTAAGATAAAGTAGATACAAATTTGAAAATTTAGTATACAGGAATCTAACATCACTTAGAACCGAAAAACTGATCATCAGGACTTCAATCTTTTAAAGCAACAAGAACACAAAATTTCATGACAATTACCGCACTGGTCCAAATATAAGCTGCACCCGCAAATAAGCCACACCTTTAAAATTGACAATACCTGGGCTGCTTGGGGGGGTGGGGGGGAAGAGACACCGCTTTGCCGGAGGCGGGCAGGCAGCACACCATTGCCCTGCACTCCCAGGCTGTTTCCTGGTGGGGGCGGAGCCCACTATTTGCTGGCAGCGTAAGGTCATGAATATAACTTTAACTTTTCACGGTCAGATTTTTTTTGGGGGGGGGGGAAATGGTGCAGCTTATATTCAGGCCAATATGGTAAGTGCTCTGTGCAAGTATTTGGAAGAGACTCCTTTCAGCCCTACAAAACATCATAATTGGAATGGGGGGGGGGGAATTAAAATTTATAAATAAATAAATTAAATCCCCAAGGATTAGCCTACATTTCGGGGAAACATTCAGGTGGATCTGTCTGAATAAAACTAACTTCTGCTCATGCAATAGGACTTCTCTTTCCTTCCCTCCTCCTGAGGCCTCCCCCATCTACTCTGTATCAAAGCATACCATGTAGGGTGTGCTTGTGATGGCACACAACTGGAAGGCTCTGGATGGATTTGGCATCTGGCCATTTTAGGCAAGTGGAGGGAAATGTTTCCAAACTGGAAAGCAAGGGAACTGCAGAAGCCTCAACTGGCACAGATGTTTGGCACAGTATTGGGATGCCATTATTCCAAATGTCACAAATGAATTTTTTCATGTTCCGTGGAGTATTTCTGATCTAAGTGAAATGCGTACCTTTTCAGAAAGCTTTACTTTAGCAGCATCCTTTTTATTAGCTTCTTGTTTGCGTTTCTTTTCTAGCCCCTTTTGCCGATCAAGCTTCTGTTGTTTCTTTAGCTCTTCACGCTGCTCGCATGCACAAACACACAAAGGCACCAAGTTATATGCAGGATCTCCTACTGTATTCAGAAAAGCACCACAGCTACCCAGAATTGGACTGTGTTTTGTGTTGCAAATACCACCTTATAACCTTGAAAATGAAGCATATTAATAAAGGACAGCAGGAGAACACCATGTCAGTGCTGAACCAGTTGCTAAGTTCCACTTTCCTTCTGCTTGAGAGTTTGTGAAGTCACATAGAAGCAAATGCCGAAGCGTTTCAACACTTTGTGCTGAAACTGCAGCAGAAATGCCAGTGCTGTAGCCCAGGTTAATTACTTAATTTAGAATATTAACCACAAATGTTGCTGAACTGACTAATTAAACACAGTAAGAAATCAAAGCCAGCAAGTACTATGTAGGTCAGAAGTGGGGAATCTGTTTTAGCCCAACCTCTGCACGGTGTCTTCGTACAGTAGGATAGTTCATACAGATACCTCTCTTTATCCTCTGCCCAGAAAAGAGAGGCATTCTCAGAGTTCAAGGACGCGTCCCACCCAGGCAAAAACACTAGGGGTGTGAAACAGGGCTTGTCAGGGAAGTGGCCTGGGACGTTTTCCAAGAACTGGACAGAGAGGCCTGGAGGCCAGTATTTGTCCCCTGGACCCAAGGCTCTTCATCCTGTTACAGGTGAACCACTGACTGCTGAAAGTCGACAGTGATGCACCACAGAGTTCCATGACAATATGCCATGAATATGCAAGTTGTTTTACCCTTTGTTTCCTTTGTTCTGCTTCCCGAAGAACCTGCTCCTTGAAAGGTGCTGCATTGGGAACTCCGAGATCTTTCTTTGGCTTTTTGTGCCCACGTTTCTTGGCTTCCTTCCGGACTTTTCTGTTGTGTTCTCGCACCTGTAACCAACAATGGACAGATTTTGCTAGTAAAAGATGCTAAAGTTTGTTCACTGTAGCTGTTCACCCATATAGATTCTTCATTACACTGTGATCTGTGTTTTGTATACAGGTAACTCACAACTTACATGCATTTAGCTTTATACAATTCGTTAATGATAATAATAATAATAATAATACGGGCAGGCGCTCAGGAAAAAGACTCCTGCAGCCAACCAGAAGCTGCGTCGCACATTCGGGTTCCAAAGAACGTTTGCAAACCGAAACACTCACTTCCGGGGCTGCGGCGTTCAGGAGCCAAAACGTTCAACTCGCAAGGCGTTTGAGATTCAAGGTACGACTGTAGTAGATTGCACACTGCTGAGTGACTTACCTTTTTCTGTATTTTAAACCGTTTGTGGCAGGTCATACGCTTGCTAGCTTTCTTCAACTCTGAAATATAAAAAGTCCAAAGGTAAATAAATGTCTGCAGATCCAAGCCAACAATAACGGGTTAAATGAATGCCGCAACCTTCTCCACCACAAATATGATCCAAAACACTATAAAATATACACAATACAGTATAAAATCATACCACTTATAGACAGCAGGTGGAGGATTACATTTCTAACACCACCCTCCCAAAAATCATTCCGAATATGAAACCAGCATACCAGGAAAAGGGCTGTTCCTTCCTGGTATGCAATTCTATCCACAAGTTTTGTTTTTAACGTGGAAGTGCATTCAGAAGTGGCATCTCCACCTGCAGCCTTAAGTATATACTCAGTGTTCTGTGCTGCATGTGTAGCACAGCCTTAGATTGAACTACAGGAGCAGAAATTAAAGACTTCAGCCTCCATTGCCATATCCATCACATCCTCAGAAACTGCTTTGTCATGACCCAACACTACCAGTATTGATTCAACCCTATGCCAATCTCTATAGTGTTCAATGAGACATGCTTTCTAAGGCAGGCATAGGCAAACTCCGGCCCTCCAGATGTTTGGGACTACAATTCCCACCATCCCTACCTAACAAGACCAGTGGTCAGAGATGATGGGAATTGTAGACCCAAAAATCTGGAGGGCCGGAGTTTGTCTGTGCATGTTCTAGGCATAGGAAGCTTCCAAAGAAATAGTGTACAATCAGGTGTGCCAGGCCGGGGGGCGGGAAGGCCCGGAGGTCTTTTACTAATGGAAAAAGAATTAATATAATATAATCATACAATGAAATGAGTCAGTACATGTGCAGAAGAGCAGAGACACCTGCCTAATAGCATCAGCCTTCCTCAACTTTGGGTCCCTAGATATTGTTGAACTACAAATGCCAACATCCCTGACCGACTGCCATGCTGGCTGGAGATGATGGAAGTTATAATCTAACAACATCTGCAGACCCCAGCCTGGGAAAGGCTGATATACCTGCAGGCCAACAAAAGGGTCCTCCATCTCTGGAATTTACCTCCATTTACCTCCTGGAAGCTGTGTTTATGGCTACAGCCTTTGCTGCGCATGTTTACTCAGATGCTAAGTTTGGTTGATTTCATTGGGAGTTAAAGTGTGCAAAGGACTGCAAGCTAAACATACACTGAAGTAAAAGCAGGAAAAGTGTTTGGATGGTACATGCCCAAGATTTTGAAATCCTTGCATGGGAAGGTTTTGTCCTTCACTATTCAGCTTCTTGCTGTTGAGAACCTTTCCGGGTTTACAAGCATACATTTTAAACAGCCGGAAGTCTTCGCCAAAAGTGGAAAGACAGATAAGCCCTCCCTCTCTTACAGATTAAGAGCAAAGACAGACGGACAAGTTCATCTTCAGTAGCAGCCACAATTTGCCATGTCTTTAGGATTGTTACAAGGGAACCCTATAGCCTCCAAATGTTGCGGCCTTCAACTCCCATTAGCTCCAACCAGTGTAAGTAGGCCAAAAATTCTCTGAAGAACCCCCTTTCTGCTGAGTAGTAATCCAAAGAGCACAAGCAAGGGCTCACCCACAGATACTAAATGAGATACCAGTTGCCCCCTTCTGCCCAGTCTTGCCCAAACACCTGAGGGGTTGTGGGTGCTCTATATTGGGGAGCATCAACAGTCCGTTTGGAGAGGGCAAAACTTAGCAGTGAGTGAGGCTTCAGACGGCGAAAAGGACACGGAAAGATTGGGAGCAAGAGGAAAAAACACCGGGAGACCAAAACATAACAAGAAAAACGGGCCCGTGGACTGGAGAAAGGTGGAAAAACGGCCGGAGGAGCGAGGTGGGAAGCATACTAAGAAGAAGCAAGGGAACAGCCAAGGGGCTCCTCTTCATGTTACTTGACCTTTTAATGGAAGGCCAAAAGCGGGTTAGGGGTTTGCAGAGGCCCGAGCAAGAGGATGGGTGCATCAGTGCTTTTTAAAAAAAATGTTTAGGGGCATTCTTATTCTCCTACTCATATTGAAATACTGGCTCTCAATGAGGCCAAACTCAGATTCACAAAATGTTCAGGGGTCTGCGCCCCCCCCCCGAAAAAAACCACTGGGCGCAGTTCTCAAATCCCGCTGGCGAGTTTCGCCGCGCGGGCACGTGGCCTGTCACTGTAGGCGGAGATCGCGGGGGGCTGGATGGACCTTTGGCCTGATCCAGGCAGGCCTGTTCTGAGTTAGGAAAGCTAAGTTCCTGAGTTAGACCCTGAAGCGCCTCTCCAATACAGGAAGCACCTCGCGTCCTGAGACCCCCGAAGCCGCGGCCGAAGAGCCCAGGCCACTTTCCCGCCTCCATGGAGGCCGCGACTCGCAAGACGGGCTGCAAAGAAGTGGCCCGCCAAGGCGCACGTTGGCCTGGCCGCCCACGGGAGAGGCTGCGAGGCGACCTTTCCACCTCCAGCCCGAAGCCCTTGAGCAGCGGCAGAAGCAGCAGCAGCCGACCCTCTCCCCTCGCCCTCTCCCCAGCAGCGCTTACTGGGTCGCCTCATGGCTGCCGCGCAGGAGCTGCTCCTCGCTCGTCTCCTTCCTCCGCCTCGTCTGCCCGGCGCTCCACGTGGAAAGGAGGAAAACCCGAGGCTCGGCCGTAAAGCGCCGCCCGCTCTTTCCCCCCTCCCTGTCGCGCTCCCGGCCTGCGCTTGGCGGCCGAGGCTAGCTGCTTTTGCGACAGCGGCGGGCTCCCCTGCGAGCGAGCGAGCGAGCGAGGCTGAGCGGCAACAGTGGCGGCGACGCCGACAGCGCGGGGGGCCGTGGCGGCGACGGGGGCTGAGCGCGGCCGCGGCTGCAGGAGGCGGGGGAGCAGCGGCAGCGGCGGCTGGGTAAGGCGAGGCGGCGGGCGGGCGAGCGAGCGAGGCGGGGCTGAGCAGGGCGCTCGCGGGGAGGGCAGGGCAGGCAGGAGGCCGCGGCGGGTTTCCCTTTGTGTGGCTGCGGAGCTGCTGGCGGGTCGCTTTCGCCCCCGACCCCCTGCCCGCCCTGCCTCACCGCCTCCTCATTTCCCCCTTCGCCCACCCACCCGCTCGCTCCCCACACGCATCCCCATCCGCCCCCCAAATGGAACAAGAGCTTGGCCCTCGGGAGACCCTGAATGAACTCCTCTTGACTTCCTAACCCTCTTGCCCCCCACTCTGAATTCACACGCCTCTCTCACACGCGACATCACTTTGCTTGTTTCTTGTTCGCAGCTGGTTTTCCTTCTTCTCTTAAACCTTAACCCCCCCCCCCAATTTTTATATTGGCTTGATTTGTTTTATTTTCTTTCAACTGCGATTTTGGAAAACTTTTAACTTTTCCCTCTCGAAATTGCAAGCATGAACTTCCGCATGTGAGAAAATGATCTGAAGTTTTCACAGTGGTACGGGAGCAGGACGCACTGCACTTGTCAAAAGCGACACAGTCTCTTCTCTGAGAGATCTACCCCGCCTTGAATTTTAAGCATGTGGAGGTGGCTGGCCCCCCATTTCCCATATTAATACCGTCTAGAAAAATAAAGTTAGTATTTAGGGTGGTCACTGCATGTCCTTTAAGACCATGACTTAAAGCGTAAAGTGGAGTTCTTCTCCTTTCCAAAGAGTTACACTGTTGAGAAAGTGACAAACAGGATGAATGAAAAATGTAGGAATTGTGCACATGGTACTTCAGCAAATATAGATAGTGATACTATCTGATGTAAAGGCTATTGCAGTTCTAAGGGCTGGTTTTCTGTGTTTAAATTTCAGAAAGGCTTACATTTAGGTGGAACATATATTTTAGAAAGATATCAAAAACAGTATTTCCTACATAAGAAGTGCTATGTTTCTCATTGCTAGGGAAGCATTCCTTGGTGCATTTGTTTGAAACAAACTGTAAAAGCCTTGAGAAGCTACTATCAGGTGGCATTTCCATATATTATCTAACTTATTGACAAAATCTGAAATGGGCTGCATCTCTTGTTGACAGGCTGGACTGGCAGGCTGCTGAAAACATTCTTGCTTAGACAAGCCTACCCAGATGATTAGAAAGCTGATATAAATTTTAATCTGTTTTAGTATTTTAGCTTTTGATATGGTTTAAACCATTGTCGTATAATTTTATAATTTTATCTTTTTGTAAATCGCTATGAGGGTTTTTTTGTTTTGTTTCCCTCTTTTTTTCTGCTGAAAATTTTCATCCCTTAGCTATCTGCAGGTAGGTGTGAAAGTTAAGCAAGAAAATGACACATAGGAAAGAATTTCTCCCAGCCTGATCTGGGTTGGGTCATTCCGATTTGGGTTAGGGAAGTGGGCACATCTCCTTTGGGTTTTAAAAAAAGTGGGGAATTCTAAAAAAGGGGTTCATTGATGTAAAGGTAACATCTAGTTAACCTGAAGGGATACAGAGCAAGCTACACATAGACTGTCTTATAATAATCCTATATTCAGTTTACCAATTCATGACTGACAGTAGGAAGATATATATTACCAGGAAAACATTGTAGATGATTCACAGAATTAAAGGTGGTATTCAAAGCAACACTAAGGGAAACATTTCATCAGTGCTTGGATTTCTCCTTGTGTGACAGAACATTGTCTTGCTCTTCTCCCCAGAGGCCCTCTAAATCTGTGCTGGAGGTTTCAGCAACACTCTAGAATATAATTTGGGGTGGGGTAGATTGAGAAGTGGGGGAAACCCCATTTAATACTGCCCTAAGTTTGCAGTCTTGAACTCTACTTAGTGAATCAGGTTTCAGTTCTCTACTCATTGATTGCTACTTCTGAATAAGCAGGTATAGGATTAAACTGAAAGTCCCATTTAAGTTTGTGTGATGAACTTCTGAAAAAAAAACATAGATAGGATTATGCTGTGTGATGGTAAATAGCATACCTGACTACTGCTGCCCTCCAGAAAACCAGGAGCAAAACAGGTCCTGGAGTACCTCTATACTGCACACCTGCTCTCTCAGGAGGTGTGATACAACAGGTAAATCCCAGATCATTTGAATCTTCAAGCATCAGTTCCTCTGGGTTCATTTCATTTGTCAGTATCAGTCTATAACTTCATCTGAGCATTGGCTCATGGAATCCACACCTGGCTTGGATGTACAATAAAAACAAAGTTGGGTGTTGCCAATATAGTAATGATTCAAAACTATGAGTGATATGTCTCAGTACTCCATATAGATGCTAAGTGGTTGATATGTAGGCGTGTTTGTATAGTTTTTGCATTTTCAAAATAAATATAATTATTGACCTTGTAATAAAACATAGATGCATGTTTCTGATGATGCAGACAATACTAGACTTTTCTATTTTTGATCACACTATGCTGTGGATACCAATCAACATTCTTTATAATGAAGTATTTAAAAATATTTAAGCTACTGTATTATGATTTGTGAGCTGCTTATGCTATATGGGCAGTGAATCCTATACAATTATAGCCTCATTCTTGGAATTATGTGAATTGATTATTGCAGTTCTGCCCTATGAAAAACAATAGGAGTTTTAAGATCATAATCTAATACTGTACTGCGCATGGGGAGTTTCACTTGCTCAACAGGAGTTCTCCTTTCTCTTCTCTCATTTGAGTGCCTTCAAAATTTTCTCTGGAGGACCCCCGACCCTCTTGCTCAAATTTTGAAGGGGGGGCTGCAGGGGAGAGGAGGGGGAAGCTCCATGGTGCTAGTGGAAGTCTGTTGCGATATTGGAACAGTGGCATTGAATATGACCCTTCCAGTTTTTGTCGGAATAGGACTGCACCCTTTGTTTACATGTTAAAAGAATGCACTTTTAGTTCTGAGCTTAAAATAGGACTCAGGAACCCATGTACCTCCAAATGTTGAACTTCAATTTGTAGGTATGATGGGATTTGTAATGCAACAATATCTAGGCAGCCTTTCTCAACATGTGGATCCCCAGATGTTGTTGAACTCCCATCACCCCTAGCTAGCAAGGCCAGAGCTCAGGGATAATGGAAGTTGTAGTCCAACAACATCTGGGGACCCACAGGTTGAGAACCACTGATAGAGGGTCACAGTTTCCCCAGCCCTGGAATGTTATGTAAATGGGGTCTTTGTGAAATGGCAATGGCCTAATATAGCTACTGCATTTTCTCTGTTTTGCGGTATATCTTTCCTTAACCATTCTTCTTGATTCCTTAATTTACCTATTCTTCCCTTTGTTTTCCCTTTGTTTTTCTTTCCTTTTGTTGTCTTCTCTTTCAGTTTTGCCTGTACTAATACAACTGCTGAATTGGTGCTTTAAGGATTTGCCTTTTCTCAGTTTCTTTACTTGCCTATCAGACATAATGAGGAGACTGGCTTTTCGTGGTGCTGGTTGTACTCTGGTAAATCTGGTAATTTACTGCTAATGTGTGTGCCATTTTGTCTCTTTCACACATCTCAGGCATTTTTGTTTCATATTTGGCATGACAGATCATACTTGTTCATTTACCTCGTTCATGAGTTTTTAATTAATCTGGCTCTCAGAGGGGGAAATGCAAATGTTTAACAAAATTACTTTAGAGTAGTGATCATGAGCGGTATCCAACTAAGTTCTAATTACAGTAGACTCACTGGGAGAAATTCAGCATTGTGCTGCAGCAATAGTTCTCTCAATGCAAGTCTTTCTACTTGCCAGATAGAACAGTCCCCCTCTCCCTGCACACTTTTCTGGGGGTTCTCCCAATTACCCCAAAACAAATTTCTGGCGGAAGAGACAGAGGCCCAGTGTGCTAATGGAAGTCCTGGTGTGGGCTTTTGTTAGTGACACTTGTTGGTTGAATCCTGTCCATTGAAACTAGTGGACACAAGTTAGTCATGCCTATCAATTTCAATGGATCTACTCTGAGTAGGACTAACCGTGACTAGAGCCCCTTTTTCCCCCTTTTTTAAAAGGAGTGGATAATTTAGTTAGGGGGATGTTGTAGGTCTGAATGTGCGGTTTATTTTGTGTTAGTTACCACTTTGAAAAACAATTAGATTTTATTTTATTTTTCATTTCCAAGATTAGTGATTAGAGTTAGAATAGCACTGTGCATTGAGAGTGCTGCTATTTGTTTTTTAACGAATGAATATGGAATAATGCTTCTGGATCCTTTGTTGATTGCTTGTTTAAGACTGGATTTGGTATTTTATGGAGCATCAAAATAGCATTTATATGTTGCAGAAGTAAAAACATTGGGTTAAGTTCATTGTAGTCTGGATGATTTTGATGTTATCTGTTCTTCAGACTCTTTGAACAGTTCAGGGAAATTAGTTCTATATGTATTGTGTCCGCAGTTTGATCAAAAGACTACAAAAGAATAGTTGTATAGATTTTTCTTTCTTTAAACGTGGAGGTTGTTCCTTCTGTTTCAACTGCACATTCTTCATGTTAACCATTAATACTCTTTGAAAAATTAGTTGTTTTAGCATTTGGAGGAAGTTAAGAAGGAAATATGTATAGATAGACCCTTCCAACATTGTTTCCAACATAAAGCCACAATGCTTCTATTTTTAAAAACCTTGTCTGTTAGGCAAATTTGTGGGGGATAAGGCTAGCCATGCCCACAAGTCCTGAAGGCATATTACTTTCAGTATTGGAGGCAGTAAATAGGCCTTTGAATTTCTGTTGCTGGTGATCAGAAGTGGGATAGTGTTACTGTGTTCATGTCCCGCTTTGTCTGGTTGGCCACTGTGAGAACAAAATTCTGCACTAAATAGGCAGGGTTCTCCTGACCGGTGCACTCTCCAGAAAACTTCCATTTGACGTGGCTTTCTGTGGCATGTCTGACATAATGATTCCAATCCAGAGAAAGTTAGTAATACTTGTCAGCACAATCCTAACCATGCCTTCTCAGAAGTACTGTATATTCTGTTGAATTCAGTGAGTCTTAATCAGTGTTAGAAAATCCCCCAGGCCTGGGTCCAGTTCCAACCACATGGAGATCTCTGGATACCAGGTTGGTGACTGACATCTCCATCTGGCTAGCTTCTCCAGCTTTCTTAAGCAGGTAAGCATAAGAGATTATTTATGGCATTTACCGTATTTTTCGCGCCATAGGACGCACCGGCCCATAGGATGCACCTAGTTTTTTGGGGGGGAAATAAAGGGGGAAAAATGTATTTCCCCCCCAGGCGCGGGGCTGGGGCAGGAGATGCCCGAGCTTCCCCCGACCCCAGCCCCCAGAACAGGCTGCTACCCGCAAGCCTAGGGAGCCCGGCGGGAAGTCGCACCGGTCTCCCCAGGCTTGCAGATATCTGTCCCCCGAGTTTGTGGGGCTGGCGCTGTGGAGAAGCCCGCTTCTCCCCAGTGCCAGCCTCCAAACCAGGTCGGGGAACAGCGGGAAGGCGCGCTGCGCCTCCCCGCTGTCCCCCGAGCTTGTGGGGCTGCCCGATATCTGCACAAAGCCCGGGATGTGCTGCGCGGCGCTCCCCGGGCTGCGGGCTGCTATCCGCAAGTCTTCGGAGCGCGGTAGGCACTCCCGCCGCGCTCCGAAGGCTTGCGGATAGCTTCCTGAAGCCTGGAGAGCGAGAGGGGTCAGTGCGCACCCTCCCCACTCGCTCTCCAGGCTTCAGCGAAAGCCTGCATTCGTCCCATAGGACGCACACACATTTCCCCTTCATTTTTGGAGGGGAAAAAGTGCGTCCTATAGGGCGAAAAATACGGTATATCCCACCCTTTTCTCCAAGGAGTACATGGTTCACCTCCCTCCTCAGTTAATCCCTACAACAACGCTGTGAGGTAGGTTAAGAGGCTGTGACTGGCCCAAGGTTATCCAGTGAGCTCCATGACTGAGTGGGGATTTGAACCCTGATCTCCCAGGTCCAGTGCATTAACCACTATACCACACTGGCTTCTACTTTTGCTAAGGGACAGCTATATTAATTAAGTAGGTAAATAAGTATAGGGAAAGCAAAATGTCACTTAGAGAAGGATCTGAAATATTTCCCTTGAAGCTTGAATTTGTTTTTTCCTGGATTGTTTTATTGGATGTTTTGATGTGTTGTAAAACACTTAGAGATTCTTTCTTTAAAATATAAAGTAGTATAGAAATGAAATTAATGCCAACAGCAGCAGCAACAACAACAACAAATCCCACCGCAAAAAAAAAAAAGCCTTGCTATTCTGTTGTGGCGACTGTAACCCAGGTTTAATGTGCCATTTAGCAATTAGCTGATATATCTGAGTTTCTAACACTGTTCTTAATCCAAGGTAAACAGGGTTAGAATTGCAGCCTAAATCTTGTTGAAATCAGTAGTGTGAGATAATTATGACTCACTTGTCCTCTGTTGATTTTATAGGATCTTAAGTGCTTTTTCTAGATCAGGACTTGTGTGAGAAATAGTCCTGAGGGACGGGTTACATGTTGTTTGGGCTTACCTTGGTAAGACCTCCTTCTTCCTGCAGTAACATTTAGAAGTTCTTACTATGTGACACATTCTCACGTTTCTCTATCCCAAGTTCATATAACTGACTATATCTGGTGGGTGAGGGAAACGTGCCGTTTGATGTGGTTTTGTGTGGTAAGCGCTTTTAGACCTTACTGAAAGGATGGGGAAAGGCCATGGGGATGCAGTTTTGGTGTAGTATGTCATCTTATTCTCTGTTATTCCACTACCACTAACTAAAGTAGCAATACTGGTGATTTTGAATAATATTTTCTTTTCAAGATCTTGAGAGAGCTTTTTGTAAGCACTAGATTAGTTTAAATCAGGCACATCCAACTCCAAAGAGACTGCGATCTACTCCCACTATAAAAAAAACTGGCAGTGATCTACCCATTGTCATTGCCAAGAGTTGAACTTTTTTGCGGAAGGAGGTCAGAGTTGTTGAGATTTTGGGGGGAATCAGGAGAACCACAGAAACCGCATCAATTGATCCCGCGATTGACCTAGAACACCCCCCCCCATTGAACAGCACATCGTGATTGACCTGTTGGACATTCCAGGTTTAGATAATGGATTATGTCCAACCCTCCAGAACAAATTTGGGGGGGGGGGGTACAGGAGGGTGGAGAGGAGGGCGACATTCTTGGATGTCACTCAGTATTTTTAAAATTCATTGTAAATTTTCTGATTTTTTTAACACTTTTAGCTGTAAAAGTTGTGGTCCTTGAAGTCACCATCATGTACTGTGGTCAGAGACACCCGCCTGGACCTGCAAAAATAGATTAATTGCTCCTGCCAGATTGAGATGATGTCTAGTGACCCACAAACTGTGTATATTCACTTTACAGTTAGATTATTGTTTTATTATTATTATTAAAAAATGTCTAAACAGAATTGGGCCATAATGTACCGTATTTTTCGCTCTATAACACGCACCCGACCATAACACGCACGTAGTTTTTAGAGGAGGAAAATCCGTAGACATGCCACCCGTAGGCATTCCCTCCATAACACGCACAGACATTTCCCCTTACTTTCTAGGAGGAAAAAAGTGAGTGTTATGGTGCAAAAAATACGGTAGTTGTTTAGAAAAAAATGTTTGTACTAACAATTGTGGGCCATAATGTAGTTGTTTAGAAAAAAATGTTTGCTCTAATAATTGTGGTAGTATAGTTGTACCTTGGTGCTTGAACATAATCCATTCCGGAAGTCTGTTTGATTCCAGAAACGTTTGAAAACCAAGGAGCAGCTTCCAATTGACTGCAGGAGCTTCCTGCACTCAGTCGGAAGTTGCGTCGGATGTTTGGGTTCCAAAGAACGTTCGAAAACCAGAACACATCTGGGTTTTTGGCGTTCGGGAGCCAAAACGTACGATTATCAAGGCGTTCAGGAACCAAGGTACGACTGTATAGGTTTTACACCTTTTTCTTACATTCTTTTTAAGTTGGGCGGGGGGAGAGGACATCTTTCATTCAGAATTGATCCTGTCTTTGGATCACTAACCAAGAAGAGAGAGGTTTTGTTGTGGCTACCCTATGAGCTATTTGGTCTTGGGACCAGTAGCAGGTGGCATGGTGCAAAGTGAATCAATGATTTTGCTGCCTTGCCCCTCTCCCTCCAGATAAGCAGTAGTGACTCACTTTCCAGGAGGTTAGGTAAGTGCCTCTGCCTTTGCCCCAGCACACTGCCTGCTACTGGGACCATTCTCTAGAATAGAGATATGAAAGCCCAGCGGTTGGGGCAGGGGGAAATAGAGGAGCTGGATTTCCCTCCGTGTTCTGTACTTTTTCTGGGCCTTCACATCTTCTCTAGCATTTTCAAAGGCTGCAGGCCACAGTAAAATTTGTAATTGACTTTGCAGTCTTGTCTGAACTGTGGGCAGATGTTAAGTAAAAAAGCAAACAAAAATAGATTTTCATGGTTATCTCTGCTTCTGGTTAGACTATCAGCGATACATGCAATAAAATCTGTATGACATATAGGAACGCTGCATCAGAATTGGTACTCTCACATATGTCTTGACTTTAATGCTCATTACTTCATTATGTTTTTGTCATCCATACACCTTGATATTACAGTGATGACTTGGCTTAAGTAAAACCACACTAAATGGATTGCTTTGTTGGGGAAGCTTGCAGAATGTTGGTCAAGAGTTTAGCTGTGTAGCATCAAAAAGTGTCACTATCTCAATTATGTAGAATTCAGAGGAACTTTAGGTTCCATATCTTGTCACCCTGTGAGTGACAGGATAGAAAGCCTCATGTTTAAGAGCGCTTTTTTTAATTATAGAAGAAGTTGGATTCCATGGGTTCCAAGAGGCGAAGGGCTACCTCTCCTTCCAGCAGTGCCAGTGGAGATTTTGATGATGGCCACCACTCCACAACTACACCAGGCCCAAGCAGGAAGAGGAGAAGACTCTCCAACCTCCCTACGGTCGATCCTGTAAGTATTTTTTAAATGTCATGCTACCAAGGAAATAGACTGAATACACGACTGCTATGACGTTGAAATATAACTTAACTCCTAGATTTTTCTCAACGCTTCCATAGCCCAAAGCAAGTGGAGTGGCTAAGAACATGTGCTGTAAGACTAGTGTTACCACTTAAAATCTTAGCTCAGTTTTGAATTCACCAGGTAGTTTAATCCAAGTTGTTGCCCTTCATCCTCAGCCTCTCATCTATAATATGGAGAATCTAATGCAGCCTGTATAGGGTTCTTGTAAGGAGACCAAGAATGCATATTAAGCATTTTTACCACTTTGGAAAAAGCATTGTATCAATATTTAGTTTTATCGCAATTTGGGTCTTACTTGTTGAGAGCTGCCCAGAGTGGCTGTGACAACCCAGTCAATTGGGCGGCATATAAATATATTATTATTATTATTATTATTATTATTATTATTATTATTATTTTATTATTATTACTATTACTATTATTCATTTGCTTTGTGTTTTAGATCGCTGTATGCCATGAATTATACAACACAATCAGAGATTACAAAGATGAACAAGGGAGGCTTCTATGTGAGCTTTTCATTAGGGCCCCCAAACGAAGGTAAGCGTGTAAGATTTGTTGATAAGAAAACTAAGGTAAGGCTGCCATTGCGAGAGCTATTGAGTTGTAATCTGTGCAAGTACAATAATATGCTTAGAAATGTGGAAATGCCTACCCCATCCTCACCCGTGCACCCCCCCTGCTCCCCAAAGGCCTTTTACACTAGCTGCCTCCACTCCACATTCCAGGTCATTTCTGAGTGTAACTCAGCTCCCAGAACATGTTTTGCTCTACTGTATCAGGGTCTGCAATGCGGAAAAGAGCAGAGGACTTCCTTTTGCAGATATCCTTTCCTTTTCAGTTTACTACTCACTTTAAAGATTGGACTGTTTTATGTGTTGTGTCATCGTTTAGCATACCGTATAGTAATACGTTTAACTCTTTGTTGTGTGCTTCAAAGCTTCTGACGTACAGCTGAATTTAGATTTTGTTTCTTTTGTGGTTTCAGCTTTTTTGACATTGCAATATTTTTTTTTGGGGTGTTGAGAAAAAAATTAACGACATAGCTGAGCAATGTTACCCTCAAGAATTCATTGGATTACGGGCAGCTAACCTCTGGCTCTCCAGATGCTGTTGGACTCCCCAGCCTGCATAGTCAGTGGTTGGAGGTGATAGGAGTTGTGGTCCAACAACGTGCGGAGGGCGTCAGATTAGCCACACTAGCATTAGAGAAAAAGTTGGCTTTTGTGACTGTGTTAACTTTGAATTTCTGCATGAAACCTTAAGGTGTATTATGACAGGGTTGCATTGCTGTGAAAAATATAGGGTAATGGCCAGATATGCTTAGAATAAAACTCTTAACAGCCCCAGGATGCATGGCCAGTGGTCAGAGTTTATAGACCAACAACATCTGGAGAGCCACAAGTTAGCTACCCTGGAGTGAAGTATTGTTTGTTTAACTGTATTTTAATGTTTTTCAAATTGTGTTCATAGTGTATTTAACTATCCATTTGCAGTAGTGTGTACGAAAGTTTGGGTATTGCTAGATGCTGCACATTTGCTTACATTAACTGCATTTTCAATAACTTTGTTCTTACAATAGAAACCAGCCAGATTACTATGAAGTGGTTTCTCAGCCTATTGATTTAATGAAAATCCAACAGAAGCTAAAAATGGAGGAATATGATGATGTGAACGTGCTAACTGCTGACTTCCAGCTGTTATTTAATAATGCAAAATCATATTATAAGGTGACAAAATCTTTTGTTTTGAAAGCCATCATTTGCACATTGTGTTGCTCAGTTGTGTTTTAATGGAGTCCAAAACTCATTTACCTTCTCTACTGTACTGCTGATTCTGTGAAGTTTCCGCATAGTGCATACCATATATACTTTACGGAAATTATTTTTAAGTTCTGCCTTTGTTCTCATTTGTAGCATAGTTTTAACTGATGGAATTGTTCTTTCATTTGATAAATGTTAAAAGTGACATAAAAATTATTGATTAACAAACAGGTTCTTTTGGTTTTTTTAACACAGCCAGACTCCCCTGAATATAAGGCTGCCTGTAAATTGTGGGATTTATATATACGCACAAAAAACGAGTTTGTTCAGAAGGGAGATCCTGACGATGACGATGATGACGACGAGGGCCATGACAATCAAGGGACAATTTCTGAAATAGTAAGTGTGAGCTTTACCAGCTACGTATAAGCATTTCAAATGCAAAAGGGTACAAAGTGCGCCTGCCCTATTGCAATTAAACCTGTAACAGTACCTAAATGTTGCATAATTGAAATGATAACAAATTGCTTCCCTTATTTCCCTGTTTGCCCCTGCCATTCCCCTGGTTTTTCATCCATGCAGGTATTTTAGTTTGTAAACTCCCTGACTGGATATTTAGTAATCTGTTATGAACACTGGTGGCACTGCATCAGTAATAAGAGAACCATGCTATAAGTAGCATATGGTTTTTTCCTCAGTTACGACATTGTCCACCAAAAGGATTATGTTATACAGGATATGTTTATATATTTGTTTTTATTAATCTCTTCCATTTATACCTGCTCTTCAGTGACCAGCTGTAAATGCAGTCATACATTAAAGCATGCTGCCAGATAGTTTCCTTTCGCACGCACAGTATAAGTTAAAACCTTAAAGTACTTTTTTTGTAAACATTTACGTATGAACACATTATTAAACCTGCCTGGTTGAAAACACATTGCGATCCTGTTTTATTTATTCTAAAATTAATGCCCCCCGCCAGACTAGCTAACAGCAGATTAGTAGCTGTTTATGTCTTTACTGTTTTTCCTTAAGTTGTAAAAGGAAAAACCTGTGTTTCTTCAACCAGTACTAGTAGAAGCCAGCAGCAAACACCCGGTCCTCATCTTTTCTCAAATCATTTTACAATATCATTTTTGTGCCAGTCTTCTCCAGGTTATTTAAAAGAAATTCTGGAACAGCTTCTTGGAGCCGTAGTTGTAGCCACAAACCCATCAGGCCATCTCATCAGTGAGCTTTTTCAGAAGCTTCCTTCTAAAGTGGTGAGTGATAATGCTGAACTTTGAATGTAAACCGAAGGCTTTTCCCATTCAAATTAAAGTTGGACGGTACAGTGGTGCTCCGCAAGACGAATGCCTCGCAAGACGGAAAACCCGCTAGACGAAAGGGTTTTCCGTTTTTCAATGCGCTTCGCAGGACGAATTTCCCTATGGGCTTGCTTCGCAAGACGAAAATGTCTTGCGAGTCTTGAGATTTTTTTCCGCTTCCCCCCCTTTTTCTAAGCCGCTAAGCCTTTAATAGCCTTTTAGCAGCTAAGCCGCTAAGCCTTTAATAGCCGCTAAACCGCTAATAGCGCTAAGCCGCTAATAGGGTTGCTTCGCAAGACGAGAAAACCGCTAGATGAAGATACTTGCGGAACGGATTAATTTCGTCTTGCGAGGCACCACTGTAGTTCTGTTTGGGCTGCACCATCAAGCTCATGAGTCTTATATACTTAATGATATAGACTAGTCATAAAGCAGTCTATGCCAGCAAAACCAGAGTAACACACTGTCAACTCATAATACCAGTTCAAGAAATCATTACTGTACAGAGGCTGTGTATCCCAGGTACAGGATCTTGCAAGGAGGTTTCACTGGGACTGCCAAGTAAAAGTGTTGGGATCAGAGATGAGAAACTGTATATATGTGTAGACACACATATATAATCTTAGATTCATAGAATCTTACAGTTGGAAGGGACCCAAAGGTAATCTTGTCCAACCCCCTGCAATGGAGGAATCCAGGAGAGTCCACCACCTCTCGTAGGATACTATTCCACTGCCGAACAGCTCTTACAGTCATAAAGTTTTGAGTCCTACCCTCAAGGGCAGGAGAAAACAAGGTTGCTCGCTCTTCCATAGGACAGCCCTTAAGATATGTGAAGATGGCTAATCATATCGCACACACAAACTGTTTAAATGATACACTATGCTGAACAAGAACTATTACCTACACATATAGTAGTTCAGATTGTGTCCCTACACTGTTTTTAGGAAGCCCCTTTCTTACAATATAATACTAAGTATTTTGCTTAAAAAAAATCTATTTAAGTGTGATTTACTTTCTAGTAAATGTCTTTAGGATTGTAGCTGTTCGGCGGTGTAGTGGTTGCTCACGAGTAACCAGGCAGGACTCCGACCTGTCTCTGGCAGGTTTTTATTGGTACAAACTATTTACAGTGCAGGACCAGAAAGTTCATGTCCGTCTCAATCACTTGCAGATTCCGGGAGTGGCCCCTTCCAGTTTCCCCTCCAGCATAAGAACTTAGACACCCCAAATCTCCGCCTTCCCTCCTTGTGTTTCACCCCTCGACGTAAACTGAACAACGGTGGCCGGCTGGGCTAGGTGAGGCGCTTGGGCTCTCAGTAGCATCTTTGAGCCCTCCCCTCACTCGGCTTTCCCATTCTGCCTCTGCTCCACTGGAGGTGTGGCTTTCCCCATCGTTGGACAAGGAGCGGCTTCTCAGAAGTGTCAGCGGCTCTCTGTATTCCCATTCCTCACTCCCCTGTTCTGATGTCAGCTCCCTGACAGTAGCCCTAGTTGGGAAGGTTCTGTTGAAACTGGTGATAGGATGGTTGATAGATCACTGTTTATGCTTATTTCAGATGGAATTAATTTTGTTTTTCAGCAATATCCTGACTATTATGCAATAATTAAAGAGCCCATAGATCTGAAGACTATTGCCCAGCGAATACAGGTGCCGTACAACTTTTGGGGTCACTTTTATAAAAGCGATTTAGCAAATTTAAAAGTAAATATATATGGAAATGAATGTTAAAACAATATTTTGGTTTTCTGGGGGCAAAAGTATGTTTAGGTTAATGATATTACTTGTGCATTTTGGGACTTAACTGAAATGGTTCATTTATGTCACTACGGTAGTGACAATCACTGATCAAGTAGGCTGGTTTAGACTAAGCAGTATAAGTTTAATAGACCATTGTTTATTTAAGCTGAGAATGAATGTTTTGTCCATGTGATCATTGTCCTTCTTTACTCATCTTACGCAGTTGGTGCTTCTATCATAGTTGTTGTTGTTTTTTACACCACTGTTTTCCATTCCTTTTGAACTCATTTAATCTTTATTTACTAACCAGGATAGCTGGGGGTTAAACCACAGTTTCCCAGTATCTGGCATTGCACAGAGTAGGAAACTATGGTTTAAACAAGCTGCAGTAGACACCCTGAAACTTGTACACAAGTGGAATGAGGTTTGCGAGCATGACACTCATTTTCACCTTATATTAACCATTACTTATTAAGCCAAGGTCATTACATCTGAACTGGTTTTGGTACAACAGTTCATTTATTGCTGCTTCAGACAGTAGTCATTTCATGTGATTTATTGGACCTAGTCTACGCGCTGCTTTGTGTGCCATGATTTCCCGCACAGTAGTTGCTCCTACGTGATAATGACAAAAACTTGACAGAACCACGAAGAGGTTGAACTGCAACCTTTTACAATAATAAATAAAATTAATGCATACATAATATGTTCCATTTTTTGTTCTTAGAATGGAAGTTATAAAAGCATTCATGCAATGGCCAAGGACATAGACCTGTTAGTTAAGAATGCCAAAACTTACAACGAACCTGGGTCTCAAGTATTCAAGGTAAAGTAACTTAGCATTTTAATATGAAGTGTTTTATTCAAATGCATTTGTCAGGTTTTGGAACAGTAAGATCAGTGCAGTTCTGAGTTAGGGACAGGGGAGGATATGAAATGGTGGATTAGCTGCCATTTCCAAAATCATGGTGCCATGCACCAGCCAGGCAAGAATGCAGGGGGTGGATTTTTACCTCTGTTTTGTCCCCATGCAGCACTTAATTTTTTATCTCATTCCACTCTCCAAAACTTAGTTCCAAAGGGGGAAATTTTTGAATGCCAATTTCAAGTCTGTAGGAATGTGGGAGACATTTCTGGGGCTTCTCTGGAGATTGAAGGGGTTGTGTCCAATAGAGCCAAGGCTTCCTCTGAACCACACATGGCTTGCCCCATTTTGGGGGGTTAATGTCACCTATAGCTGGCAAGGATACTACCAGTGGAAGATTCATGCCATGGAAGAATCATGCTGTGGAATTTTCTGTCGACCTAACAGGAACCTGTACTGTGGATGTGGTCTTTCCCACAACAGAGAAGCGCCGCCATGCACCTGGGGCTTAGATTGCTTTGTATACAGTCGTACCTTGGAAGTCAAACAGCTTAGTTCCTGAACGATTTGGCTCCCGAACGTCACAGATTGTTCCGGTTTGAAAACTATTTTTGGAAGCCGAACGTCCGACAGGGTTTCCACGGCTTCTGATTGGCTGCAGGAGCTTCCTGCAGCCAATCAGAAGCTGCGCTTTGGTTTTTGAACATTTTGGAAGTCGAACGGACTTCCGGAATGGATTCCGTTTGATTTCCAAGGTACAACTGCATTATGTCCTGTACTCTGTTTAATACAACATAAATATTGATATTTTTCCTTTCCTTTCTTTATGAAAAGTTTTTATCTAAATGAAGTTATCTTACATATTGTTTAAATACACTTTCAAGGAACATTTGTCCGTAAATACTGATGATGCCATCTTTAGCCTTTAAAAATAAATAAAATACATTTTCAATTCATTAACAGGATGCAAATGCAATAAAGAAAATATTTAATATGAAGAAAGCAGAAATTGAGCATTCTGAACTGACCAAATCAAGTCTCCGAATCAGGTACCGTGGGCAGAATGAAAGTATATAAAGTTATTCAAGTTTTCTCTTTACTTTAGAAAAAAAAATCTACAGAGAAATATTAGCTCACATTAACTCACGTTATATATTATAGTATTTGGTTTCAAATATCTCTGAACCTAACTTGTGGGGAAACAGCTGGATCTGGAAATCATACAGCCAGTTTCTTCCTTTGTTAATGAACATAGATTTTCACAACCGTCTGAGCCATTGGAAAGGTTTGCATTGGGACTCTGCTGAACAGGCCAGACACCAAATGCCCCATATTCAACTTATCTTGACCTTATAAATAAAAAAATTGTCCAGTAGCACCTTATAGACCAACTAAGTTTGTTCTGGGTACAAGCTTTCGTGTGCATGCACACTTCTTCAGATACACTGCAACAGAAGTCACCAGACCCTTATATATAGTGGGAGGGTGGGGTGGGGTTTTGGTCATCTGCATACTATCCCATCCTTTTTCCTTTGGGACTAATTGCAGTCATTAACAGTCCTCAACAGGTTTACCATACCCTCTGAGTCAATCACCCATCTCCTACTACCCTTCTGAGAAAGAGCTTATACTGCACACAAAAGCTTATACCCAGAACAAACTTAGTTGGTCTCTAAGGTGCTACTGGACAATTTTTTTATTTATTTCAACTGCGTCAGGCCAACACCCACCTGAATATTATCTTGACCTTGTTTGCAGTTGATGCTACTGGGGAACATCTGTGCCTCCTCTTTCCAAAGGATTATATTTTCGCCTAGGCCTAGTCTTTCCACAACCATAGAAATTCAGCCTGTGCTATCTAGAGCCAGTTTAGCCTGACCTCCATCTTTGTGGCGATAAGTCAGTTCAGTTAATCCCAATCAGAAGTTTGGTGACCACCATGACAAAATCTTCATGGTGCATTACAGTAGAGGACTTATTCCCATGTTTCCAAAAATACATTGTGATGTCCTGTGAACACTTGGTAGAAAATCCAATTGATACTAGAAAGACTTCCAAGAAAACATACAGAATATTGGGCTACAAAGCTGTTGGTACGGAAATTTCTGATGTAGCTCACTTTTGTAATTCCCTTCTGCTTAAAAACTGTCCATTTGAAATTTTTAATATGAATTTCTTTTTGTTGCAAAATTTTGAAGTGAGAGCATGAAGGCCCCATTTACCTCAAGAACTTGTTGTTCAAATTCTTTAACATCCCTCTTTATTAATGCTATGCAGTTGCTTGGTTTTTGATTATATAGTAATGACAGGAATTTTCTTCAGTTTTTCTTGTATATTTTTCTTCTTTGTGTCTCCTGCATATATCTCAGAGCTTAAAATACTGTACTTTTTAACTACTTATTGTGTTTATGAACCTAGAAACCTTCTCTTGTTGCTTTTCTGCAACGCAGTTTGCTTGAGAATTGACTTTGACATGGCTTTTTGCCTCTAACACAGATGCTTTTATTTGGTAATACACTGCACTTGGATGTGTAATTCCTTCCAGTTTCAAAATAGCACAGTTTTAGACGACTTTGCTTCTACTGTATGTTGGACTAAATATGGAGGCTGCAGTTTCCATTGTATCTGCTTTGTGCGAAATTAATGGGAATAACCTCATAGTACAGATGAAGAAACACTTTTAGCATTAGATAGTGGCTCTTAAAATGTATTACTCTCACCTTGATAGGAAGTTCAGTAACATTTAGCATAACCCTTTTCACTAAAATGTAATGGCACAACCCTTTTTAACTTATATTTCAATACTTATTCTGTAAAAAAACTTCATCCTAACTGTATATCATCTTGGCTGTCTGGTGGATTTCTTTTTTTCACTTTCTCTGGCTTGTTCATGCTTCATAAAGGACTGCAAATTTGGCTGCTTCCAAGCTGACAGGTCCTTCCTCACAGGGTAAAGGCAGTGTTGTCGATGACAGAAATGCTGCTAATAAATATTATCGGTGAGTACTTATCTCTGGATGTTATTCAGTTCATCCACTTTTTATAATAGATTATGTTGGTTGTTTTCCTCCAATCTCTAAATCAGAACGGTCCATTTCACTTACATGTGGAAGAAATTTTTTAAAAATTAAAAATAAGTAATGAGCTTGTTTGGTTCCTGGAAATATTACAGCAACCTCTTTGATTTCCTAAAATTGAATTACGTAGAATAGTTCTGTAGATGAAAATATTCAGTTGCCAAAATATACTTCCACAAGTCAAAACAAGAGTTTTGTGACTCCTTAAAAGAGTAGCAAAATATACAGTGCCATAAACTTTCATGGACTAGCACCCAATTCATCAAATACACACACAGAGGTGGTAGTGGTTGTAAGCAGTGAAGGAGAGAACAGTGAAATGCATAAAGAACTGTCAGTGACAAATTCAATAAAAGCAAGGAAGGGGAACCTGTTTCTCTCCAGATGTTTCTGTACTACAACTCCCATCATGCCTGACCATAGACCATGCTGACTGAAGCTGATGGGAGTTAGAGGCCAACAACACCCAGAGAGCCAAAGCTTCCCCATCCCTGAATTAGAAGCAAAATGTTTGTAAAATAAATGCAGTGACCCTTCTCAACAGGCAGTGATATTTGATTACCCAAGTGCGTAAGAGCTTTGTTTTACCAGACCAGAGACCTTTCTATTCCAGCATTCTGTCTCCCACAGTGACTAACCCATAAGCAGGACTTGGGGCAAAGAGCCCTTTCCTGATTTATTCTTAAGGAATTATTGTTTTATTTGTATGCAACGTTAAGCAAATTTCTTTCTTCAATTAAACAGGATTTCATTATTTGGGTAATACTCCTAGTAGAGAACCTTGGAAACTCAGCAGAGCCTAATAGTTTCAATTTCTCTCTCTCTCTCTTTCTGTGTGTGTGTGTGTGTGTGTGTGTGTGTGTTCAAATGATTTTGAGCGGGGAGAGGGGGGTCCCTTTGCATAATTTCATTTTATTTATTTATTTTATTAGATTTATATACCACCCTTTGTCAAAAGATCTGGAGATGGTTCACAAGATAAAAGCACAAATAAATACCGTATTTTTCGTTCTATAGGGTGCACCGGCCCATAGGACGCACCTCGTTTTTTGGGGGGGGAAATGAATAAAAAAAATTATCCCCCCCCCGCGGCTGCCGCCCCAAGCCTCGCGTGCTTCGGGCTGCAGGCTACCGCCCAAGCCTCGCGCGCTCGGCGGGACCTCCTGCCGGTCGCGCAAGGCTTGCAGACACTCGCCCAAGCACGGGAGCCCTCCGGAGGGCTCCCGTGCTCGGGCGACAGGCTGCCGCCCCAAGCCTCGCGCGCTCGGCGGGACCTCCTGCCGGGCGCGCAAGGCTTGCAGACACTCGCCCGAAGCCTCGCGCGCTCGGCGGGACCTCCTGCCGGGCGCGCAAGGCTTGCAGACACTCGCCCGAAGCACGGGGAGCCCTCCGGAGGGCTCCCCGTGCTGCGGGCGACAGGCTGCCGCCCAAGCCTCGCGCGCTCGGCGGGACCTCCTGCCGGGCGCGCAAGGCTTGCAGACACTCGCCGAGCCTCGCACGCTCGGCGGGACCTCCTGCCGGGCGCGCAAGGCTTGCAGACACTCGCCCGAGCACAGGAGCCCTCCGGAGGGCTCCCGTGCTCGGGCGACAGGCTGCCGCTCCAAGCCTCGCGCGCTCGGCGGGACCTCCTGCCGGGCGCGCAAGGCTTGCAGACACTCGCCCGAAGCACGGGAGCCCTCCGGAGGGCTCCCGTGCTTGGGCGACAGGCTGCCGGCCGGCCTCGCACGCCGGCGGGACCTCCTGCCGGGCGCGCAAGGCTTGCAGACACTCGCCCGAGCCTCGCGCGCCGGCGGGACCTCCTGCCGGGCGCGCAAGGCTTGCAGACACTCCCGAAGCACGGGAGCCCTCCGGAGGGCTCCCCGTGCTTCGGGCGACAGGCTGCTGCCCCAAGCCTCGCGCGCTCGGCGGGACCTCCTGCCGGGCGCGCAAGGCTTGCGGACACTTGCCGGGGCTGCAGGCTGCTGCCTGCAAGCCTTGTGAGCCCGCGGGAACTCCCAAGGGGCTTGCAAGGCTTGCAGATAGTTTCCTGAAGCCTGGAGAGCGAGAGGGGTCGGTGCGCACCGATGCCTCTCGCTCTCCAGGCTTCAGCGAAAGCCTGCATTCGCTCCATAGGACGCACACACATTTCCCCTTCATTTTTGGAGGGGAAAAAGTGCGTCCTATGGAGCGAAAAATACGGTAGTCAAAACAGAAGCAACAAAACAATAACACCCCCAAACACATTTCAAAGCCTGTAGAATATTAATTGGCCAAAGGCCTGGTTGAAGATGAATGTTTTCGCCTGATGCTTAAAAATATCTAAAGAAGGTGCCAGGTGAGCCTCCCTGGGGAGAGCATTCCACAAATGGGGAGCAACTGCAGAAAAGGCCTGTTCTCCTGTTGCCACCCTCCAGACCCCTCAGGGAGGAGGCATATGAAGAAGGGCCTCAGATGATGAACTCAGAATCCAGGTTGGCTTATATGGGGAGAGACACTCCTTGAGGTATTGCAGTCCTGGGCATTTAATGCCAATAGTATTGTTGTAAGACAGCAGCATTGCGCATCTCAAACATTTGAGTTTCAGAATATTTTCTTACATTAAATAATTCATAAGTCACAGCGTATGGAATGTATAATAAGCTTAAAATATCACTGCTTTGAGAAAACAGTGTATCAGCTGGAAAGCAAGACAGTTCTTCCCATATCAAGCGTTTCATTAAGTTGACACGCTTACAAAGCTGCAGTCTTGTAATCTGCCTACTGCTGAGCCTAGTTCCTCAGCACGAATGCATGATAATTAAAACTGCTTTACTAGTTTAATTATCAACTGCACTTTTAATCACAATTAAAATTAGCTTGAGTTTATTTTCAGAAGAACTCATGGGCTATAAATCTGAAACATTAGCTTGAAGAAAGCTGGTTCATAAATTTAAATTCTGTCACCAAATTAATATAATTCACACACACACACACACACACACACACATACACACACACCTTCTTCTATATGCTTATTTTTATTGTATCACTTAGATAAATGCTCCTGTTTTAAATGTAGATTTATTCTTCCTCTCCCCAGGGAATTTTTCATTCAATAGCTGTTTTGTTTTAAATTCACAGTAACAAAAGAGCTGTCCAAGGAGATCGTTTATCAGCAATAACCATGGCACTGCAATATGGATCTGAAAGCGATGAAGATGCTGTTTTGGCTGGTAGGTCAATATCTTTAGGAAAAGGTCATTTGTGGAGTTCCTAGCCCTCCTGTCCTTTCAGATTAAAATGGGTGACAACCTTTTAGATTAGTATCTAATAAAAGTGCATGTTGGACAGCCCTCCACATGTTGTTGGACTAGAACTCCCATAATCCCTGACCATTAGTCATGCTGACTGGGGCTGATGGAAGATGTAGTTCAGAAGCAAGTGGAGGGCACCACATTGGCTGTCCCTAAACTACATTAATCCCGGGTCTATTTTGAACAATAGTGCATATTAAATTTAAATCTTACATTGCTTTGCAGGAAATACCTACGTTTAGACTTTCTCATCTCAGGAATGAGAGAGCACTTATTTAACCATGCCTCTTGTTCTCTTTAGAGTAAATATGCTAGTCTATCCCCCCTCACCCTTCTAGTGTTCTGCCAGTGTCTCTGTGCCAGGGCCGGATTTAGGTTTGATAAGGCCCTAAGCTACTGAAGGTAATGGGGCCCTTTATAGGTCTAGCTGTCCTTTGTCAACAACAAATTGTCACTGTCTTTTGTGTTGAATATATGCTATATGGTAATTTATGGACCTAATAGGTATCTAAAGCCATTTGCACATAACGAAGTATGTATTTTATCAAACTAATTGTTGAAAAGTCCATGCAGAATGCAGGCACCCTATATATAGAAATGAGCAAACCAGTGATATTTTAGGGAGCAGGCTAGCAGGCAGGGCCCATTACTTACATCATAGGAGCTTACACAACACAAAACACTGTTGCTGTATGTGGATTTTATTTTATTTGTTTTTTATCTTATATTTTGGAAATGTACATCCAGGGTTTTTTTCTTTAATTTTTTTTTTGGGCCCCCCAAGAGAGTGGGGCCCTAAGCTATAGCTTGTTTAGCTTATATGTAAATCCAGCACTGCTCTGTACTGACTCTTTTCATTCTTCTTTGTCAGTTTCAATATTTTTGTTCCTGTATTTCAGCTTTATGGAGCTGAGAGGTATATAATTTTCACAGAACGCAGCACAAAAATAACTCGTCTCTAATTTGCTTATATTATTGATATTCCCGTATCAATGGTCAGTGGCTGTTTATATTTTGCTTCTCTTATGGCCATAGCCTTTTCTTCCACATGAGTTTACGTTTTTTAATTTTGATTAGGGCCAGCAAAGACAAATGTGGGTAATGTGGCAGGTGCTTTTTGCATTTCTTTCATCATGGTTTCCTGCCTGGTTTCTTGAAGCTGCCACATTAGTAGATTTATGGTTGTTTCCACATTTCCTGGATTTGCCTGTATTGGTCCTTTAATGCCCAATCCTACCTGTAGATAGTGAATGAATAAGTAACTACCTGATCCTTCCAGCCAACTGCAGATAAAACTGTTTTGAAGCTGGAGAATCAGCAGCATATATCATAGAAAACGTGTAAGGTCTCAGTCTCTTATTAGAACTATGAAACCAGCCAGGTAGCAGAAAGTAGTTGCATTCTTCTTTGAACAATCCAATATTAACTCATTTACTATTTAAAACAGATAAATGTAAAGGGACCCCTGACCATTAGGTCCAGTCGTGACCGACTCTGGGGTTGCGGCGCTCATCTCGCTTTATTGGCCGAGAGAGCCGGCATACAGCTTCCGGGTCATGTGGCCAGCATGACTAAGCCGCTTCTGGCGAACCAGAGCAGCGCACGGAAACGCTGTTTACCTTCCCACCGGAAGGTATTTATCTACTTGCACTTTGACTTGCTTTTGAACTGCTAGGTTGACAGGAACAGGGACCAAGCAACGGGAGCTCACCCCATCGCGGGGATTCAAACCGCTGACCTTCTGATTAGCAAGTCCTAGGCTCTGTGGTTTAACCCACAGCGCCACCCGTGTCCCATTTAAAACAGATAAATAAGCTGAAATTGTGTAATTGTTTTTCCTCGTTTCTAGCTGCTGCCCGTTATGAAGAAGGGGAGTCTGAAGCCGAGAGCATAACTTCATTTATGGATACTTCCAACCCTCTCTATCAGCTTTATGATATCGTTAGGAACTGCAGGAACAACCAGGGTCAGCTCATATCAGAACCCTTTTTTCATTTGCCTTCGAAGAAAAAGTATCCTGACTATTACCAACAAATCAAAATGCCTATTTCATTGCAGCAAATCAGGTAAAACATAATGTTTGATGGTTTCAAGAACAGTTTCTTTACCAATCTTAAACCACGAGTCAGCTCTTCTAATGACTGTATTTGATAGATTGTATGATTTTTCCTAAATCCTGTATGTGTTTATGTACAAGATTTTAAGCTCCTTGTTTTAGCAGTTGAGAGTGAAGAGTCTCTTTACATATTAAACCCTTGGAATGCCAGCATAATATCATATATAAGCTTTAAGGTGATCCAAATAAAGGTAGATGATTAATTCATAAGTAATCACATGACCCTTCTTTCACTTTAGCCTTAATTATGCTTTAATCTACATATGAACGATTGAGATTTGATAAACCGAAATATCTCTAGAAGTACAATTCACCTGATTCTTTTTCTAATACGTTTGTTTTATGTTTGATCGCAGTAAGGATCTGACTGTTTATTTTCAAGTAAAGCACTAGTGTTCATATATGGTTAACATGCCCATTCTTCTTTAGTTTTCATGAGACGTTCAAAGCAAGCATGTGAAGAGGGCAGTGGGGTTGTGAATAGGGCTGGACGATACCAGCTTTTCAGCATCGCAGTGTATCACCAACCAAACATTGTGATACAGTTAAACATTGCAATGTTGAAAAGTGGAGGGAGGAACAAGCTGCATCAGGCCCTGTCCCACGAGGTGCCAGGGTGAAACCAGTGCCGCTCACGCAAGAGCAGCGGTGGTTTCACCCATGATATACCACTGGGTGAAGGCACCTTCATGCTTTGGACCTCAAACCAGTCCTGGGTGATATATTGATAGATCGCCCAGGCCTAGTTGTGAACCATGGTCAAGCGATCTCAGCTAGAAGTCTCAGTGTGGTCTGAAACCCTGCACTGTCCGGTTCCTGATCACCCTAAGATTTCTAAGCATACTCCTCCAAAATATACTTGGGAAGACTGGGGCTAAACATCCAGGATGGGAGCATGAGAGGCAGGGGCAGTGTGTGCATCCTCATGACAGGTTGTTCCCTCACCCCCATGCAGGGCATTTAAAATCACATTTCAAGCCTTCTAGTGTCATATGAGAGATGTTCCTGTATCTTGATTTTGTCATGTGCTTGGGAAACATTAGAATTATTTCTTTTTCTTTTCAAACTCCTCCGGCACTAGCTGAGGAGGGAAGGGGGGGAATGGGGAGGATATTAATTCAGCACTTTTAAGTTAGTAGATTATGTTTTATTAAAAAAGTAACAGGAATTGTTGCACCAATGAAATGGGACTGATTATCTCTTCTACAGAACAAAACTAAAGAACCATGAATATGAAACTCTGGACCATTTGGAATGCGATTTAAACTTGATGTTTGAAAATGCCAAACGTTATAATGTTCCAAATTCTGCCATTTACAAGAGAGTACTGAAAATGCAGCAGGTTATGCAGGTAAAACTTCACACTCAAATAGCTACGTCTCTGGGGTTATTTTTGCAGGAGCTAGCATTTGGTGCATTTATATCTGCATTGGCACACTGCTGTGATAGTAATTCTTCTTGGTGCTATTTCTGTGTTTAAACTCTAAGCATTATTCTTCTATATGTTTCCGAATGAGAGTTTTTAACTGATAGCCATATGGCTAGAAATACAAATGAATATTCTGGATGAGGAATGAATCTTGCTAAACTAATTTTCTGCACTGGTAATCTTAAATCAGGTTTTTGAAGAAGACATTGTATACAGCTTTCAAGATATATGTATTAAGAGCAACTGATAGCTAGTAAGACATTTTGCCATAGAAGCTTAGATAGAAGGCTTGCTGTTCTGGAATAAGCTTGATTATTTAGATATTCTGTGTACAGTATTTAATATTTTGCTTTATACATGTAACTTGAATGGCTTTCTATTGATGCTACTACTATATTTCTGCATTTCAGAATGAACATTATCTCTGGAACTGTTAAATATTCATGCATTCAGGGGACATTCAGTGGATTGAATTTAACTCTAGGGATTTGTTTTCTTCCAGGCAAAGAAGAAGGAGCTAGCCAGAAGAGATGATATCGAGGATGGAGACAGTATGATCTCTTCTGCAACATCTGATGCTGGAAGTTCAAAAAGAAAAAGGTATGCACTTGCTGTTAATAATAATTAGTAATTATTTGATTTAATTTTCAGTTATTTAAAGCCAGTTATCAGCTGTGTCTTTATTGACAAGGTGATCTATCAAATATGTAAATATACAGTTCGGAAAAAAAAAAAGTATTATACCCTGGTCCATATGCTGAGGTGATAAGAAATTTTAAATGTGATATTTGACATAGGTATTTTATCTGACTATTCCTATTTTCTGTTAAAAGGTACAATACCATATAGATGGTAAGGCTGCAATCAATCCTATGCACTTAGCTGGGAATATGCCCCATTGAACACAGTTCTTACTTTTAAGTAAACAGTTAAATCAGAAAGAAAGGTGTATCTATTAAGGGGTTAAGTGTGGTTGGAAAATGCCTTACTTGATTGTTCAGGAAACCTCTAAATGTTGGGATCCTTTGAAGACCCTAGAAGGTGGGACAGGAGGCTTCATCTTTCCATTTTACTCTCTTTTCAGATAATACTGGGAGAGGTTCTCTGAATAATATGACTGTGAATGCAACATCACAGTTCACTTTTGAGATTAGTTTCACCACCATTGCTTTGACCTCGTTAGCTTAGCAGTTCCTTCTACCCAGTGCTTTTTTTCTGGGGGGACGCATAACCCTAAACATTTTGTGAATCTAAGTTTGGCCTCATTGAGGGGCAGTATTTCAATATGAGTAGGAAAATGAGAGTGCCCCTGAACATTTTCTTTAGAAAAAAAGCACTGCTTATACCAGATCATTGTGCTTGAGGGAGGGAGAGGAAATTCATTATATTAAATCAGGCTTCCTCAGCCTCGGCCCTCCAGATGTTTTTGGCCTACAACTCCCATGATCCCTAGCTAGCAGGACCAGTGGTCAGGGATGATGGGAATTGTAGTCTCAAAACATCTGGAGGGCCGAGGTTGAAGAAGGCTGTATTAAATCTTTCAGAGCATGATTTTTAAAAGTGTTCAATATTAATCTTCACAGTATTAATAGTTTTTCTATTTGTAGCACCAACCAGCCTGGTACCTGGGTGGTCATGAAGCAGAGAAATTGTAACTCACCCACCTCATCACCTGTTGCCTCCCCGCTTGCCATAACCCCTTTTAAAGGAGAGGAGAGCTTCAGAGATTGCTTTTTTGAAGTGTCGCCGCCCTCTGCAAAACTTCACTGCAGTCATCTATAACCAGGGTGGAGGTAGGCACTTCACAGAGTGATTTAGGAAACCTCTCTGTGAAGTGCCTCTCCCCCATGTTACATCTTGCTGCCGCTGCATTGAATAGAGCAGTGGTCTGTTTCACAGCAGCAGTGATCAACGAGGAGGCGGTGGCACTCATCTGACCTCCTGTCGCCTGTGTCACTGCTGCTTACTGCGAGGTGGAAGGGTGAGGTTGACGTTGTGAAAGCGCTCCTGTGCAACCAGTCCCATGCTCCTGTTTGCGCTGCGCTGACCTTGCACTTTCCCCTCTACCTCCCAATGAACAGGAGGTCATGTGAGTGCCACCAGCTGCCACTGCGTAATGGCTTGGGGCCAGGCTGCTTGAAGAACACCTTTCCCCAGGTATTCCCACCAAGACTTTGAAGATCTTCATCCGATACCTTTCTCCAGGTTCCCCTGCTTAATGTGGTAATGCAGGTGTCTGCCGGGGACAGGGCCTTTTCAGTGGTGGCACTTCATGTATTCCATGCCCTCCCCAAAAACGCTTGCCTGGTGGCTGTGCACCAGATGAAAAGCTTCCTGTCCCTCCCTCCCACCAATACCTTTATAATAGCCTTTTAATGGTAGTTTTGGTGGTAATTTAGCTCTCTCAGTCAAGTTACCCCTTCAGGCTTTGTGCTGGTGTAAAAAGTTTAAGCTGTTGTTCTATACCAGGCATGTCCAACCAGTAGATCACAATCTACCAGTAGATCCCCAGCTGATCCTGGTAGATCGCGAGACCCTTATCGATCGTGGGATTAAATAAAGTTTACCAAAAGCTAACAAATAAAAGCTGAAGAGCTCTGTGCAATCCCACCCCCAAAAAGCTCACCCACCTCACGCACGCTCCTCCTCCCTCCAATGACAATGGCTAGATCATTGCCAGTTTTTTATATTGGGAGTAGATCACAGTCTCTTGGGAGTTGGATGTGTTTGTTCTATACAGTTTTAAATGTTTTGTAATGGATTGTTGGTATTATTGGATTTATTATTATTATTATTGGTAAACTTCATTCAATTTTGAATTTAAGAAGCTGTGAACCCCTAGAGAACATAGGTGGTAAAATTAATAAATAAGTATCCCCTCCCCCCTTTCAAATCTAACAGCAAAAAGAACATAAAGAAGCAGCGAATGAAAATTTTGTACAATGTTGTTCTTGAGGCACGAGAGCCTGGCACTGGCCGAAGACTTTGTGAGCTGTTCATGGTGAAACCTTCCAAAAAAGACTATCCAGATTATTACAAAATCATCTTGGAGCCAATGGATTTAAAAACAATAGAGCACAATATCCGCAGTGACAAGTACGTTGGGGAAGAGTCTATGATAGAAGATATGAGGTTAATGTTTCGAAACGCAAGGCATTATAATGAAGAAGGCTCACAGGTACGTTCTCAGGAAAGTTCAAACCAGATTTGTATAGCTGTCACTCATGCGTTCCTCTGCTTATGCTGATATTTCATTAAATGAATTTCACAGTATGTTTTGGTTTTCTAAAAGTATGAGCTGTGAAATTTCTTTATAGCAGTTTATATGCATGCTCCTTGCTTACCTTGTAGAATATGTCCATCTCCACATACAAAAGAGCAAAAATGAATATCTGTCCTTAGCCTTTGGGTAAAGCAGCCTCCAAATATTATTCAGACTCACCTTTGGGTGGCAAAGGAAACCATAAAAAACATACCATGATCAATATGAGACCTTGAGATGGAGTGGATTATGAGGTCAGAGAAATGCCTTTGCATAATTTGCGAACTATCAATTAGTGGTTTCCATATTGTGGGTTGGAGATACTTTGTGTGTAGTTTTGCCAGGATGCTAAACAATATTGAGAAAGTGGAGCACCAGGAGCTAATAAACTAACTTCTTATACTGATGAATTAGCAATACTGGGATCTGGCATGCCAGAGATAAACTCTTCCCTGCCTTGCATATATAACCTTATGGTTAATCCATGGAGCTTCCCGTGCCTTTAAGAGAGGCGTGTGGAAGAGAGGGTTGTGCCCCACTTAGGTGGCTCATTACATATTCCGGAATCCAGTGCATTTATGGATGACCTTCTGCCTAATGGCAAAGATGGCCCTGATCCTACGTCTTCTTTGTGCAGGGATAGAGCTTTCCCTGCTGCTATGTGAATGTTGTAGCTCATTCTAGGTAGGCGCTTTGGGTCATGTTAACAAGATTACCAAATGCACTTCCTCATTCTTAATTAGAACAAAAAGTAAAATCCTAATAGCCATTTGCTGTTTGTTATTTATAAATATTTTCATGATGAATAGGTTTACAATGATGCTCATATCTTGGAGAAGATTCTTAAAGAAAAGAGGAAAGAGCTGGGACCTCTGCTTGAAGATGATGAGGTTGCTTCCCCTAAATTGAAATTAAGTAAGGAACTGTTGTAAATTCCCAAGCCTGATAAATGAAATATAAAATGTTAACAGATTGCAGTCTTATTAAGCTGAGTAGTTTGCAACTTTTCATCTGCTTCTGAAATACAGACGAATTTGACAAAATATTTATTAGATTTTAAAATATAATTGAGTCCTGAGCAAAGGTGTCCTAAACTGAACTGTGTCAGAGCATTTATGCCAAGAAAGAGACAGTCTGGCCCTGAATAGGGTAGAAGTGTTAAAGCACTGTTCTAAGCTTTTGTAACATGAGAAACAGTAAAAGCTGAAATGTTGTTAGATTTGGGGAACAGCATGAGAAGTTATATATTTCCCACATATGCCTCTTGCAACATATCGTTCTTTTTTTTCCTCCCCAGTTTCTTGATTGCTACTGAGCCATGTGATATTAATAGATGTAAAGTACTTTGTGATCCTCATCAAAAGTTGCTGCAGAAATATCATGTTGTTTTCTAAAAACAACAACACAGAACTAGTAATAGAGCAATGGCCCTTACCATTTCCGCTAGAGGAGCACTGATTTTGTACAGGAAGGTTTTCATTTTGTATTTTTGCACAGTGCAAGGCCCAAATCATTATGCTTTATTACTCCACTGCTGGAGATCATATGGTCGGTGGGGTTATTTTTTGCAGATTTTTTGTGCTGCTTTGTTTTAAAAGACAAACTGTATATCAAAGAAAAAAGAACTGAGAATGCTTGACATACTATGTATTGTTGACTATGGGTTGTAAGAATAGTAAAAAGTATAGAAGCATCCAAGACCAGCACATATACAGTGTTAGAAACTGAGATATGAAAGCTAGGAGCTGAATAGCACCTTAAACCTAGGTTATGGGTGCAAAAACGGAACGTCTAGGCACGCTTTTTTAATAACAAGAATGCAAAACTGAAAATGAATGAACTGCAGCTTAAATATTATGTTCATTTTTCACATATTCTTCCCTTGCCTACCCCCCTAATATTCTTAAGAGGGTCTCTTCTCTAGTCTTCAGAGAGTAGCTGGAAGTGGGGAGGCAGAAAAAGGTCTTCCTTTCCTTCCACTCTGCAGTCTTAATCTGAAATCTTAAGCACAGTACTGCGCCCAGAGCTCAGAAACTGCTAGCGCTAATGAAATTCCCTGTCACAAAATGCACCTAAAACAATGGGAGTTTTGAACACTGCACATGTCCTGCAAACCATTATTACCATAACCTCTTGCAATTGGTAGCCCTGTTAGCTTCTGGGGCTGTTTTGCTAAAAACTGAAATGGTTTTGCTGTGCAAGATGTTTATTCTGGGATTTGAAAACTACTTTAAATAAATGAAGAATGTTTTATATTCAGAAAAGTTTTTTGTGCTGGGACTATCAGTTACTGGCCATGATCCAGGGTTTCCAGTGTATCTACGGGGCAGTGAGGAAAAGAGGCTTCAGCATCCTTTTCTGTGTAGTGCTCTGTGTAAGGTTATTATAAGGAATCTCCCGGTGCACACACAATTCTCTTCGTTAAAGCCCTGTTCCAACAAAGCTTTGAGAGTGTGCCTTTTGATTTTGACATAAGCAATATGAACATGTTTCGTTCTGCTTGGGAGGACCTGTAAAAGGTAAAGGTACCCCTGCCCATATGGGCCAGTCATGTCCGACTCTAGGATTGCGTGCTCATCTCGCTGTAGAGGCCGTGCGCCGGCGCCGTCCGAAGACACTTCCGGGTCACATGGCCAGCGTGACAAAGCTGCAGCTGGCGAGCCAGCACCAGCGCAGCACACGGAAACGCCGTTTACCTTCCCGCTATAAAGTGGTCCCTATTTATCTACTTGCATTTAAGAGTGCTTTCGAACGGCTAGGTTGGCAGGCGCTCGGACCGAGCAACGGGAGCTCACCCCGTCATGGGGATTCGAACCGCCGACCATACGATCGGCAAGTCCTAGGCACTGAGGTTTTACCCACAGCGCCACCCGCGTCCCTGTAGGGAGGACCTGTAGCCTAGCCTTATTTGACATGACTCTCCAGATGCTCCGAGTCCACTGTTGCCCTCCAGATTCCTTCTGCAAAACACTTCCTTTTCCATGGTGTGTGAGTGTGTGTGTGTGTGTGAGAGAGAGAGGTGCAGACAGAGAAATTCTGATGTTTTCATATTGTTACGAGAGAAAATAAAAAGCACAAAAGTCTTGAGAAGGAGCTATGATGTGAAAGACACCAAATTGCATGTGTCTAATGTTACATGATATACCCAGATTAGTATTTGAGTAACTGAAGCCACAAGAATGTTGGCTTTTTTTGTCTAGCTTTAAATTTTGTTCCTCTAGGTAGAAAGACTGGCATCTCCCCTAAAAAATCAAAATATATGACTCCAATGCAACAGAAACTTAATGAAGTATACGAAGCGGTGAAGAACTATACAGATAAGCGAGGGAGAAGGCTTAGTGCCATTTTCCTGCGGCTTCCATCTCGATCGGAGCTTCCTGACTACTACCTGACAATTAAAAAGCCGGTTGATATGGAGAAGATCAGAAGTCACATGATGGCCAACAAGTATCAGGACATTGATGCCATGGTTGAAGATTTTGTAATGATGTTCAATAATGCCTGCACTTACAATGAGCCAGAATCCTTGATTTACAAAGATGCTCTGGTGCTGCACAAAGTTTTGCTAGAAACTAGAAGAGACATAGAAGGAGATGAAGATTCTCATGTCCCAAATGTAACACTGCTGATCCAGGAACTTATACATAACCTTTTTGTCTCTGTAATGAGTCATCAGGATGATGAAGGCAGGTGCTACAGTGACTCCTTAGCTGAAATTCCTGGTGTTGATCCTAATTTCCCAAACAAGCCGCCCCTGACTTTTGATATCATACGAAAGAATGTGGAAAATAACCGCTACCGGAGATTGGATTTGTTCCAAGAGCATATGTTCGAAGTGCTGGAGCGGGCAAGGAGAATGAACCGGTGAGTAAAACTTTACCTTTATCAACCTCACTAGTAACTTAAGTTACTAGTGCTTGATTCAGGTAGTTAGCCATGCTGGTCTGACGCAGTTGAAATAAAAAAATAAAAAATTGTCCAGTAGCACCTTAGAGACCAACTGAGAAGTGTGCATGCACACGAAAGCTTATACCAGAACAAACTTAGTTGGTCTCTAAGGTGCTACTGGACATTTTTTTATTTGTTATTTTTATTATTAGTGCTTGTGACACACCCCTATTACAGTGATCACTGTTGTCAGTGATACTAATACAAGAGTCTGTAAGTTACTAGTGCGGGATTGGACTCTTATTCCAGGGGCAGGCATGAAACCACTTTCCATTAACTTTCCATAAATAGCTTTTGCTTGTTACCTTCAATGCTTAGTACCTTTAATGTCTCAGAAAGGTATATTTTCAGAAAGGTACCTTCATTGATTTTGCAATATGTAAGTATGTTTTAGTTAGTTAAAAGCCAGATGATTATCTAACATATATCACACATATCTATGCACATACATACACATATATATACACATATATATATACACATACATACTAAAAAGTGCTACAAGTTTTAGAGAAGCGTAAAAAAGCAACTTATACTACTGCATGATATGAGAACTGCAGATTTTGAGATGATATAACAGGCATAGGCAAACTCGGCCCTCCAGATGTTTTGGGACTACAGCTCCCATCATCCCTGACCACTTGTCCTGTTAGCTAGGGATGATGGGAGTTGTAGTTCCAAAACATCTGGAGGGCCAAGTTTGCCTGTGCCTGTGATATAGCAAGACTTTGGCTCAGTGGAATTGTCACAGTCTCTAGCCAATTAAACCATTGCTTATTGTCCTGAGAATGAGCCGTGTGCCCCTACACTTTCTGCTTGCCTTTCCCTCCTCCCCTTCTGCACTTCTACCCTGGCTTACTAAATCACACTTTTCCATGACAGCCTAACCAGGGTCAGAGGGGAAAAAATCAGTTGCAAACAATGAAATTTCTTTTTTTTTTTTTTTCATGCTTCAGCTACAGTTACCTTGTGAATGTTGTCATTTCATGCAGTTTCTCTTTTCTTTAAAGGACGGATTCAGAGATTTATGAGGATGCAGTGGAACTTCAACAGTTCTTTATCAAAATCCGTGACGAACTCTGCAAGAATGGTGAGATCCTGTTGTCACCAGCCCTCAGCTACACTACCAAGCATCTTCATAACGATGTCGAAAAAGAGAAGAAGGAAAAGCTTCCTAAGGAAATGGAAGAAGACAAACTCAAAAGAGAAGAAGAGAAGAGAGGTAATTGTACTTAATTTAAACGGCTGCACATTGTCACTCTTCATTTAGCAGATGCTCACTGAAAGGAGACGTAGGTGAACCTTCTCCAGCATTATCAACATTGCTTGAGAGAGGATGGGCAGTATAAGATGAATTCGTAAATGAGGTGATTTGTACATTTGTGTCATTCAGCTCTCTTGTTCACCTTGACACTCTGATGGAAGACAAGGAAAATGCCAAATTTACAATCTACCCTTCTGGGTCATCTTCCCCAGTAAGATACCGTCAAATGTAGAAAAGTAATTGGACAGATGGTTGTCAACATGTGTATTTCCTACACAGCCTTCACTGAACTATTCAGATGTGCTTGCCCCTACATGTAATTCAGTCATGAGGGAAGTACTGTTCAGCAGAGCTCAAAACTGCCAACTCAGCTGGTAAATTGCAAGTCTTGCACATGGTAAATATATTGTGAGTGTAGCGATTGTATTAGTATCACTGACAACAGTGATCACTGTAATAGGGGAGTGTCACAAGCACTAGTAACTTATATACACTTGGTATTATATGTATGTGAGCTGGGAGCTTTTTAAACAGTAATATGCATTACTTCATTTCAAAATGTGGTAAGCCAGACCTGCTGCACTTGGGGACCCTTACGCTCGTGTTGCTATGTGGGGCCTTAGACGTCTGCCCAAAGTCCTGATGGTACAACTGGCCACAGGCCCCCTTCCCACCTTGCCACACCATTTTGAATACACTGCCAAGTCTGAAATGCTTTCTTCCTGTTCATTCTCCCCTCCTCACCCCTCTTCGGAGGCCCATTTCAGTGATCAGGGCATGCTTCTTGCAAAAACATTCCTCTTTAACCAGGCCTTTGGCTAATTAACATCCAATACCCTTTTAAATGCCTTGTGGGAGGGTTGTTTATTGGTTTGTTATGTTATGTTTTCTATCTTGTATTTTTGTGTTGTGAACTTCCCTGATAGCTACAGATGAAGGACAGAATACAAATTTAATAAAATAATAATAATAATAATAATAATAATAATAATAATTTGGGGGGGTGGAATCTGTCTTACCCCTTGTGTGGCAAGAATAGCGCCTCTCCCTTGCATTGCATGATGATGGGGGGATATTGCTTGATATGGCTGGTGCCAGGAATTCTTTCTAAGAGGAAATGGTCACCCTTTACAGGAAAAATCATTGGTGTTTAAAGTGTTACAAGGCGAGCAGTCCCGTGTTTTTTAACTGACTGTAAGTCATTCCCACTGTTTTCTTTTATGTTGAATAAGAAGCTGAAAAGAGTGAAGATTCTTCTGGAGGATCAGGACTGTCTAGTTTACACAGGACATACAGCCAGGATTGCAGCTTTAAGAACAGCATGTATCATGTTGGGGATTATGTGTATGTTGAACCCGCAGAAGCCAATTTGCAGCCTCACATAGTCTGCATTGAACGACTGTGGGAAGATTCGGCTGGTAAGAAAGACTGTCTTCTTAATGCTGGTGGCTGCAGCTGTCCTATGCCCTGTCTTATATCCAGATACCAGCTCCTGTAAACACAGTACATATTTCATTAAGTGGTAATAGAACCACTACCATGAGATTTCCCTAACAAACTGATAGATTATTGAAATAATTCAATGCAAGGACAGCACTGGCTGATTGTAGAGTGATCCCTAACAATTCGTTTCATGGGACACTGTAGCCAATGGCACGGGTCACGGGTCGTCAGCTGACACAGGTGGGAGTAAAACTTGTAGGAAGCAGGTCCATTTCCCTGAGTTTTTCCTCCTGCCTGACGCAGCGGTACGTGTGGATGTGAGAGGAGACAGCTGTACTTCATTCTGACTAGCTTCGCCCCCAGGACAGCTAGTGGAAACCTGAGGGAGGAACACAAGTGGTGATTGTGGCTGAGCTACAAGCTTAGAGCCATGCTATGCCCAAATGCCTCAAGGCCACATCTGCACCCCAAGCATAGTGCGACACCTCTCACTAAGAACAAAGAGTCACGTTTCTCTCCCCCCACAGCACTGCTGTTGTGATTGCCATGTTAACTGGTGGTACAGTCACCATTCTGTTCTGTGCAGCATGAATGACAACCAGCATCTCATCCTTTCTCAAATGTCTTATTTTGTGAACTTCAGTTTTCAAAAAATTGAGGGTTACGGTCTGTCTTTGATTTGTGCAATCACAATATGCAAAGAGAAACTGTCCCACAGTTTTGCAGGTCTAGACTTTAAAATGCACTTTCCCAGAACACAAACTAGCACTATCTCAGCCATTTTATTGGTGCAGAAGATCCGCGGATCAGTTTATAACTTGTTACAGTTGTTTTGTATCACAAAACTTTCTTGTTTTTAGGAGAAAAATGGTTGTACGGCTGCTGGTTTTATCGACCAAATGAAACATTCCATCTTGCAACCCGAAAGTTTTTGGAGAAAGAAGTATTTAAAAGTGATTATTACAACAAAGTCCCCGTGAACAAAATTCTTGGCAAATGTGTGGTTATGTTTGTTAAGGTGAGAATAGACTAGATGTTCTGTTATGTATCTGGATGAACACTATGCTGATCAAATATTTGTGTTTAGTTGTGGTAGAGATCATTTTTCTGTTTTGTTAAATTTCTCCCCATCATGCCCTCTTCAAGTAGTCAAATGCTTATCAGTTGGGAAATGAAATGAGGCCACTGAAAGATAAGGGAATGATTTCTGTACCCTTGGGAGACTACCTAGGTCTGCAGGTCTATGGAGCATGTAAAGTAGGGAGGAAAGGCATTTGTTTAAGAACCTCAGAGCAACCTGGTAGGAACTTGTGGGCTTCCAGATTTACAGGATGTTGGTGGCCATTTGAGCCTGAACACTGATCCAGAAAACACCACAAACAATGGCTTTTGAACTTACGTGTTTCTGCAAGATGAGCTATTTTTTCCTGAATGATTATTTTTCCCCATTGACTAGGAGTATTTTAAGCTATGCCCAGAAAACTTTAGAGATGAAGACGTTTACGTTTGCGAATCACGTTATTCTGCGAAGACCAAGTCCTTTAAGAAGATTAAATTATGGACCATGCCAATTAGCTCTGTACGATTTGTTCCTCGAGACGTGCCCTTGCCTGTGGTTCGTGTTGCCTCGGTATTTGCGAATACAGACAAAATCGATGAGGAAAAGCACACTGAAATGTCTGAGGATATCAAAGTGGGAGACCACGCCCTTAGCCTTGAAAAGGTATACACCTTTGAAGAGCTGGCCATTAAATGCTTTGACTTTTGTGCTTGTCTGTAGATATTTTAAATGGTTTATCAGTTTAGGAATGAATAACTGATGCTTTTACCTGCTTCAGTTCTGATTTGTACATGGGTCTCCCATATACACATCTAACAGCCACATGAAATTACATGGGAAAGTTATTTGGAGGTTTGGACTAAAGCATCACCAGTATGTGGATGACACTCAGCTCTACCTCTCATATTCAGGAGAATCCCCAGAACTGTGAGGGAGGGAAAGGAGTCAGGATTGTTCTGTCTGGCAAGCTGAAAAGTTTGCACCCCACTGATCAAACAGTGGCCATATTGCTATGCTGAATGGCATATTAAAGGAGATCTGGGGGTCTGGATGTCACAGTCCCTGCTTATGCAAGTAGCTTCTGGATGAGGCTGAGTACCTAACGCACCATTTTATTTAAGAAGAGTTGCACAACTTTCCCCATTTCTTAAGTCTGCCTTTATTTTACAGGACAAAGAAGATGTTCCAGTAGAAATGGCAAATGGAGAACCTGGGTGTCACTACTATGAACAGCTTTGTTACAATGACATGTGGCTGAAGGTTGGGGATTGCGTCTTCATAAAATCACACGGTCTAGTCCGACCACGAGTTGGCAGGTACCCTTTTTCTCTATAAATATAGTTGCATCATTGAAAACTGATTCAAGTCTTTCATGTACAAAAGCAAAAGATGAATAAAGTAATTGGGGGGAATGGCTCAATTTTTGACTTGGCGATTATCTTGGGATACTCTGAAGCAAATCTTTTTCTGTTTTTCAGAATAGAAAAAATGTGGGTAAGAGATGGAGCTGCCTATTTCTTTGGTCCAATCTTTATACACCCAGAGGAAACTGAACATGAGCCAACAAAAATGTTCTACAAGAAGGAAGTGTTTTTGAGTAACTTAGAAGAGACCTGCCCCATGACATGCATTCTAGGTAACCAAATAGTATTGATGTTTTTTGCTATAACTTTTGTGTTTTGAATGAACAGTACAGTTGGGGGCTGGGGGAATCACTCCAATTCTATCATTTCCATTTCTTTTTCATGTTCTTGCTATGTTTCATGTTAGTATGGTATACATAACTCATTAAACCTGAGTATCTAGTACATAATAAATTCTGTATGATAAATTTATTTGGGGGTTTTTAAAAGCCCTTTTCATTCTTCTAGAACTAGTAACAGAGGAAAATAAATGTGCTTTGAAATCCAGTAGGTTGTTTACTAGATAAGGACATTCTCATTGTGTTGTGTATGGCCCTTGGCAATACTATGGTCATCCTAAACAGCAGCTGCTGCTGCTGACTCAATCTACCTGTATCACATTATTGCCTACTTTACTAGAAGTATAAAGGCTTTTGAACAAAATAATCAACTAGTCTTGAATGGTGCATACAGTTATTTTAAATTTTCTTAAGTGAATGGTTTTCTTGTTCGTGTGAAATTAAATTGGCTCTGTTAAGGGGAGGAGAAGCTGTTCGACTTCCAAAATGTTCGAAAACCAAATCGCGGCTTCTGATTGGCTGCAGGAAGCTCCTGCAGCCAATCAGAAGCCGTGGAACCCCCATGGGACGTTCAGCTTCCAAAAGAACGTTCAAAAACCGGAACAGTCACTTCCGGGTTTCGATCATTCTGGAGAACTAGGCTGTTCGAAAACCAAGGTACGGCTGTATTTGTCATGAAGAGATCCAGCAAGGAAGCACTGTCCTAATCCAGCAAAGGAGATCCATGTATGAATGCTGTCATCATATCCATTTAACTTCATGGATGTGTCAGTGTGCATAGGAGATGCATTCCCTGCAGGAGTCCCTAGTCACATGCAACATGTGAACTGGAATGAGGCTTAGGTGTTCCATTGTAGACTATGTGTGATGAGTCAGTATATTGTCATGAACTTTTTGGTGGTTTAAAGTATGCAGGCCTGTTAACAAAAATTCGCTTTCAAACTCTTAGTGTGGAAAACGCTGCTACTTTATTTTTCTCTCTTTCAGGAAAGTGTGCTGTGTTGTCTTTCAAAGACTTCCTCTCCTGTAGGCCAACTGAGATTTCTGAAAATGATGTTCTCCTCTGTGAAAGCCGCTATAATGAAAGTGACAAACAGATGAAGAAATTTAAGGGATTGAAAAGGTTTTCTCTTTCAGCAAAAGTAGTAGATGATGAAATTTACTACTTTAGGTACGATGTTTTTGCTTTTAAAGCATTATCGGAGATAATGGGGGTAGAGATCTTTAAGTTGATTTGACTGTAGGAAAAAATGTCCTTTATAAAACGTAGTGGTATAAACTGAAGCATCTTCAGATCCATTGAACATAGAGGGCCATTACCTCACCAGGAAGCTAACTTGGCTATTCCAGAAATCGAATTTGTATTGGGTCCAGGAATTAGAAGGGTCTCAGGCATACAGCCTGCCATCCCCCTCCCCCCCGGCCAAAGCAACAGCTCACAACATTATTTTAAATAGGCAATGGTGAACTTGAATATAGTCATTTATTTTCTGCCAAGATGTATTTCTTACTTAAAATATCACTGCACAAAAATAGGCATATTATCATTTTAGATAAGGGCTGTAGAGAACGACATCCTTTTCACTGAAGGATTTGCAATTAGAAAAATTGATTTCATTGCTAGAAAAGTTTAACATTAGCAAACATCTTAGAGTTGGCTACCAAAGCTATTCTGTTCTTTGTGGTGTGCACCTACTTCATGGAAGATTTCTAAATAATTATTCTGTGCAGTTTCAAAATTGGGTTCAAACAACAGTTGCTTACCTTTTTCAAACATGCCACTTTTTAAAAAATATGTTCCTTCTTCCTGATGCAACACTTACTGTAAAGCAGAATTAGGAATTATGGGCCAGATACAACTAAGCTGTCACCCTAACGGAAACCAGCATGAGTCCCACTAGTGCAACAGGATATTCTTTCCTCTCCTCTCCACCACTCTCCCCAAATCTCAGCAGGGTCAGGAGACCCCCCCTCCCAGAACAGGGTACAGTGGGGGGAGAGGAGAGCGTGTTCCAACAGCACAAGTGTTTTTGCTTGGCATACAAATGGATCCCCCTTAGTGTGGCGTTGAATTCTATCCTATGTTGTGCAGAGAGGGGTTTTATTCATATGGAATACTTTCTTAGGAAACCCATAATTCCTCAGAAGGAGCCATCTCCCCTTCTGGAAAAGAAGATTCAGCAGCTAGAAGCCAAATTTGCTGAGCTGGAAGGAGGTGATGAAGAGATTGAAGAGATTGCAGAAGAGGAAGGTGAAGTTACAGAAGCGCCAACGATGCCTCAGCTTCAGAGTCCGCTTTCTAATGAATTGGATATAATGCCATACACTCCTCCACAGGTAACGTCTTTTACAAAATCACATAGTTGAGACCTTTCCCTCCTCCTCTTCCTCCTCTGCTGAAAAGATGTGTGTTTTGGCTGTAGTGAGCTATATACCAGAAATGCAATCTTCAATGTTACTTTGTCAATATACAATTTATTTTCTTTTTAAAAGAAACTGCTTGGAGTTCTTCTATTGAATACACATTATATATACTTTTGTAAAATCAATTAAAATATACTGAGAACAAATAATTTTGTAACTCATGTGACTTCAAGTTATGTCTTTCATTTAATGCCATTTAATGCTGGGGAAATTGTGATTTGTGGTGCAGCAACTCATGTAAATGAAAATTTTTGGGTAACCAAATAAGAAATAAGTCGCTTTTGGGTTGTTTGCAGTTTCTAGAAAGTTCTAAAAGTAATTTGGAAGAATATTAATTAATGGCAGATATACTGCAGTGCTGCCCAGGTTTTGTAAACCCTAGAGGCAACTACCACTTCCTAGATATGGCAGCCATCTTCCCAGATTTGCCCACCCAAATACTCTTGCCTCATTGACAATGATCCAATACAGTCGTACCTTGGTTTTTGAACAGCTTAGTTCATGAACAGCTTAGAACTGGAACGTCGCAAACCTGGAAATAGGTGTTCCAGTTTGCGAACTTTGCCTTGGAAGCCAAACATCCGGCACAGCTTCTGCGGCTTCCGATTGGCTGCAGGATGCTCCTGCAGCCAATCGGAAGCTGCGCCTTGGTTTCCGAACGTTTCGGAAGTCGAATGGACTTCCGGAACGCGTTCTGTTCGAAAACCAAGGTACAACTGTACCATTATCAGCTTAAAAATATGATCATGAAGACAAAAAGGTCAGAAATTGAGGATTAGATTATCTAGCCTTCACTTTCTAACTTGAGAATTTTCTGTTACGCATTTATGACCATAGGTGTGTTTTTTTCTCCATAGTCCACTCCCAAGTCTGCCAAGGGCAGTGTAAAGAAGGAAGGATCAAAGAGGAAGATCAACATGAGTGGTTACATTCTATTTAGTAGTGAGATGAGAGCGGTTATTAAAGCTCAGCACCCAGATTATTCATTTGGAGAGCTCAGTAGACTTGTTGGAACAGAGTGGAGAAACTTGGAAGCAACCAAGAAAGCAGAGTATGAAGGTAAATTAAAGGTGTAATGATGTGAAACCTTTTTGCCCTTTCAGAAAAGACTCAGTGTCCTTTTGAGGGCAGGCAACTTATATTTCTGTCTTTGGAGCTTTAAATATATAAGTGCTCACCCCATAGAAACTTATAATGCACTAAGACAGGGGTTCCCAAACTGTGGGCCGCAAGCTTTATTCAGGTGGCCTATGGCACGTTGATGCTAAATATTCCTACTGATTTTTAATGGTATTTTATTGCTTCTTTTCTTTTTATTTTATTTTATTTCATTGCATTGAAGTTCTATGGAATACAAATTACAAGGCAGTAAAATACAGCATAAAGATACGCTACAATTAAAAATTATTATGGCATTTAGCACACCACATTGAAGTTACCGCAAGAGACAGTAAAATCATTAAGTGGTCCATCAACAATTTTCAGGTGGTCATGGGGAGGGGGGAGTTTGAGAACCACTGTACTTGAGGGAATTGATAGTGGTGATGATGCCTCTGGAACAGACCGACTGAGCTGCCTGCTAGGGAGGAGCCAGGTGCCCAAGAAGAAAGTCATCTAAGGTAGGTATCTTCAACCTGTTCAGACTCAGGACCCACATCTAACCCAAACATGTATTTGGAGACCCATTTCTTAACCTTTTACCATATGTTTCAATGATAGTAGTGCTCCTGTTTGCAGCCTACCTTGGACCAGACTGCAACCCACCAGTGGGTCCCAACCCACCAGTTGAAGACCAGTGATCTAAAGGAAGCGAGTGGGCTTGAAGTAGATTGAGAGAGGAATAGGGAGAAGGAGAAAAACTGGAAAGGAGAAGTAGCAGAGTGAAAAGTTGAGCAGTGGATGGGAATTGTAGAGAAGCAGGTTTTGACTAATATTACCAGTGCAAGCTGCTCAACAGTGGAATAGATTGCTGGAGGGGTGACCAGCTCTCCCCTTTTCTGGAGGTATTTAAGCAGAGGCTGGACAGGCATCTGCCAGGAAAGTTGTAGTTTCATCCTGGATTGAGCCAAGAAGTTGCACTAGATGACCGCCAAGGGCCCTTCCAATTCTATGATTCCTATAGCCAGGAGCTGCAAGAGTGAAGTTCAAATACTGGTTTCAGATAACTAGCCCAGCATTTAACATCAGGGCACTAGTACATGCTGCATAGTGAAGATACATAGAAGCAAAATGGAAGGACCACAGAGAGTTCAAAGCAATTAAAGAAGTTTAAAGCAGAGCAGAGAAACGTGTACTTTGTCCTTAATAAATCAACTAAAATACATTTATTAGAATGTCTTTGCCTACTTAACCCAAACAGATGTGCTTTTGTTTCCCTACCTCAAATTGTTATTCTGCTCCCTGAGCAGCATAATAATATAGTCAGCGTATAATAATCAAGCTCTTTCATGTACTCACAGGTAGGTTTTCATTAAAGCCTGCATGTCTTTTGTAGGATGCATGTTTCCAAATGTTTATCATCCTAAACTCGTAGGCTAGAATGTTTTTCAGGTATTTATTGCAGCATTAGAAAAGAAAATTTAGGAATAATTATTAAGCTCTGAAGATGATACGAAGTCATTTTTAAGCAAGTTTGATATTCAGACTAAATGCTGTTGGTCATTGGATCTCACTTTCCTTTACTTTGGACTTGCTGTATCATTTCTTTGCGGAGCTAGAATGATAGATGGTTCCATTTCATTTCCTTTTTTTCAAACTCATTCCTTCCTACATGTACTGACACATAGAAATGTGGACACATTCAGGCAATCATATCTTAGTTTAATAAGCCAAGACATGAACAAGTTGTTTGGCTGTTCCTGCAGTCCCTTTCCACGAATGTGCAAGCCAGAAAGTCTCCTTGACTGAAGTTTCACAGCATGCTTGTATTGGAAAACTATGTTTAATGGGTTCAGAACAAGCTAGAAGACAATGCCATGGTTCATTTTGAAGCTATTAACCATTGTTTCCCATGTAACCTACAGTGAATGGAATAATTCTTTGTTCATTCAAACTGCAAAGGAGCTGATTATGCACCCATGAGCTTGTTCATACCTCAGTTTATTAAGCTGAGATACAATTTTTTTGAGCCAGTGCAATGTCTCTGACATTTTTCAAAGCAATAATGTTGAGTTTCCCTTTAAACCATGCCGTTTTGAAGTTCACTCCTATCCATTATGATTATATCCCTTTTTATTTTGCTTGGGACTACACCTTGGTATTGACATCCGTGCTAAAGTTTTCTTAAGTATTTCTACTTTGGTCCTTTATAATTTGATTACAAATTTCTGTTCTCAGACTGACATTTTATCAGCCATTTTTGTCAAAAGGCAGATTTTTCTTTCTTTGTAGATGAGGGCATGGATGGAGATAGCAGGCAAAGCAAAGTTGTTTATTTTGTTTTGTATGTTTTGTTTAAATAGATTTATGGACAAAAGGGAAAGTATCTGGTATGAAGCTGCATTTAAAATTAGAAGGAATTTTCTTTCCTTAAGTGCTTTTAATGAGCATCTTAGAATAGACTCATACAGGGTTTATGTACTGAATAAGTGCCATTTAGTAAGCAGTGAAAATGGATTTTAATGGAACTTTGAGTTTTAAACCACCACAAATTCAAAACAGAATGTTTAAGCACTAAACAGTCAAAAGCTGTGCATGACAAACTTCCCTGATAAGCAAAGTAATTAATAAATATGCACTATCAAGAATTTTTTGACATGATAAATTAAGGTTCATGTCTTAACATTTCACTGTACCCAGTGATTACAAGGTGAGGTTTGAAGGTTTGGGGGCTGGGTTTGCTAGATTTGACAGTGAAATTCCAAAGCTCAGCTCCTGTGTCTGCTTGGTACTGTTGAATTGCTCTGTCAATATCACAAGTTTTTGTTCTCTTGTCTGCTAGCATCTGACACAAACCATTTAGAATAAAACCATTGCTGAAAGATTGGCTGCTGTTTTGCTGAACGTAGTCCTAATTCAAGTCTCTAGAATTTACGTGATAAAAGAAATATTAATCCAATGAGTATATATTAAGAACCAATTCAGTGTGGTGTTTTCTTTTTGAATTTACTATGAATAATCAAAATTCATTTTGATAATCAAAATGTCTTTTTCATAGTTAAAACAGAAGACGATATAGTAACTCCTTGCCTTTTGATCTCTTTTAAGGAATTTGTGTTATGAAATTAATCATATATTGTATGCTTAAAACTTTATATATATGCACACACACAGGAATCTATGACATAGCCTTCATTTGTAATGTAGATTGTTCCTTACTAGTAGACATACCACAGTAGACATAATTTGTGTCTACTGCAGTTGCATATCTGTGTGTATTTTCTCTTGTGCTCTTTGATCATGCCTGTAATTTCACGTCCCCCAAATATAAGTTTGGATGCATTATTTCTGTTCCTAAATCAAAGAAGGTGCAAAAAGAATCATGCTTTTCTTGTTTGTCTACATAAAATATTAAGTCTGTTGGGCAACTGGGATATATGAAATGCTGTGCTAGGAAACTAGTCTTTTGATGGGACAAATTGTGCAATTGTCTCATTCTTGTTGTTTTCTTACAAAATTTACATTTTTTATCTGGGAAGTAACTTGGAAAGGGATGCTGTATTTGTTCGATAGTTTCCCCCAGGAGTTCAGGATAAACCATTATGCTTGCCAAGCCTCATGAGTGTACATTTAGAACAATTCCTTTATAGATGGAAAAAATGCTTTCCAAACAGATTTTGTTACGTTTAGCAAATGTATTGTTCTCATGGTAGCTGAAGAAGCTTGTTTGGAAGAACCAAGATGGGTGGAAAATAGAATTTCCCTCCTCCTAATCACTGGGCTTTATGTTAAAGATGGAGGTAAAAATTGGGACAATACTGGCCCTATTAAAGTCTAACTGGATACTTGTTTTGGATCAGAGCAAATCCATTGACATGTACTGTACTCTGTAGCTCACCTACTCTGGAACAGGCCCACTGGCGTGTACAGAATGAATCTAGAGCTGACAGGCTGTGAATTGCAAATGTGGTGCGTAGTATCTTATGCCAAGCTGTCATGGCATGCGTATTTCTTACTGCTGAGCTGCTACTATCTGATGGTACCATTGATGGTGGGACTTTTAAAAAGGTCATCAGCTCTAAAACCGCATAGCTTGGATTCTGAGAACCACCAATGGAAAGTAGTTTGCGGAAGGAGACTTTCCCATTCCACCCTCCCCTCCTTTGCGTCCTCCTCGAAAACCTTCACCTGTTTGGGGGCAACTTCCTCCTGTAGCCCCCTGCATCACATTCTGTTCTGATCAGAGGGTCCCCTGACCCTCAGCAGAAGCTTTTAGGGGGCACAGAGGACTGCAGGCTGGAGGAAGCCTTGGTTCTCGGGATCCAGGCCCGCATTTCGTTGACTCTTTTGAGGCCCTTTCATCGTCGCTTCTTTAACCGTCTCTTTGTTGGCAGCCAAACTAAGACAAAATTATGTATTGCATTTTCAAAAATAGCCTGTATTTCCCCCCCACCCACCCACAACTGAAGCCTAAACTTGTTGCCAATGTTGACTAGTCCTTTTTCAGTGATTAGAGAATATTTTTTTTTTTGAAATTCTGGGTTACGAAACAGAACTGAAAGTCTAAAATCTAAAACTTTTGCAGAGCGGGCAGCTAAGGTTGCTGAGCAGCAGGAGAGAGAACGAGCAGCACAGCAACAGCAGCAGAATTCCTCCCCCCGGGCAGGCACTCCTGTCGGGGCTCTAATGGGGGTGGTGCCGCCACCAACACCAATGGGGATGCTCAATCCGCAGTTGACACCTGTTGCAGGTAAAAAACAAATAGGGGCTCTGACCATTTTTTTCCCTTCATCCACTTTACCAAACTCCTTCATAACTCTGAACGCTATTCTTGGGTCACTTTATTTGTAGTGAAAAAGAAAAAAAATAACTATTAAACTTTACCTCATAAAACTTTTAAGTTCAAAACAAACACAGATGTTTCCCTCACTGGTAGAAATAGCACCCCCTTAATCCTAAGCATGCCGTCTTATCCCGATGAAGTCTCTGCCAGCTCATTCCCTGGTCAGCAAACTTGCTCCTGGTTTGTACTGTTAATTCTATTTTGTTTCCTCTGAACGCTGCAGAATCTGGACACTTGGGAAAGAGTGGATGGTTTTCTCAGGTGGCACGTCATCAGTAACATTAGACACGTTCCGACTGTGAGAAAATGTAATATGATGCCTTAACGTGAGGGTAAACCTGAGAACTGATTTCATCCATCAGTTGAACTGGCTAGGGGTCTTGGCAGCAGTGTTTAGTGAGAATCGGAAAACATTTATTTATTTCATAAAATGCATATACCGCTTGAATGTAGAAAACCTCAAAGCGGTTTTCTTTTGCAGGATTTTGGGTTTGTGTGAATTGAGCAGCAAGCCCTCCCATGCCACTGCAATCCACTTTCATCACTGTGATATTTCAAAAGCAATTATATTGTTCAGGCATAATGCTGAACCACACAGTTTAGTATTTTGTGCATGAGTGTCAAGCTTATGCTGTCTCCCCTCCTCCTCCTCTTCCTAAGGCGTAGCCTTGAGGAGGAGCTGGGAAGCTTTCATTTCCATCTTAAACTCTAGCTGTAGATAATTTTACATATAGGACTTGATTATCAAACCATGTAACCTAGTTTTGTGTATTCAAATTTGTCAAGGCTCTACCTGTATTAAGCATCCAAGCTTATCTAGTTCTGTAACTCAGCAAAACAGATACAAGAACAGGAATAAATATTTTGCATTAGGGTGTTTGTAGATTTGGTTTAGTTTAGGTCTCCATATGTTCTGAATCTGTATTTGAAAATAAATACATTAACTTCACCAGGATCTAAATGCGTGTTTTTAGAAGCACTCTGTATTTCATTACATGCAAATAAATTGCAAGGCATTTTATTCTGATAATATTTAATGTGGCAGAATTGTCTGTTAATAGGACCTAGCATATAATCTATTAAATTTATTTTTCTTTTAGTATCACCATCTCATTAAAAAACCCAATATACTGTTTTATATCCAGTTTTTCTCACCACGTTATCTTAACTTACACCTCACTTTGATCCAAATCTGTTTATAAACAGCTTTTCTTGAAACACTTATTTTGTCTGAAGAATATCTTCAAAAATCAGCAACTAATGTAATTCTCTGGGAATAATTGCAACATTTCTGCAGGGCAATGTAATGTAAGTGCAGCAAAAAGGGGGAGCAGCTTTGGGACGCACTCAGAGGTTTGAGAGTGGCGTTCTGCTCATGAAACGGGGATCTATAAGATTTTGGTTCCACTTTCCCTTGCACTCCGCAAAAACCTGTTCCAGAGGATTGAAGGACCCCCTGAAACAGGCTGGGAAGTGGTAAGGAGACTGCAAAGGAAAAGAGAATAAGTGACAGGGAACTATTCGTCTTTAATAGAAAGTTGTCCCACTGATTTACATAATATGATGAATAGTTTGCTAAACATGTTTCACTGCACCTCTTGTTTTCTTGAGTGAAGTTTATCAGTTGAAGAAAGAGCTGGAGCAGCATTTTGTCTAGGAGTGGGCTGTGAGCCAAAGTCCTCATTTCAAATCTCCCATCAACCATGGAAGGATGGGAGAAGGAAGCCACTCCCTCTCATCCTCTGCTCACAGCCCCATCCTGCATATACTATCCTACTTACTTGGCTGCTATAAACATTACTGGCACAGTGTTTGCAACATGCTTTGAACACTTGAAGTGTGTGATATAAATGCTAAATATAGCTACTAGTATTGTAATTAAATGGCAGCCAGTGTTGTTTTCACCTGATCGCTCAACACGAAATCTCAATTTACAGTAGAATGTTTCCAGATAAATAAATTTTACACAGCTTGGTTCTTAGTTTTTAATTTGTTGCTGTGAATTTGATTCGTCAGGGCTGCTGAAAATCTAGTCCAAAAATGTTGCATTTTATCTCAGCTCCATTTGTAAAAAAATAAATAAATTCCTTTTCAGTTCTGTTTTTGTTGCATATGTTGTGTAGAGATTGAATATTAAGCCATTTCGAAGTTTTCAGAAAGCAATCTGTATTTTTTAATGGTTCCCTTAGAAGCCAGACCTCCGCTTTGCTGTCAGGTGGATTGCCAGCACCATTGTAGAAGAAAATCTGTCTCTCTGGTGTTCGGTTCAAGGAGATGCCCGTTCTTTCCTATAACAGGGCAGCAGCATTCCTAGATCTGTAGCTTTTACAGCATAAACCTGTATTTGCGACATATCTCCACTTGGGGTTGATATTATTCTTGTTCGTTTTACTAGTTTTATGTTAAATTTTCTTAAGTGAGATTACACAGGTATAAAATTAGAGCTATTACTTCCAAACTTAACTTTCCTTCAGTAGGTAGGTCTGAATATGTATAAATCATTCCCTGAAATTATCCACAATATTGGTTCCAGCCTTGCAAATAATCAAGTGATGCTTGAAATTATCATGTGACAAAGTATTTCTTCACCACCTTTGACCTCATATAGAGCCCCCAAAGCAACTCACAGACATAATTGCCATCTTTTTCTCAGAATACCTTCAGTGATTTTCCATTATTCTCCCCCAAAACCCACCAGCCCACCCACACAATCCCATTTTGCAGGGCACTGGCCTATATCTCTCAGAACTCCTCTCCACCAATCCTTATTTTCTTCTCTCTCCATAATATCTCAGAATATTTCTCTCAGTCACCTTCACTGTCCCCCTCGCCCAACAATCCCCATTTTTTCCAGTCAAAGACAACCCCCACATTTCCCTCATTAACCACCCACTAACATTTATCTCTCATATTACCTCTTATTCTACCTCTAAGATTACCTCCTATCTCTTTCCTTTCCCAATTTTCTATGGTGAAGACCCTACATATACCCCCCCCCCCCCCGCTTAACTCTCCATGATTATTCTCAAGGCACCCGAACACAGCAATCTTTACTTTCTTTTCCGGTGCCCTTGATTCTCTTCTGTCAAGAGACTTGTCCATTTTGCCTTCTGTTCAGTACAATACATGATTCCTTGTTTACATTGCTATAGTATGCTAAAATTAACATGCCTTGAAGGTGAAGAATTGTACTGTGCGATACATTGCTGTTTATAGTTACCAGTAGTGTAACTTGCAGCAATGTGAGCACTTAAGATGATTGTACAGTGAATATTCTCTGATGAAAACGTCCATGAAGTTTTTACTGTCATGGCACATGAAAGATAAGGTCTCTCTCTCTCTCTTTAATATACCTTCTGTTTTAGTAGTCTTTTGGCCTTAATGAAGGTGAGAGATGGGAAGCAGCTCAATCTATGCAGTATTGTTAAATTAATTTCCCATATGTGTAAGTGGTTAACATCCTGTGTAAGTGAAAAAGCCATAAACAACCTGAATGCCTGGTACACATACATCTTCTGTTAAGCTACATTGCTGTCCCATGAATTTTTGAATGTGCATGTCGCAATGTTATATACTTTTGTATGACTGACAAAACGTTTTGCATTTGCTTGTAATAATAACCACTTAATGATTCTAAATGCTCAGCTGGTTTCCTCCTGAAGAATATGCCCAAAGGCTAAATAATAATCTGTTCTGAATACGATATCTGGCACTGTAACAATGTTCATTTTTGCAAGGTACTAATTGTAGTGTTGTATGGCAGTACCGAAGGTGCATATATGTGGGTAGTGCATGTAATTATTATTTTGATCATTTTGCATGTCATTGATGCATGTTTGAAATTTGTTGTGTCCTCCAAGGCATGCTAGGTGGCTATCCACCAGGGCTGCCAACTTTACAGGGCCCAGTTGATGGCATTATTAGCATGGGCAGCATGCCGCCACTTCACCCTGGGGTGCCTCCACCCCACCAACTTCCACCAGGCATGCCAGGCATCCCACCACCGGGTAAGAATGACCTCATTCACTCATTATCTCGCCTCTCTGTTCTCACCCCATTTAACCAATTGCCGTGGGAAATGTTTGCAGCTTGTGCATTTGTAGCTTAACTGCTTGACTTCTGTCGAATGCTCCAGGTATGTCTAGCTCTCTAGATGTGCAAGGTGCATTGAGAAATATACAAAGTATATTTGCCAAACATCTTGGCATGTATGATACATGTTGGCAGAGCAACAAATGTGACTGATCCAGCAGCAAAGGAGTTGACCATGGAAATACCCTTGTATTTTTAGCATGAGTTTTTTAAAAAGTGTCAAATAGATCTGGCTTGAACGGTTACATAGAGTATTGAAGACGCATAATTCCTAGTCCTTCTGAAACTGTTGAAGGTGATGTTGTTTGTTGAACTGGACAATTTCACTACCAGACATGGATCTTAAATCAGTATACTCTTAGTTTTTTATTTCTTTGTGCACCATTAGTTCAAATATACACGCCCTGATTTCAAACAACTTCATTTAACAGCAAATCATTTAAAAAAAAATGAAACCCTGTAGCCTGCTTTTTAAACAAAGCAAACTGAAGCTTCAGCCAAGGGGAATATTAGTGTCTGGAGAGGTTGAAATGTGGGTACAGGCTTGTTCTTTAACATACAGTTCATCCAGGTTTGATAAATACTTAAAAGTAAATGTTCTCTTGTGATGTGGATCAATATTTATTCAAAACCATGAATGAAACATTAACTAAGAGAAACAGATATTTTGTTTCCAATTATTAAACTTCTATTTATAGGGAGACAGGGGCGGTTATGGAACCCTTGTTCATTGCCCCCTTCTCCTTTTTGCTGCTGCAAATTTTTCTTTCACTTTTACATGGTATATCATACTCCTTTTCTGCATGCAGTGGATAAGCTCAGCTGTTAATCTGTGGGCAAAAAGTAATGTGATTTGCCTGCTTTATTTCTAAGTATGTATTTCACAGTAGTGTTCCCCTAAAATCTGTGAACATGAATAATTGCCTTTAAAATCCCTTTTTTTCTTCAAGCCTGCTAGGGTATACAGTTAACATCCAGCAATCAAGAATTTGAGGATTTGCAGTGAGAAATGAACTATAGCTTTGGAATATAGATGTGTGCCATAGTTTATTTATGGCTCGTTGTGCTGTTGAACTTTGAACAGCCATAAAGTGCTTGTGGATGTTCACTATCATTGCTAGGTTTCTCTATTTTAAAAACACCTTGTCTCCTTAGCTGCAGAAACAGTGTTACTATGATTATCATTGATGTGTTAATTGCCTTCTAAGCAACCATCTCAAGGCTATTTGCATGTAAAAGATTTAAAAAATAGTTAAAAGCACAAAACGAGATACATTTAAAAGCAATGCTAAAACCCCAATAAAGTAGACCCATTTATTCAACAAGGAAAGCCTGTCATTGTTGGATAGAAATGACTGCATATCTGATCAAAATTCCAAACTGTATCCTTATAATCCCCAGGAAGGCTAGTGCTGAATAAATTGTAAACATGAAGAAACAGCCACCATCACAATAAGCTAGCAGGCCTGTACAACTTCATGAGTTCATTTGTGATGTAGCAGCAGTCTTTGTGAGGTTATTCTCAGAGACTATGGAAGAGATTATTACTAGATGAAATAATTTTGGATGGAAGCCCACCAAACACCGCAAACTGTCAGTCAACACAACTTGCTACTTCTAATAAGAATACTTAGGGGATCATATTTTAATACCTGTAATACTCCTTTTTCTTTTTCTTTTACATTTTGAAATACAGGTGTTATAGGTCAAAGCGTTTCCTCCATGGTAGGAGCCCCCTCAGCAGGAAGTCCTTTTGGACAGCAGGTAAGTGATTTAGATAGGCATAGGAAAATCCTATAAATCATACTCTCAAAGGGTTTGTTTTTTAATAAATTGACCTCCCACAACCTAGTGAGTTTATTGTTCCTCTTATTTTCTCATATTGCTTCCTTACTACATCTGGCTTATGATTTAATGATGTAGGAGTTAGAGGATATAAACTATCCCCTCAGATAGTAAGAGCTAAGTAAGGCAACAGGTGCTGGTGAGGGAGAACAGGTGGGAGGGCAGCATCCTTCTCCAGCCCTCCAAATACTTTGCACTACAACCAATGTTAAGGGATTATAGGAGTTTTGGTTCAAAGCATATGGAAGACACCACATTGGGGAAAGCTGCTCCAAACCATTCCTTGTTCTTTTTTTCATGACTATTGATTTCTTGCCCTGCTTTCTTCCTTTTGCTCTCAATACCATTCCCTGTAATCTTCACCAAAAATCAATAAGTAAGATTCCAGATAGCCAAACAGTTAAAAATGTGATATGTATGAATGTGTTGTGCATGGAAGTGAACGCCATTTGTTTTGTGGAGATTTCAGACTGTCTTGATATAACAACGTGAAACAGGTTTTGTTTAGATTTATTTTTTTGGCACGGGCACATTTCTCACCACACCTGAGGGTAACTGTTATTCCCTTAAGGATGTTTCAGATGCTTTTGCTGTTATACCCTTTCCTATTCTTCCCTTTCACGGAACCGTCTATAGAAACACAGTGTTCGCCACTTATCTTTGGTTCAATGAGATACTACAATCGTCAGGCTATGTTTGACCTTTTAAGGTATTGTTCTTTACTATTCCAGATGGGTATCCTTGGTCCACCAGGTCAGCAGGCCCCACCTCCCTATCCTGGACAAAATCCAGCAGCCCAGCAAGTTATGCAGCAGCCAACAACTCCTATGTTTGTCTCCCCTCCACCAAAGACGCAAAGGCTTCTTCATTCTGAGGCTTATCTGAAATACATTGAGGGTCTAAGTGCTGATTCGAGTAGTATTAGCAAGTGGGACCAGACCCTTTCAGGTAAGTCTACTTGCAGTAAACACAGAGACGCTAGAATTTTTTAATTTTTTTTGAGGCTGTCCTTTTAATTCTACCATTACTGTACAGTACTATACTGTATGAGTGGTTTGCCCAGTGTGGCGAAGCTGTAGCTGCCATTTACTGGGAGGAGGGGCAAAGTAGCTATAAGATTGGGTTACACAAGTGGGGGTGCTGGCTTGTCTTTGCTGGTGTGCTGTGCAGCCCCGACCTGTGCTTGTGCCTCCTCATCCCTTAAAGTGGAAGTAGCATATCTGTGTATAAAGCCCTTCATCCATCATTCCCAACCATTGGTCATGTTGACTGATATCGCCAACTCTCCTTTCTCCGGCTTTTAAAACAGCTGAAATGAGAATGTTTTATGCATTCAGAAATCTGCACTCCTCCATGAGATGGGAGTTCTATAATTGTGGAGCGTCTATTGTAAGCCTGTTTCAGCAAATGCTGTACAGTAAGTCCACAGGGAGGGGGAAGACAGCTCCTTCACCCCTGTTGGTAGTCACTAATGCAGATAAGTTATTCACAGTGCCTTTTAGCAATCTGTTGAAATCACTAAGGAGGTTCACTATTACCCTGCACAAAATGGAGCTTCTCCCCACTCTCCTCTTACCACACGCTCCCCGAAATTAACTTACAGTGGGGCAGGAGAATCCCAGAATATTGCAAGGGAGGCAGTGTTGAATTCAGTGCAATGTTGAATTCCACCCATTGCTTTTAACCCTTTGTATGAATATTTGAATACAGTGGACCCTCCAGATACGAATTAAATTCGTTCCAGGGGTCCGTCCGCAAGCCGAAAAGTCCGTAGGCAAAGGCGCTGCTTCTGCACATGCATGCAGTGCGATTGAGCGCTTCTGTGCACGCCTGTGTGGCGAAACCCAGAAGTATACACTTCCAGGTCTGCCGTGTTCGTAACCCGAAAGATACATATCCAGAGCAGGACATAACTAGAGGGTCCACTGTATTAGTTTTTATTTCAGTTTATGGATTTATCTGAAATTTCATGTAGTTGGGCTGTTAAGTGATTATTTAAAAAACTGATCAGAAGTGTGCATGTTTTTTTCAGCAGAAAGTTTTTAAAGGTTTCTATCAGCTAGCTCTGTCAAATCCTTTTGATTTCTGTGATTTCGTGTTCATAATTGAGTGCGTTCTCCCGCTGAAGTCCATGGTGTGGATTTTACTTGTGAGCTTTATTCCATTCATATTGTCAAGCTGTACAGAAATGTAACTGAATGCCCTTTTCCTTCTTCAGCACGAAGACGTGATGTCCATCTCTCAAAAGAACAAGAGAGCCGTCTTCCTACACACTGGTTGAAAAGCAAAGGGGCCCACACCACAATGGCAGATGCCTTATGGCGCCTTCGAGACTTGATGCTGAGAGATACTCTTAATATCCGTCAAGCATACAACATAGAAAATGTTTAATCCTCTTTCGATACCAACATATAAAATTTTTGTGGAACAATAGCTGTTTTAGTTATTGGTGGGGGAGGGGAAACTGGTTTTATTGCATCTTACTGTACATTGCAAGATTGTTTTTTTATATAAGGACACTTTTAATAAGCATATTTCACTTTTTGTTATATTATGTTGACTTTTTAAAAAAATATACAGACTTGTGCATATGGTTCTTTAACTTGGAAGATGATCTCACACTTTTGTTATAAATGCAAAATAAGGTTACATCATTTGGCCTTACACAGAGGTTCTCATGCCTTCTTTTTTTTTTTTTTAAGCAGCAAGAGTGTGTAGCGAAGAGAAATGTGAAGTTAATCCCAGTTTGCATCTTAGCAGTATGAGCATCCATGTGCTTGTGTGGTAGTGACTTTTGGCAGATACATCACAAGAACTTAAAGCCTTCCTTTAAATAAAGCTACTAGGGTAGGGAGAAGATGGAATCAACTTGGTAAATGTAAGGCCTTTTTTATTTGTTCCCAGAACTTGATAAAAGGAAATAAGCAAGACTGTATCTTTTGATTTGACCACCTTTTGTTGGCACATATAAGTTCAAAGTGGGGCTTGTATTGATGAGTCTGCTTTAAGAGATCTGCAGACATGAAGGCTTGCATGTGATGCCAATAGACATTGGCCTGATGATCGTGTGCTACCTAATTTATTTCTCCAGGATGAGACCTGTGCTCATCACCACCAGCACCACCTCCTTGGGAAATACTTGAGTAAGCTTAAGTATAAAGGGGGAGGGATTTCTACTTTGCTGTCCTAATATGAAGGATGCATAATATCTTTGAATTCTCAGATCAGAACATTTATACATGTGTATTTTTAAAGGTGCAAAGCTTTAGTTTCCAAGACCTTCACTTCGAAATCAGAATTGGATGTTTTGTTTCTTGTAGTTTAAGGTTCCCACTGCAAATTTAATGCAGTTTATAACTGATATTGGAAGGTAAGTAACAGAGCATGCAAAAGGAGCATATGTATTTTAACAGCTTAAAATAAGTGCTCTATTCAGGACTTGGTATTTTGACACTTTTTCTTTAAAGGTTGCTCTGATGAAAGCACTGCAGTCCTACTGTTGATAATTTTTATACGCATAGTCCTAGCTGTACAGCACTGCTTATAAGCCTAACACAGCAGATCATCATGTAGGAATTGGTGTCCTGAACCTACATAAATTTATTTAGAAAGTTAATCTAATTTTTGTTCCCACAGTTATAGGACATACAGCATTTGTCTTTACTAGTAACAGTAGTCACAAAGCAGAGAGTTCCTTAAGGCATGTAAAAAGTCCTAGGTGAAACCAGTTGGAGTTGTTAGTTGTGTAGTTCTGTTTTGTTGCCTGAGGGCCAGACTACCAATGGCATTAATTGCATAGCCTGCTTTTCACTGCACACTTTTTCTTCCATAAAACGGGGGGGGGGGGCAGGGGTAGCGAATTCAAGAGCTTTTTCTCCAGTGCAAATTGTAGGCATGGGCCCTTCAAATCAAGGGTAGAACCCTGTCCCCGATACTAGTCATTTTTCAGAGAGGTTTGCACATAAACTCTGATAAACATCATATGTAATAGTATAGCCCTGATACTAGGATTTTCTAGTTCAGCAGCCTTCCTTCTTTGGGTGACATCCATCATAGCACAAGGGGGCATCCACTTGTAGAAAGAGGAGCACCTCCTTCATGTGCACCCCCAAAATATGCTCCAGAGGGTTGGGGGACTGGAGGGGAAGGATGGAGCCCTGTTGCAAAGATGGGCTGCCACAATTAGATCTCCCTCTTCATCTTTAAAGTTAGATTTATAAGTTTAGAAAAAACAGCTTTGAATGTTGACAAGTAAGGGAATGCTTATCAAGCATGGATTCAAAGAAATAATTCAGGAGGCCACCACCTGACAAAGCTTGCACAAATATCAGTTAGGAGGCACGTTAGAAGTCATGTTTAATTACGAGGTTGATTTTAACAAAGAATTGTTGCCATGCTGGCTTTAGAGAATGAGTGGTTCATCAGGATAAGTAACTGTCTTATTGGACCAACTTTAGTTCACCCAATGAAAATTACATTCCATTACCTATTTTAACACACATCCAGAAAAATGTATATTTAGTTGATGTTTCTGGATCTGTTTCAGTGATACAATGCATTATGAAGATGACAGCAAGTAGCCTGTGAAAAATACACTATTAAAGTTTTGGTTCTTCAGATGAGGTACTAATGCAAAATACAATATTAATATTACAGAGATTTTTGTATCCTTATCATTATATGTGGCACACATCTTAGTATATGGCCTTTGCAATTTTTAAAAACCTCACAGATCTCTGCATGCACCCAGGAGTTTTCCTTGGGTGACTTAGCAGAAGCTGCCAATGCCAAATCAGCTCAGCACTGGGAGCTACTGAGGCGAGTGCATGGGTGCTCTTCTGGATCGTGGCCAGTGTGTTTGAAATTACCTCTCACATTTCAGTTTCAATGTCAAAAGGAGGCAGCAAGTCCTAGATCTTTAGTACTTGGAAACACCATAGACTTTTACTAATACAATCACTTTTTGTTTTAGGTATTGCAAAAACTACACCAAAGAACCTGGAATTTATTTATTTTTATTTATTTAAAAAATAAACAGGATGAGACACCCTTTGAATGCTGTATAATTCAGGAGGATCAGTGTTGAATAATACGCAGCATTGTTTTTCCCATACATTTAAGAAGAGGGCAGCTTCACTATTTCTAATAATCCAGGAGTAAACAATTAGAACTGTAAATGAGACCTTTGCCTTTTCTATGGCAGTGCAGAGCACTCCTCCTAGACCATTAGGCTGGCCCTAATTATTTTAAATTTAATTTATTCCAAAATCATGTCTCTGTTTACTGGGGGCATTTCAGTAACATGTAGGATTAAAGTTTGATGGCTACAATCCAGTATTGCACAACCAGCTAACTAAACTTTTCTAACTATAAATTGTTGAGAAGAAGAGCAAACCATGTCTTTTTTTGACCATTTGGACCCATTATTTGTTTTTTTTCTACAGCCATGCACTGTATTAGAATAAAAGGACATTGACTATTCAAATAAGAGTATGGGAAATGGTTGGCTTGAGTGGAAAACATGTTTCAGTGAACCAGTTTGGAAGTGATCAGCAGTTCATCTCCTATTCCATATTCCCCACTCTTCCCTTAGAGCAAATGTGTTTATGTAATAATTCAAGTTGATGTTTTATAATATACTTTTCAGCATATATGCTTTTTGGACCTGGTTAATCCATGCCTCATTTTTTACTCCTGGTTGTATACTCCATTGAGTAAAGTGATAACTAGTCAATGTGCATGTACTATCAGTTTGTCTGAGGCTTTTTAATTTGAATAAAAATAGCTTGCAGTTTGGATTAGCCAGGTTTGATGTCTTATTCTTAGTTTTCCTGGAAATCTAGACGTGTCCTATAAAGAAACCACAGGGATAAGCAAGCTATACATACTGTCAGTTCCCCCCAAAAGCAATCCTAGGATAATATGAAACAATCTGAACTGTCCTAATATAGAGCTATATCAAATCAATACACAAATCCACTGAATCTCAGGTGTATGATGGTGGTAACACATTTTGCCTGTATGGAAAATCACTGTTGAATTCACTTAATGCTTAATTCCTACGTACATGTACAGCTTATATAGTATGTGACCTATGGAAGAGAATGTTAAATGTCCTTAATTTCATTAGATCTACTTGTACCATAATCAATACCAGCAAAGTGCACTCTACATCTCAAAACATTATTTTTACAAATTATAGGATAGAGCACACTGGGTATCATAAAGCTATATAAGCAGCAGGAACGTTTTTCAGTGTTCTCCCCATTTTGAGGAGTGTAACTCCTGAAGCTGAATTATATGCACCTGTGTGTTCATGCATTAGGACTTTGAGCTGAGTAACGCACAAGTTTATACAGGCTTGAGGTCTATTTCTTGGGGCATATTGTGGTTAACTTGGGTTAAATTACCCCCAAAAGTAATTTGAACTAAATACCAAAGACTATACAGTACAATTTCAAGCCCTTAAAGCAGGTGTGGCTAATGTGCAGGCTGCGTCCAGTTCCAAGAGACCGGGGGGGGGGGGAAGCATGACACTGACACACACACACATTTTTTATTATTTAAATAATAATAAAGCCACTTCTATACTTGGCCATGACATGCAGCCCTCTGAAGACTGATCCTGGATCAATGTGGTCGTTGGCTCAAGAAACATTAGCCAACCCTGCAAAGGCTAATAATAGATGAACCACTCACTGCTTCCCTTGATTCAGCAGCTGTTTAGAGCGACTGAAACAAGCTGAAAAGGGGGAAATGTACTAAAGTTTTCCAGAGCAAAGCTTCCAGAATTCTCTGCGGCCATGCATGGACAAGGGTCATGATTGCTTGCTACATCTGAACCAGCCCAGTGTCATGCCAAACAGGTTCCCTAAAATGAAAAGAGAAGCAGTACTACAAGTTGTATTTGTGGAAGGGTTTATAAAAACAGGTGATAAATCAATAAACCAATGATGAAATGTTTTAGATGTACAATTAATTACAGCTTCTGAAATACATATAAGTATTGTAACCGGTCTTTACTGTTCAGTTCCTGGGTAGCTGTGACTACAATAAGACAACTACAGCATCTTCCAGCAACCTGGGGAGCAAAAACTTCATAGGACTCAAAACAGTCATCGTTCAGTCTGAACACTTGTAATTTTCTTAATTTAGATGTGAAAGGCAAGTAGGATTTCGAAGTTCAGATTTCACTTCATTTAAATTATTCAGCGTCAAAGTCATCTTCCTTCCAAATTTTGCTCATGCTGTCTCTCAGACCTTTTTCTACGGTAAACGTCATCTGTAAAATATTTATTTCTCAAAATACTGTGGTGGAAACATCCTTTAAATGCATCTTACATTTTTTACATCACTTCGTTAGACAGCTATCTCCCCCCCCCCCCCCCAATGTAAACAATCAACTGAATGGGCTGATTCATGCCAAACCAGATCACAGGACCAAATATCATATTTTGAAGAATATACCATGGCAATGAGTGAATGATTTATAGAAGCAAAGCTTGTTAGAACAAGGATGGGGAATGTGATCTGACCAAAGCACTGGATCTAGAACTGACCCACCAGTAGACCCTTTTTAATAGGCGAGTGGGACCATCCTGTTATCAATCATCTGATATATATATGGTGAATCAAAGCTTAAGCTGTGGCAGAAGTGTTAGGCTTATCTCTGATCGTAATACTTTTTGTCCCACAGCACTAAGATTGGAGATAAGCCTCTCCTGCTGCCTTTCACTATCAAGCAGCAAGTAGAGGCACATCTCCTAGTGTAGTAGGACAAGAGAACCAAGAGAAGAGACAAGCCTCTGCTTGTTCTTTGATGGTAAAAGACAGTAGAATCTTATTTATCTCTGATCTTGTGCTGTAATTCCACAGCACTGTGATCAGAGAACGGCTGCCTGCTCTGGCAGTTTACCGTCAAAGAGCAGGCAGAGGCTTATCTGATCTTAGCACTAACCTTCAAAGAAGAGATCCCTCATATCCAAGGTTAGATCAAAGATAACAGATCCAGCCATGTTCCAATTCAGAATACCAGAAATTATATAACCAGGCATCATAAAACAGGTGAATATGGTTTAACCAAAATAGCCTCATGGGAGAAACTAGCCAGGCTACTGCTGATTTAAGTCTGCTACCTATTTCATGAGATGATACTGCTGGTACTTACCCGTGAAGGGTTGCTTTTCATGCATGTAGGATGACAGCCAATGGTTGACAGCAGAAATTGATGTTCAAATCAAAGTCTTCTGGCACTCTAAGGCATCCATTGCCAGTTTAATTATTACAAGCCCAGAAAAGTGGAATAAGCCAAAGGCACAACAGTGGCAGAAAAGTATAAGATGTAACACTCCCTGCCAAAAGAACTGAGAAGCACGAAGATATGGAACAAAAATTAAATAACAAGTAGTTTGAGAGAGGCAGACCCCATAGCCAACCAGAGTGAGGCCCTGATGTCATCTTAGATGCACAAAAAGGATGTATCACAGGATAAGTATCAATGGACTGATTAAAGAGACTGTAGACCAAATCGTATTCAGCGCAGGGAAACAGGTTGTGGAATAAGTAAGAGGGTCCTCTCTTAATTGATTTTTAACTTTTTCATCAGACTATAGAGGAAGGTAGATTGAGAGAAAGGCAGGCAAAGATGGCTGAGGGGAGGGGAGGGCAGGTGGCTTTGGGGGTGGGAGAGAAGGAAGGAGACGGAGAATTTCAAGGTGGCAAAGTACGGAAAAAGTCAGAAAAAAACAATTGCCAGCAGCACAGAAGGGACAACAAGGGTCCCACAAATAGCCACACACCAAGAACAGACAAAAAAATGAAGGAAAGAGTGCCCTGAAAAAACAATATGAGGCAGGGAGTGAAGTGACAACTGAGGCAGAAAAATAAAACTGGCTATGGATGCCTCAGAGCAGAGTTTTTCAACTGGTCCAAGCCTGATCCAAGGTGGGTCACAACAGGAGCACTATCACCATGGAAGTATGGGGACCCATTTCTTAATCTTTTACCACAAATACATGTTCGGGTTAAAAATGGGTCCTGGATCTGAAAAGGTTGAGGATAGCTGCCTTAGCATGCCAAAATTATCTTTGATATGAGCAGTGATTCCCACTGTCAACCATCTGGGGAGCTCTTCCCCCCCAACCTAACTTCACCTACATGCACAAGAAAATTATTAGATTATTTGACCAGGGCCGTGTTGCTTAAGGCTATTTGAATTAGCTTTAGTTTGTCTTAACATTTGATAGGGAGAATGATGCATGAGAAAGAACCACCTGGGTGTAGTACCAACACTCAACAAAGCTGGTAAAACCATTTTGAGAAAAACAGACTTCTTGGTGGCTGTGGCTGAGGATCATTCATTCACAGAGAACAATATACTACCACTGCCTTAAATTTCTAGAGGCTCATCCCTCCTCAAAAACCTATTTAAATGTGGATTCTCCAGGTAGCTATCAGTTCATCTCTAACTTTTTCAAGGGAGGGGGGAGATCACTGAGCATATACAGTAGCTGACTAAACCATCAACTTCTTAAATGACCAGTCTAGGTACAGTGGTGCCTCGCAAGACGAAATTAATCCGTTCCGCGAGTGTCTTCGTCTAGCGGTTTTTTCGTCTTGCGAAGCAACCCTATTAGCGGCTTAACGGATTAGCGCTTTTAGCGGTTTAGCGGCTATTAAAGGCTTATTGGCTTAGCGGATTAGCTGCTAAAAGGCTTAGCGGCTTAGATAAAGGGGGGGAAAGCGGAAAAAAATCTCAAGACTCGCAAGTAATTTTCGTCTTGTGAAGCAAGCCCATAGGGAAATTCGTCCTGCGAAGCAACTCAAAAACGGAAAACCCTTTCGTCTAGCGGGTTTTCCGTCTTGCGAGGCATTCGTCTTGCGGGGCGCCACTGTATTGAATTGGGCATAGCACTGAAATTGCACTTTGTGAAATATGTCACTTGTCTCTTAGAAGAGCAGCAAGGGCAACTGCATCCCATTAAAGAGTTCTGAGACGTTTGATACCATTAGCCATAAAGTCTTAAGTTACCCATATTGTGGTTACCTATTTGAGATCAGATTGGGCTATTTCTCCATTTAATAAAAACTGAACATAAAGCAAAGCAAATCTTCAGGTATGATTATTCAAGCAATTATGGACTTATTTTAGAGGTAGTAATGGGTTACACAAACTAGGAAATATCTGTTAAGTCTAGGCTTTTAACAATGACTGTAGATATATCTACTAAGAGAAAAATACTAGATAACTTTATGAAAATACTTACAAAAAGTCTCTTTCCCAATTCGGACTCTGATCATAAACCATTCCATAGCACCTCCAAGGATAAAAAAGAAAGGGAGAAATCTATATACTCCAAAGCGTTGCTTTCCAGGTACCATGTTCAAGAGTAGTTTTATTTTATGTTTGACAAGCATTTTACATAGGAACTTCTAATCCTTGCAAGGGAGTGGTTGATCCTAGAAAATGTAAAAAATTGATAAGATTGATTAATAAACCTATATGGAGAGTAGCTAATGAAACCAGCTGGGTTTCATATCTTTCTTGTACAGTACACACAACTTGACCCTGTGCAATAAACATTCAAAACTCAAATGATAAAGAGCTATGCAGACTGATCTATGCATGCTTTCTCATTAGTAAATTCCACTTAATTGGCAATTATTCCTAGGACAGTGTGCATATGAATATATTCTTGAATTTATATGCATTCTATCATTTTCACATTCATTTATAGAATGACTCATATATAGCACTATGACAGTATTTTAATCCACACAAGGTTTTCAGCTTCCAGATGAAATGATCCCCCCTCTCCTCCCCTATGCACTAATACGAGGGTTCTCCTGAATTACTCACCAAAAAAACCTGGAAACCACTTTCCCAACAGTAGAACATAATTATGCTTCTGTTAAACATTTATTTAGCACTAGCTGTCAGGTATATTTTAGAGTTTGAAATGCAAGGACCCCTAACAATAATTAACAGAATAAATTTAGCACACTGACCTTGCAACTTTCTATTTGTGTTTCTATGTCTGGGATGCAACCTAGTCAGGTTCACGTCAACAAGTGAGAAATAAAGACTCCACTGCAATATCAAATCATTTCTGCAGCATTCAGTGTATAAACAGAATCTTCGGCATCTAACCACACACAAGGAAAAGAGAAATACTGAGAAGTAAAAACAAGAGCCAAGCTTCGACATGAAACTTGCAAAAGTTCATTAAAGTTAACAGAGCTTCTGTGTGAATATTTAGCTCCATTTGTTTTACTGAATAATGAAAAAAAAATCACCCAGTACTCTGACTGGTAAATAAATGCCAATTTTCTTGTTTATCGCTTTGCTAACATGTAAAAAGTTTTGCAAGTTTCCTGAACTACCTTATGTAAAGTTAGCTGATTATAGTAGTATACATATTTAACATACTTAAGAATAAGTACAGTATTCATTCTTATTCATAGGGAGCTCAGTGGAAAAAATATGGAAAGCCACTGCAAGTTTTACTTTCAATGGGACTTATTTCAGAGTAAACATGCATAGGATCAGGAAGGCTATTAATTAAATCTGATTAAAACTTTCAGTCCTATATTTTACATTTGCCATTTTCTCCAGGTGTCCCTAAGTATATTTGGAACATTACCTATTTTCTTGTACCTGCCCCTTGTAAATCACTGCCCCTATTGGCTGTTGGAACAGGCTACCGATCCCTGTTTTATACAGATTGTATATTTGAGGTACCTGCAGAATTTTATAGTGTGTATCAGTCAATAGGCCCAGTAGACCCTTCATGAAACTTAATCACTACTTCAGCCTACTATTTACAGCTGCTTTCTCTTTGCATTTAAGACAAATAGCTACCTATTCTCAACAAACATGCAACTAGATGCTTGTTTATCAGGTGGCCCTGTTCCTGGAGGAAAAAAGGGCTAAATTAATACCTTAGTCATGACTCGTTTTAGTCTTGTTTTCAGTTAGTCTGTTAGCCCATCTAGTCCTTCATCCAGGACAGGATGGAAGCTGGGCATAAACACAGCAGCATTTCCTCCTTTTGTAATTCCCAGTAACTAGTATTCAGAGGCTATCAATTTCCAATAACCATCGTGACTAGCAGCTTTTCCCTCCATGAATTTTGTCTAAACCCAGGGCCAGCCCATGCATGAGTCAAGGCGAGGCGACTGCCTCAGGTGGAAGGATCCATAGGGGCAGCAGACTCTCTTGTTATCTTTATGCCTGCCCCTCTTCCTGATGCAGCTCTTCACCCACTCCTCCTTCCCTGGCGGGGAGGAAGGGGGCCGCCATTCAGTGGTTTGCCTCAGGCGGCAAAATGTCTTGGGCGGACCCTGTCCAAGCCCCTTTTGAAGCCGCCCACTGTTTCATCTTGCAGTAGAAAACTCCACAGCTTAACTATTAAGCTTCCTTAGGTGACCCTTAGTTTCCGCACTATGAGAACGGGCGGGCGGGTGACTTTCTCCGCAAGGTGCATCATTTTATTCACCTCTTAGCCCTATGTTCCACCACCATCACCCGCGTCTTTTATTCGCCACTCCATTGACACCTTCCAGTCTCTTGTGGGCCCGAGTTTGGAGCGCGTATTGCAGCAGCTCCTCCACCCCGACCACCCCACCCCTCGCAGGTTCAACGGTCATAACGGCAAATACCCCCACTCTGCGTTTTCGAATTCACCCAATCACTGAGCCGCCCTGAAGACTCTGCCGTAGACGCGGCAGGCCCTCACCTTGGAGCCTAAAGAGCAGACCTGTGCGAGGCGGCAGACTTACCCCTTGTGGGCAAGAGACGACGGAAGAGGAAAATTCGCTCCGCCTCCTCCTGACGCGCTAAGGGAAATAGCCGGATCCCATTGGCTCGCTGCGCTAGAGGGCGTGGCTTGCGGAACAGATGAGGAATAGGCGGGAGGAGATGGGTTTTTTGCTCTCGCTGAGGAACTCGAGCGCTAATGGTGGGCCCGAGAGCGCAAGGGAGCAAGGTGGCAGCCAGCTCCTAGCGATATTAAAAGCACGCTGGGTTCAGTGGGAGTACTCCCGAGTAAGGGGCACAGGATTTCAGGTCTCCGCCATAAGCTTCCAGGTGTCCCCTTGTCTCTAAACTACAAAACAGGAAGGTCTAGTGTTTCAGGGAATGCTCGTAGGGGCGGGGACAAGACTCGTGCTGAAGATACAGGATCCAGAAAAAAGCTGTGTTGTAGATGTTGGCTATATTAGCGCTGCGTTGTGCAACTTGGATGCATATTCGACTGGCTGTTACTTCCCTTCAAAATAATTCCAATGCGTCATTTCCTGACAGTGGAACTATTAGTCTGCATGGCGGGGAAAAGAACTGCCATGTGGCATCTTAAAGGCCAACATTTATTATGGCATGTTTATTAATAATAATTTATTAACCGCCGAAGATCACGCCAAATCTCACTGGGCTCACAGAAGCCCTGTGGCGCTTATTCCTTGGTAAGAATTCATAGGAGTAAGCCCCGCTGAAAGCAATGGAACTTATTTCTGAATAAATAGGCTTAGCGTGGAGAAGCAATTCCCTTCTCTCTTCTCCCTCCATCCATTTATTTCACTGAGAGCTCCTCTAACGAATAGACGTCCCCTCTTTCTCCAGACAGGCAGAAACAACTAAGCAAGGAAAAGCAGACGACAAATAGAAACCGTAGCCCAAACCTCCCTCTTCCCCACGGCAAGAACCGCAGCGCAACACAATCGTCAAGCGCGCAGTCTTTTGGAAAACATCCCCGCACTGAATGATTTAAATGCCTTCTAGCTGGGCGGGCGAAAAGGCTCACGGGTGTGGTAGTCCTTGGCTCCTCGAATACTCGGAGAGAGGCCGCTAGGAAAAGATTCGCTCAGCCTACAAATCCCAAGTCGCCACGCAGCGCCTGGGTTCGGGGACCCCACCGCCTGCTCCTCCTCGCAAGGGGTCTCTCCTGATGGGGCGCCAGGGATTGGCCAGCTTGGCTGCGCTTCCATTGGCTGGCTGGCTCTTGCACGGCGGCGGCGGCGGCGGCTGGAGAAGTCGCGTCGCGCGGCCAGTGGCCGGAGCAGAGAGCAGGGGACTGCGAGGGGCTGAGGTGGCCTTTTCGTGCGTCTCTGAGGTTATGGCCTTTTAGCCCCCCACGGAAGAGGTGTCCTGCCGCCCCGGAGAGGCTCCATGGCTGCCGCGGGACTCAAGGCTGCAGGCGGCAGCGTGTGGAAGAGCGGCGGAGTCGGTCTGCAGCTGGTGGCCGCTGCCGCTTCCACTCACAGCTGCGCCTCCAAAGGCAGCGGAGACGGGCGCGCTGGCTGCAGCCAGCCGAGGGCCCACCAGCACCAGTCGGCGGGACACTCGCCACCGCCACCGCCGCCGCCCTCCTTGAACGGCAAAGTCAAGAGAGCCGGGGACTCCAGCCATGCAGCCACTGCCCCTTTGGGCAGCCCCGTCGAAGGGGTCGACACCAAGTCCTATCTCTGGGCCAGGTACCACGAGATGAAAAAGCTGGTTTACGGTAACCAAAATATTATTATTATTATTATTATTATTAGCCTTCCCACGCGGGGTGGAAGATTTGACTGTGTGCCTGATGCATTTGTGGAAGTGGAACCTGATGGTGATAAATTGCAATGCTTCCTCCCCCAGCTGCCCCACTGCAAATCGTTAGCCCTGTTGGGAGCCATCAGATTAAGCTGTTCGCAGCCTGGTTTTATATGAAAAGGAGTGCAGTACCGTAGCTGTGTTCTAATTTCGCCAGGGAGCTGTGTGGCCAGAATCCCATCTGATTGCTTTTGTTGGTTTGTCCAACATCTTTCATCAGATATTCATTTGTCACTGTAGAGAGCAAGCAGGAGTTTCTAGATCCGCAGCCCTCCAAAGTTAGAATGGCTTCAAATACTCTTTTGAGAATAGATGTCTGCTCAGATGAGAAGGGCATAAACCAAGTTAGATCGTATGGGACACATGTTAATATACAGCTGAGTTCCTTCAATCGCTTAGATATCAGCATCTAGTGTACTGTATTCTTGTAATAGATAGATAGATAAGATTATTATTAAGTTCTCATCTGCCCACTTTAGGGCCTTTCATATCCTATATGATGTATTGTTAACGTCTACATCTGAAACCATTTTGTATTTCTAGTATGCCCTCAGTGAGTAAATGTCCCCTTGGCAAAGTCATAATCAGTAGTTTACCATTGCCAAGTATGTTAAATGCTAGTGGAAGAAACTAGCAGGGACAACAATTTCAAGATAACAGATGTAAAAAAATACCAGATTCATTTACTCTAAAACCCAGTGATATGGGGTGGAAAATTTTACAGTGCTATATTTTTCTATAGAAAATCTGCAGTCTAAAAATGCATGTTCATAAAAATAAATAACGTAATGAGCTGATACAATATCAGTCATGTTGGGCAGTTTCAAATTTGTAATTAATAGACTATCACCATCTATTAAATAATAGGCATGCAGCTCTTCAGATTGCTAAAAGCGGTATGTTAAGATTTTTTCAATACCTTCATTTCCCCCCATAAAATTTAAACAACGGAAGTCTATGTTACTGAGTTGTCATGAATTAAAATATTTACAAATGTTCTAATCTTAAAAATCCAAGTAAGCTCTTGAGTTTATTTGTATATTTGATACTTGTTGCACCCTGCAGCATAATTGTATCTCTGTCACCTGGCAATAACCTAGTACTGTTCTCAGGAACCTACCCCACAAGTTGGAAGAGAATGAATACAGTACAGTGCCTTCAACTACCACTCCATGGTTATCAGCTGAAAGTTGTTGAGGGATCAAGCAAAAGTAACAGAGCTGCAATTCCCCCTTTCCCTCTCCCAATAAAGGTCACCTATCAGGAGGGCCCACCCATAAAGCAAGGTGAGCCAACCGGCTCAGGTGGCAGGATCCACAGGAGCAGCAAATCCCAATGTATGTATTTATTTCCTCCCTTGTTCCTGGTGGAAATCTTCACCCCTTTTTCCTGGTGGGGAGAGGGCACCTTTTTGTGAGTCACCAAAGGTGTCAAAATCATGTAGTGGGTTGGCCCTGCCTGTCAGGGTGGCCAAAGCCAATTCTGTCCTGAAACCAGACCAGAACCTGGAATGAAAAGGTTCAAGATAATAGTTTCATTCAGTTTGGTGGTGAGCTGGATAAGCGCAAAACAAGCTGAAACTCGGGTCAGATGTTCTGATCCCTTTGGGAGAGACTTTGTAAATGGGGTTACATACCTCCTTAAGACAGAGTTGGACAGTTCTCTGGGTGATCTGAAGTAGGTTATCAAGGATTTCTCGCTCATAGTTGTTTAACTAAGAATGACCCTACATTATAAGTAAGAATGACCCTAAATTATACTCCTCAAATGAATAGTTTGGGGATGTGGGTAGACCATTCCCAAACTGTAGAAGAACTGAGTTCCATTCAGTTCTGGTATCCAAAGCAAACTGCTGAACTGAGAATTCTTTACACCTGGCTCCAGTTAGTAGAGCTAGTAAAAACAAGCTAGTTCCCTAAACCTGAAGTCTGCCTGAAGGTGCTGGTATGGTGGAGTGGGAGCAGTGGTCTGGAGCCTTTTTTTTTTACCAGCTTTAGCTGATTTCCAAACTTTGGGAACTCATGGGGAATAGTTCCCTGACCATTGTTTTGCATGCTTGTAACTTCTAGATTGGGTTTCTGCTTCAGGCTGCTCCTGAAGTGCTTTTGCAAACTTCAGCTGAGGGAATTCAGAATGTGACAGCCAGATTATTGACAAGTATCAGGGAGCAGATAGCATCTATTTTGAAACAGCTCCCCTGGTTCCTGGGTGGTTTCTGAGTGCAATTCAAAACATTTACCTTTCTTGCTCTAAGCAGACTAGTTAGCATTTTAAAGTAGTGGCCAGAGGTCACCAGTGGCCCTCAGCACTTCAGTTTGCCCTGCCCCCCAACAGCATTTTAGTTGAATGGACGCTAACAGCAGTTCTCCACATGCATAGTTCAGAGGCGCCTGTGGGAGTTGGTTAGAGAGGGAGGGAGGTAGGAAGGAGCCTGTAAGGTTCAAACTGGAGGGAGGAAAAGAGAAAGAAAGGGAGGAAATGGATGTGGAACCAAGCATGAGCTATGGGAAGGAGAGTAGTGAAAGGCATAAATGTGACTAAGGGGAGAAAAAAATGAAAAGCTCCCAGTGCTCCTGCTGAGCCTTCCATGGCTTATGATAAGTCTGATTTGCTGGAGCCTTTGTTTTCCCCACAATGGACCTGGTTTCTTATATTAAAAATGTAAGACAATATGCTAAAACATCAGTTAACAAAACAAGCTTGGTCTTAATCCTTTTTAACCTGGGTGCTGTGTGACTTAAGGATTAACTGCAAATCTGTAGTGATGAGTTTGGGAAGTTAGTTGTTTTGTGGTGTTTCCATTTGCATATTAATGGTAGCAACATCTTCGGAAGCTAACTTGTTCCCACTTGGGGGGTGTTTTCTCATTAGATAGCAGTAGTCCTGAGGAATCAAGCAGGGCCACTCAGAATAAATTGCTGGAGAGCAAATATTTTTTTAGGGCACTAGGAATGTGAAGCTGATGTGTTGTGTTAAATCTTGTGTGATGAAGTGTTTGCTTCCTTCAGTCCTCAGTGTTGCTTAAGCTTAGCTGCTTTCACAGCATTTTGTTTTCCCTACTTTGGGAAGCTAAATGCTGCATGGTGTTTTGAGGAAGTAGCTTATTTGTATCAGGCAACCTATGTTTATTTGGACATTGGCATACTTTTAGCTTCAGTAGTAATTGAAGTGGTTCTGTTAGTATTCAAAAACTTCCATAATTCTATCCAAATCAATAGAGCATTGTATCAATCCATGAGAGAGGTATATAGAATAGGAAAGCAGGGCCATAGCTAGAGGGGGGTGAGGTGGGCCCCCGCAGGGGCACAGGCGATTCCCCGCCCCCCACAAAATTGGCTAAAAATATGTTCATAAATATAAATATAAATTATTGCCTCATAAGAAATGGTTTTAAATAGAGGGTGAATTGAATGGGTGGAGGGGGGGGGATGGAGGAGAGGTGGAAAGAAGAGCTAATTTGTCCATGGCTAGGGGGCGCAATCTGAACGGTTCTGCCAGGGGCGCAAGATCACCTAGCTACGGCTCTGTAGGAAAGCACATATTAAATGGCTTTGGGCTGGTGATGGTCAAAATTTTCAGAATAATACGTGATTGAGAGAAGAGAATTTTTACTGTTTCTAATAATTTGTTATTCCAAACAATATTTAATTTTTCACACTGAAATTAGTGATCCTAATTGGATGATTTTATAAGTACTACACACAAATTTAGGGCTCTTGGAAATCCAGATTTTCCCTTCAAATTCACAGAGATATTCCACATTTCACCATGGAAACATAAACATAAAAAATGTGAATGTGATTTCTTCCACAAGCTTAAAACAATTTGGAATTTCATCAAGCAGTCTACTACAGTTTTGTTTTTTGTTTTTTTAAAGTTTTATGAAGCCTACTACAGTTGTTATGTGAATTCTATTCATTCTATCTTAGAGCATTGTAATATGTATTCAAATATGAGGTGAAATAAGCAATTTCTCAAGATAATTCAGCAAGCAACCTTACTGTTCTTCAGCAAAAACCAGTAAAGCCATTTCATACCATAAACAATGACATGAATTTCTAGACTTGTGCTGCTTAGAGAATCTTCATATGCACATAGTCTTTAAGAGTTCAAAATCAATGTTACCGTATTTTTTGCCCTATAAGACTCACTTTTTCCCTCCTAAAAAGTAAGGGGAAATGTATGTGCATCTTATGGAGCGAGTGCAGGCTGTGCAGCTATCCCAGAAGCCAGAACAGCAAGAGAGATTCCTGCTTTCACTGCACAGCGATCCCTCTTGCTGTTCTGGCTTCTGAAATTCAGAATTTTTTTTCCTTGTTTTCCTCCTCCAAAAACTAGGTGCGTCTTGTGGTCTGGTGCGTCTTATAGAGCGAAAAATACGGTAATTCCTGTCATCAACCATTTGTTTCTATCAAAAGGCATCTCCACCAAATGTGTTAAACATCTTTCGACTATGCATTACATTTCCAACTCCTAAGTGTTGTGAGTTTCTCTAACTTGGGGCTGGTTCAAACATTTGTCTATGGAGCCTCCTATTGTCCCTGGGAACAATGCGGCCATGTGTCATATCTGTCCTGAAACAATTATTGTAGAGTACTCTTATTTTTCCAGGTTAAGCTCCACTGTGATGCCAAATAGGTGCTAGCGCTATCTCAAGAAAGAGAAGAACACAATTCTCTAGTTATATAGTCTGCTGAATATAAAAATACAGGAGCATCTCTAAAAACTGTAGTAACAGGAACTTCATAGTTCAGGGCAGCATCCTCACTCTACATGGTATCAGATCAAAAGCTTAAAGGCTATTTTTTCTTACCCCCCCCCCTTTATTTTATTCCAGATCTCCTCCCACCAGGGGTCTGCAGTCTTCTTAACCCGGCGGCTATTTATGCAAATAATGAGATCAGTCTGGGAGATGTGGAGATCTATGGCTTTGATTATGATTACACATTAGCGCAATATTCAAATTTGTTACATTCTATGATATTCAACACTGCCAGAGACATCTTAATTGAACAGTTTAAGGTAATGTACCTTATTCTTGCTGTTTATTGCCTAGTTACCAAATGCTGATTTTATCCACTTGATTTGTAGCAGGGCATGACGGGACAGCATGGAAACGATCCTTAGACCAGCGTGTACATAATTCTCTACTGATTGTTTGGGGCTTATAAAATAAATAGCAAGAACAGATCCTTCCACACCTTTTGTATGATAATAGCTTAGTTCACAAATAATAATAAACAAGTGTTTAGTATTATATTCACAAGCCTTGAGTCCCTGCACTCCCCCCATGTCCTCTGATACAGCCACAAGGAGACTGGAAACATTTACTGTTTTTTTAAACTAACTGGTATTTGTTTTGACCACACCTGGACAAACCGTAGCTAGTGTTGACTATGATTAAGGATCATTAACCATGGTTTGAAGATTGTTTGTTAACCCTAACCACAGTTTATCCAGATTAATTCATAAGAGCAAATGTAGTTAGCTGAACAGGTAAATAAATGCTTCCACTCTTCCCCTTGTAGCCATTCCCAAAAATGGATTATGATTTTAATTTATTGCCCACACTTTGGCCCAAATCATGTTACAATAATTAAAAAGTATTACATTAAAAACAGATTTAAAGCTTAACAATTACAGAACATGCAGTCAAAAAAAGCTCAGGTGTCAAAGCTGTATACATACTAAGCTCCCCCACCCTACAGTCACAACTAGGTGTTTAAAAGCTTTCACTTGCATTTTAAATTAATTGCCACTTGCCATGTTGTCTGAATCCAGACACACTGTGGTTAATCTTACTACGGTTAGTTAAAGCCAACTCCAAACCATAGTTTGTGGAGTGCTCTCCCCAGGGAGGCTTGCCTGGCACCTGTGTTATGTTTATTAGTCTTTGGCTAAGTGAACAATCTGTGGACTTTTAAACTGTAAGGGGTTTTGTTTTTGTTATGTATTTTTGTGTTTTCATATCGTAAACCTCCCTGTGATCCTCGGGTGAAGGACGGTATAATAAATAATAATCTCTCTTATTTCAGCTAACTGTAGTTAGGTTAAACCACAGTATAGTGTATGGTTGGCACATTAAACTGTGGGTAATCTAAAGCAGAAACTTCCAAAGTCATCCACACAGTCACACTAGAGGGCAGAGTGCACAAGTCCAGGCTCACTGAGAATAATTTTTGTAATGCTAATTACAAGCCATATGTTAGTATTTTATTCAAACCAAGCCATTGTCTCCTGTTTTATTTTAATTTTATATTGTGTTATTTGCATCCTCCCTTTCTGCAAGGTGCTAAAAATGATGTACATAGTTCCCCAATTTTCATGTTATCACCACAACAATGCTGTGAGTGATGGAGAATGAGAGGCAATAACTGTTTCAAGATCATCCTTTGAGTTTTGTAACTGAGCTTGAATTTGAACCTTAGTCTCCTGGGTTGTAGTCCAACATTCTGGGTCTTCTGGGTTTCTACTGGTCTTTGGATAAACAAAAAAACCTGAATATAATGTAGTACACACCCCTGTGAGACAAAACATACTGATGCTTTCTAGTGGAATGTTTTGTAGTACCCAGAAGGACTCAGAAAATATGAATACATTCCTGGATTTGCCATAAGAGGGCTTCACTATGATGTCCACAAGGTAAGATATACAACTTCAGTCTTTGTTCATGTGTTAGCTTGCTGTATTCATAGAGACGAACAAGGGAGCTTGTGAGTTGTATGCCCACTGGAAATATCTGTGTGCATGGTGAGCTAATGACTGCTAAAAATCATGGCTACCCTTAGAATAAGAAGTGTAATTATCAATGACTTTGAGTGTTTGGGCAGGCAGCCCTTTGGGTGACTTGACCAATCACACATTGACTTGGGAGCATTGCCAGAGTGCACTGCATTGTCAAAGAGGTGAAGCTGGGTGTTGGTACAGGCTCTTTCACATCTTTGTCAGCAAAATACCTGGGGAAGATTAAGGGATTTGTTTTGTTTGCTGGGCAACACTGTTAATAGTATGTAAGACACTGTTATGTTGTAGTGATGCTAGAAATCATATAATTGTAAAGATGGGAGGGACCCTGAGGATCATCTAGTCCAAACCCCCTGACATGCAGGGATATGCAGCTGTCCCATAAGGGGATCAATCCTGCAACCTTGGTGTGTTAGCACCACACTCTAACCAACTGAGCTATCAAGGCTCCTCAGACTTTGTCTTGTAGCTACAGGTCATTTGCAACTTGTGTGCATTTAACTTGCGCACATTATTGCTTCATGCACTTGGCATATATAAATATGTGTGTGTGTGTGTTTTAAAGGGGGAGGGTGTCTTTCCACACATAACAGAAGAGAAACTTGGGCAATTTTATGAGGTTGGGAGTTTTAGTCTTTAATCCAGTGGAATGTGAAGCATGAGTGTCTGCATAGATGAAAACAAGATAAACAGGGCAGCCCCATTATATAGCATGCAAATTTACAATTGCTCCTACAATTCTACAGTGCTGTTCTAGTTTCCCATGGAAGTTCCTCATATGCACCCTAAAAAAGTGATATATGTGTGTTGTGCTCAACTGTGTTCTTAATGGGACAGCAAGATTAAAAAATAAACATATCATAAAAGCCTGGTTAATATAACAGTATGGTGTTCCTATGGGGCCAGGATTATTCAGGAGTAATTTCCTTCCCTCATCCTTTTGGCTTCTGCATACAAGGCATTAGTTTCAACTTAACAAGCATTGGACTGGGGCCAGACAGCTAGCTTGTCAAATACATAGAACACAATAATATATGAAACCCATATGATATTTGCACAGAACTATCAATCACCCTCAGCTGAGGAGTCTTGGGGCTAGAGAAGATGACTTTTAAAAAAGGATTTGGAAAGTATTTTATAGCTTCCAAACTACCAAGGTGAGAGATTTAACACTGAACATACTTCTTTTTTAAAAACTTGAAGTTCAGTATTGTAAGGAATTGCCGTAGAACACTTTTCTGCTTATATCACATTCTCTGCTCCTCCTACCCCTCCATCCAGCAAGGAAAAATAAGTCATGCATGTCTGGTCCTCAGTGAGAAAAGACAGAACAAAGTGCCCAGAGTTCACCAACAGAGATCCCTGTGCTCCCAGTGTCCTTCGCTGATAATTGCATAGTATATGTTTGAGTATTGAGGGAGTTGTTGCAAACAGGAGCCCTCTTAGCTAACATGCAGTTATGTGCCAACCTGCTGAGTACGAAAAGTTTATTTAGCAAGTACACAGTTCAAACTTGTGGGGGAACCTGAAGCACGTAAGTGTTTTGAATGTTCTGCATGCCCATTTATTTTCATGTTGTGTTCAGTGGGGAGGAATGGATGGTGCCTTTAGAGTTATGCTTTGAGACATGGTTTCTTCCTCGGTTTCCCCTTCCCTTGCTTACATGTGTGGACTGCCTTGCCCTTTCACTCATAATTGCAGAAGTGGAATTAAAGTTCCCGGTGGCTGTGTGTAATTCTGAAGCAAAGTTCCTCCTTAAGGGGGATGAGAAGACAAGTGATCCTCACCTACCTGTCTCCTCCCTGCCCTTAAGCTGCTGGGTAGGAGTGTATGCCAAGTTCTCCATAACCAAATTCCCATATGTGTGCTCTTTGCTCTCTAGCCATGAGTCCAGACAGTGTGGCTTCATGCTGCGTGTCTTATGTGAGCTGTCTCTTTCTTCCCTGGCTGTGGCTCAGATTGGTCCTTGAATTAGTTGGAATCCTGTTGGCTGTTGTGACTTTGGAGGCGGAGCACAGCTAGGCTGCCATTCGAGACACTCTGTTGAAAGTGTGTTTACTTGCGCTGTCTCTTTTGCAAATGTTACATTTTACCATCAGGACCAGGGTTGTCACCAAACAACCGTAGGATTCTTCTGAATAACTTCTACAATACCTCCAAATTTCCCTCCATGCCCAATGGTAACCAGTAGAAGGCTCTTGCTTTATATTTTGCTATATGTGCTTGGTGTGGTGGTGGTTTTGTTCTGCAGGGACAGAGGAGTTTAGTAGCACTCCCTCTCAGTGCACCTTAACGCATGACTAGCAATCTGTGAGTGGAATTTAAGAATGCGTTACAATAGGAGGATCAGTTTAGATAGGACTGACTTATTTTAATGTTAGGTTCTGCAGAATGAGTAAAATATACAGAGGATCTTCTCAGTAAAGGTCTGCTTATCTTTCAGAGCCTTCTGATGAAGATTGATGCTTTCCACTATGTTCAGTTGGGTACTGCATATCAGTGAGTTGAATACTCTTTTAAAATATATGCGAATATAAGGCAAATTAAAATGCAAACTCTGTACATGTACATTCTCTTTCTGGATCTGTTGCCTTTTGTTTGCTCTTATTAAAGCTTGTTGCTTTGATGCAGCATTTTAATGGCCACATGTAGTAGGAGTGAAAGCCTAATTATATTTTATTGGCAGAGATTAAACTCTTGTTTACACAATTGAATTCCAGGTCTGTGACTTAAGTCAGTGCAGGCAGAACACGCTGGCAAGACTTACTGAAGTCGGATGTTCTCTTTATCTCACTGTCCCTCACTAAGAAATTGAAACGTGCACAAGTTGCATCAACGGTTTAAAAAAGGAAGCTGGCATCCCGCCCTGATAAATATGCTTAACTGCCACATTCATTAGTGAAGTTGTGTGGAAAGATCCTTTCTGAGCATAAAAAAACAAAACCCAGTAGCAGTCAATTAAGAGCTGAGTCAAAAGTTCAGAACATGATGTTCGAAGTGAATGTTTAATCATTTATTTATTTATCTAAAGTAACTGATTGTAGTTATTGCTTTGCAAAATGCACAAAAATGATGTCCTGTTGTGCATGCATATCTGCCAGTTAGATTGAATAGGTTTTAATTTTGTGAGTAATGCAGTGAGAGGGGGCAGGCAGCAGGTACTAGCTGTGCCATCTTGGAACCAGAGTCTAGTGGAAATTCTCCCCTGGAGAAGCAATTATTGTCATTGTGCCCGGGCTCCACTGACACTTATTCTCCTTTCTGTTGCAACTGTCGTGGTATCCCATTACTTTGCCCAGCTGTCTCAACCACATAACCGTCCAATCCAGCTGAATAACTTCTTAAGATGCAATACCAAGAACACTGGCTTAGCCAAGGAGAGCTTAAATTCCTTTTGTATCCTATAGACTCACATGGGTTTGGACTCAATTCTTCGTTTAGCCAACTTTCGTTTTGTTAATAACTTTGGTGTGTGTAGATTCTCTGGTTCCTTCTATTAGCTTCACATACCTTGTCCTTTTCAATGTCACTTTTGATACAATTGTAATAAAAGCATTCCAGCTGAAAAACAATGAAACATGAAGCTGTCTTGCATGATTCTGAAGCTACTTTTTTGTTTTTTGTTTTAAATTTTTTATAAATCTTTATTAAACATTCAATACATATTTACAAAACAATTTGCCATATTACAGTTTATGCATGAACACTACACAAGAAAAAGAAAAATACAACAAAAAATAAATAAAAAGGAAAAGGAAATAAAAAATGACAGTAAGAAAGATAAAATAAACTTCTGATTGTTCTCAAAAAAACTAAGTCTCATTTGTTATTTTTTACACAGTATCATATTATTATATTTTGTTTCCTTAATTTCCTTCAGAGAAATATTCTTTAGTTTGTTGTCTATACATTATATGAAGCTGTCCTGCATGATTCAGAAGCTACTTCAAAAGATGCTTGATAATATTCAGACACTACTGTTTTATGCAGTGAGTTGAATCATTGAAGGATATTGGGTCAATGCTGAAGCACCTGAAATTTAACACTCCTCATAAAAGAATACAGTGAACCTTTATTAACATGGTGATAAAACCAAGAGGAGCCATGTTGGTTGATTTGCACTTCCAAAGCACATACCTATTATATAACTTTTTAAAAAATGTTGCACAGAATAACCAATCAGAAATGATTCTCAGTGAAGTGAACACAGCTGGCTACCAATTTATAAATGACCTGTGAAAAGTTTAATCTCTGCTTTCTTTGATTCTGGGGCAGCTGAAAGGCCCATGCTGTGATAGAAATAGACTTTCATTCCAGTCTGTCCTTTTTCTCCTTTCTGGCATTTATCTCACTTGAGGTTGACATCCAGTCTTTTAACTTGCTTATAGAGGGCTGAAACCAGTGCCTGATGAAGAGGTCATTGAAATGTATGGCGGGACCCAGCATATTCCATTATACCAGATGAGTGACTTTTACGGCAAGGTACCGTAAGCTTCGTTATTGACCATTTAATAAAATGGGGCTTTGGCTCTTCTTAATAACTGAGAAATCCAATATGCAGGAATTAAGTGAAAATGCCAGTGATTTCTTCCAAGTGTGAAAAGGCAGCACTTGCCAGTTTAAACATACTGTTTCTTCAGGAGCATATGCACAATTTGTCAGGGAGACAGTGAGTCTGGTTGACTTTTGTAAAATAATCTTAAATTTGTTGGCTGACTGGATGACTCCAGATATGACCACCTAGGGAGCACTTTAAGTATTATTACTAGCAATGCTGAATAATTATTCATATTTTTGCATAGTACTTATGCATCTGTTCATCTTTCTTGGGAGTGGTCATCTCTGGGGCTCTGCTGTTCCAATGAGCATTCCAGAAGTCTGGGTATCTGTCAGCATATTTATACAAAGCCCCAACAGCCATGGTGTTAATATGGAGATTAGATCTCTTGCATGTTTTTACAACCATTTCAACCCTTCAAATCTAAGTTTGTTGTTGTTTTTCAACACTATTTCAATTTAGTAGCACTGCAGAGGACTAGATGAAGTTGTTCAATGGCCAGATAGGATCTGTAAGCTACCAGATAGCCACCCCAACTCACTGTATAGTGTTCCTTTTCAAAGGACTTAATAGCAACTTATTAAAAGAAAATATTTTTCTCTAGACTTGTAATTTGACGCTCTGCATTTATTCAGAAATAGTGTTCTCTCAGAGACAGTTCAGACACTACGTCACTCTCTGAATCTCTCTGCACAGCTAAATCATGAGCAAATCTCAGGCTTGTGTACTCATTCCTCAAGGTCAGTGAGATAGTGCATTCAGATAAACATAGGCTTTTCTGGTGCAAGTGTTGCCTTACTCTCCTTCTCGTCATTTTTTATGCATTAAGGTTCACAGATAAAGTAACATTTGAACAATTCCCTAGTTCCAATTTTTGAAATACATTGTCCTTCTCCCACTGGACAGGGAGACGTGCAATACACACCTTTAGAACAGAAGTAATACTTGTATGTAACACATTGGGTTGTACTCAGCAAATTCATCCAAGAAGGACTCCTCCTGTCTTCCCATGTCCCCCTCTCCACAGTTGATCCAGAAGGTTGGAAGGACCCCAGAACAAGATTTTGGGTAAAGGGGCTCAAGGGGTGTAGAGGAAGTTCCTTTGCGTAGGCAGAAGTTTTTCCATTAATGGGGTGACTTGGTTGGATACAATATGTTACATTTCAGTGGAGTCCAGAAGTAGTTTTGTGACAGTAAAACATTTGTGTACGCTCCTCAGCCGGATTCCTTCTCATTTGTAGAAGATTGTGAAATGCCAGAAATCTGTCTTTAAACAGCTGACTTCTGCTAATCTGATCACTTCCCTGGTGCAAGGCAGTGTGCTGAGGATGCATTGAATGGGAAAGAACATGCCCTCCTTGTTCTTCCAGTCTAACCAGACTCCCACCCTCTCAAATACTAGGATTCTGAAAGGATGAGGGAGATCTGACAACTGAGAGATGACTGGCAAGAAAGCCCTGATACATTTCAGAGTGGGTCGGTCATTAGAGGATCAAAAATCCCTTTTCCTGACCTGAGCTGGACTAGTACCCTGTTCCTCACTTCATGAGAGTATGTAATCTCTCATGAATTTTGGGAGGGGGGATGTGTGCCTAAAGGGCATTACATTCATAGCCTACCCGTCGGTAGAGATGTGTAAGCTGTTGTTTGCTGCCAATTGATCTGCAGAACAGCTGCCTTTTCTAGAGAAGTTTTTCTGTTTCTGTGAGGTTCCTTCAACAGTACAGTCATGTCTTCATGTTTCCTTGCCCTCATTGGGTACAGGTCTGTGGGAAAGGCCGGTAAATGGTGTGTGTATTCATCCATTAACAATTTCCTAAAGGTTGGTACAAATTATTCCTGCATACTAGGAATAATTCAGTTTTATTTCTATCTTCGTGGGAGCAGGGCCTAATATGTGTTTTACATGATCATACTGTACAATCAAAAGGTGTACGGTATTCACCATCCTGTAAATTGTAATGTCATAAAAAAATAGCTGTGGAGATATGCTTTAATAGGAGCGATGTTCAGTGAAATCTTAAAAGACAGAGAGCATAGTTGCAGTAGACAGATTTTTGGTGCTTTATATAGCTTTTTGCAAAACAAAAAAAACCAAAACCCATTACACACCATGGTTAAACATGACTTATTTGTCCTTCATGACAGCTCTGTGAGTTAGGAAAGTTTTGAGAGAGAATTGTTTGCTCAATGGTAGATTAACCATATCTAAAGCAAACACTGTTGTCTCATACACCATGGATGTATGATGTGATGACAAAAAAGGGAAATTCTGACCCATGAGGTTTTTTATAATTGCTTGAAGAAAGAACTAAATTACATTGATTTTTAAAAAGACCTTTTAACTATGCAGTACATTTTTTCTTTGCATTTGGATTGAGTAAGAAACATCTATTCCTATGCAGTATTTGTCTGTTTTTAATCTAAAACTTTGTAGGTGGTGGTCTGCTGGCGGGGAGAATCCCTTCTGTTTTAACAAAGATCATTCTAGCTTCCTTGGCTTCTCCCAATACTTTTTTCTTTCCCTGACCTCTTCCTCCATTAAGATAATATGCAGTTACCTTATAGCAGATATTCCATGTTCTGCTATACTTTAAAGTAAACTCTAGGTCTGCAGTTCAGGCTCCCACTAGTGCAACTATTCATTGGTTTTTCTTATTTAAAATAATTATCTCCCCTCCTGGGGTCCTTTGAACACATTTAAGGCTGCTTATTACATTGTTTTAAGGGTTTCATCAAGAAATTAAAAGTATCTGATTAAAATATGGGAAGCATTGGAGATGATACATGTATTAAAAAAACACAAGATATTGGTAGAATAGTTAGCTTAGCAAGTCAGAAGCCTAAAAAGAAGGAAGGTAGGGCTTGAATGGTCTGATAACGTGGTATTGATTAGTTTATTGCTCTAGTGTGTGCATTGACAGTGTACATAAGTCCCTTCCAACTGACAGACCAGAAATAATTTGTTGATGTCATTATAGTTGGAAGGTGATTTCTGTTGAATTAGGTCTTGACTAGTTAAGGTCATTATGGTGTAGCTGTTTTGCTTAATCAGCAATGATACCAGCCCCCTGGCCATATGGCAGTTAGTATCTGATTTCTGTTTAATAAAAGTGTTTCTTAGCATAATCTGTATTATAAAGCAGATTATTCCTTTAGTCAGATGAAAGGAAAGGTCATATTTCAATAATTTTCAGTTGTTAACAGACTGCCACATACGGCTTTAATTTGTAGTTCAGTCTTGGCTTTTTTCTTTTTTTTGTACTGTTCAGCTGCTAAAAGAGAACAGATTTTTGTCTGTGTCATTGCTGCCACTTCTAGAGACTCCCATTTCTTTAAAGACCTGAGAAATTGGGAACTACTTCTTGAAATAAACAAATCACCAGGTACAGTAGTATCCTACTATTTGCTATACCCTTTTAGTGACCAGAAAATTTAGTGACTAGAATAGGCACTGGAGGTTCATGATAGCACAGAGTTTGAGATCACTGATATTTTCTCATATCCTGCATGTCAGTGCAGTTCAGTCTAGGGTACTTATATTTATTTTATTTTTATTTCATTTAGCTTGTTTTAATACAGCTAAATCCAAATGCTTCAAATAGACTTGGGCTGTATTGCCTCAAAAGATTGGGGAAAAGACTTTTTTTTTGTTCTATACAATAACACATATACATTCCTGACCATTACTAATCTGTCCCCACAATGGTCCCATGCAAATCAAAAGCTAATCAATCACTTATCCCTCTATCTACTATGTTTTTTCCATGCCTGATAGCATGTGAATACCATGCAATAGGTTTATCCCCTTGCATCATGACAAAGATTTGCTGTACCTATGTGTGTGCAATCTCTCTATAAACCAAGCCTCTGTTCAGTTGCTATAGTGAAATGGTGAACACGTGAGTGCAGTCACCTTTCTATACAGAAGTGACTATATAAACTGATTATACAGTTAAAAATATATAGCAATCCAAACCCAATCCAATTTTGAATATAATTTGTAGATCAAAGGTTAATGGATCAGCGAAGTTCCTTTAAAGAGGTATATTAATACCAAGGAATGAATACATAATTATTTACAACGTTGCAGTTTTTAATAACGTGAATGATTTTGTTTCCTGAGTGGGATTTTTAATTAATTTACTTTGGTAAATTTGGTAATGTTATTTGTTTTTGTATTCCTTGGCCATATGAAGTTGCCGCTGAAGCAGTTTTTTCGTGTGTGTGTGTGTGTGTGTTATATCCCATCTTTTGAGACCATTAGGTGAGCGAAAGGCAGCCCAAGACAGCAGTAAAACAACCTCAACAACATAATAGTAGCTTAAAAAAGCAGACATCAGCAGATGGGTGTTTCTTTACGTCAGTCCCAAAGCTGATGGAAAAAGAGGGGGCTTGCTAATCTTTCACAAATCCTGAGAGAATTAGATGCATGCCAGTTAAGTATCCATGTTCCCAGTGTTGTTTACCAGAGTCTCTAAAATCATCTCATACTTGCCTAGTTACAGTAAGTCTCTGACTCCTGTACATGCATGCCATGTTTGATTCATTGCTTTGGAGAGGAAAACCACAGCTGCCGATTCAAAAACTTCAGTAACTCTCTATTATTGCATTCACAGAGGGTACGCTGTGTTCAGCTGAAATGTGAGACACTCCCACTTCCTATAGAAGTACATTATGTTAAACAGCAGTTTTTATATTGTGTTTCCTCTTTTGGACAGGGTCCATCAATTAAGCAGTTTATGGACATCTTCTCCCTTCCTGAAATGACTCTGCTTTCATCCGTGACTGACTATTTCATGACTCACAATATTGAGTATGACCAAGTTCATCTTTACAAGGATATAAGTGTGAGTACAGCTGTTTTAGGGTATAGGTGAAAACTCTGCCTTTGGCAGTCCCGTGTCTTATATGAGGGTTGCGTTGTACAAGCATAATGTATCATTGTCAAATAGTAATAAATAAATAAAGGAGACAAAAAAAATCAAGCAACCATTAATTATTATTTTAATTAGCATGAAGTATAGAGAATATCTATATTGCATTTTCCAGAGGGGCAGCCATGTTATTCTGTTGCAGCGAAAGCACCAGTCTTGTGGTACCTTAAAGCCTTAACATGTTTTATTGTGGCATATGCTTTGGTGGACTGGATTCCACTTCATCTTTAAGGTGTCATGACTCTGCTTTGTACATTGCTTCTGTCATTTGTCATCTTCAGTAATACTCCTAAGCTGCTTTTTTTCAACACCTATAGGAACCTGACCACACAAGCAGAATTCTGCTTATACATCTTTAGCATCACAGTTGCTTTGGACTATAAATTTAAATATACCCATGTATCAGTGACTTCAGTGGATTCATGGAAATTACTTATCATTTGGTTTCTCTGTTACACACACACACACACACACACACACACACAGCGCCTTCAAAGTTCACTGATACACAGACTGTGTTAGTGCTTTGGGTGCAGATTTCCTACATCATATGTCAAGTTCCTGACAGTTTTCTCTTTTGATGATTACTTTATAAAGCGGCATTTACATTGATGGTGCTGTATAATACAATACAAGGTTTAAGACTTATGCATAACTACTCGTTGCTGTTTTAGGATGCCATTAAAGATGTCCATGTGAAAGGAATGATGTACAAATGGATTGAAAAGGACATGGGTCAGTTAAGTTCTAAACTTTGATTAAGGTTTTTTTGAATAGTAATGAACACTGTCTGGCATCTAATGGCTTTAGATTAATGGTTTTGAACCACCAAACTGAAATTTGCCTAAATGTTTTCTTATTTTTTGTCATAGTGTTGTGTACTTCTACATTATGCTTAGCTTAATCTGTTTCTTGCAGAAAAATATATTCTTCATGGAGATGAAACTTATGCTGTCCTAAATCGACTGGTTAACCATAACAAAAAACTATTTCTTATCACAAACAGTCCTTTTAGCTTTGTGTAAGTATCATCTCTTACGCATCTTGATGAAATGGTTGCTTATGTGCAAATGTTAAATGACAGTAGTAATTGTTCAGTGTAGACCATCTGGATAGCAGCTTTCTTATGTAAACATTTTTAATTGTGGGAAGATAAGATTTTATTATTGTTATAATAACATGAGGATCTATTTGTGTATTTGATTTGTTACCCTGCTTTCACCATCAGGTGATGGTGGCGTTCAGTTAACAACGTAATCATACCATTACAAACAAGTACAGCAAGTTTTAGCAAAGAATTGTACACGACTGTGAAACTGGAGAAACTGCATTGCTAGTTCTGTGGTTGCAAAGTTAAATTTGAGAAGTGATTGTAATCATTCCTAAGGGCACAGTTCTGTCCTGGTACATGCACAGGTCTGTTTCGTTGTCCCACCTTGGTATGCATAGGTGCATGTGGACTCAACTCTATGGTCTGTGTGCCTCTGATATTTCCAACTCACCCTCCCTGTTTGCCTGCTATGAGTGACTCATGCTATGGATCTGAATTACTGGAACAGCCCAAAGGAAAGGGCTGGCTGGGGATAGAGAAGGTAAATACAAGCATCCTGTTTTCTGTAATGTTCTGGTGGTGTGTGGTGCTTCCACACGTGCCAAAGTGAAAAGTAACTTGGCTCTGATTAGATCTCTGGATGCACCCCATCTTCATGCAGGATTGTGCAATAAAATAGAACATTGTATGCATTATAGGAAACCTAATGAATAGATAGATGGTAATGGGCCAAAGCCTTCAGATTCTATAGTAAACTCCTTTTTAAGAAAATCAACTCTCCCATAATAGGTGTTTTTTGTAGGCTTTGGTAATGGAACATGTTCTTCATCCATGCCTTCGCAGAACTGAAGGTGCTATTCTGTTGTTGTTGATCTAGGTTGGAAATGACTTGGAGCCATTTATCTCACGAATTAACTACCAAGTGCCTCTCTAAGAAACCTCCGCAGGAGCCCTCAAAATGCTGAAGCCTTCTTCACATGTAATATGGTGGCAAATGCATGTTTGCCGCTGCATGTGTTATGCAGCAAGTGACACCCGTCCTGGCTTCCTAGCCTAGTTCACGAATGGACTAGCCAGTATGAACCTTTTAGGCATGGTTGAGGTCTTGTCAAGCTGAACTCAGAAGCCATGGGGAACTTCAGGCAGGGAAGGATTGGAGAATACCGTATTTTTCGCTCTATAACACGCACCCGACCATAACACACACGTAGTTTTTAGAGGAGGAAAATCCGTAGGCATGCCACCCGTAGGCATTCCCTCCATAACACGCACAGACATTTCTCCTTACTTTCTAGGAGGAAAAAAGTGAGTGTTATGGTGCAAAAAATACGGTAATTTAATTCACAGGGCCTTAACAACTTGGGGACCACCTGATTCCTTAACTGGCCTGTCTGATCACCCAGGTCTTCAGGGGAGCTGCTGTTAGTTGACCCTTGTGGCTCTGACACATGGAGTGGAATTCAACATAGGGACAACAAGACTTTTCTCCTGTGGGGCCCTCACACACTCCCTAAGTCTGTTCTGGGTTTTCCTCCAGGACATATTTGGGGGATGCAGGGCAGGGAAGAGGGAGAATACGGCCCATTGCGCTAGCAGACCTTGTTCTGGGCACACGACAACTTAGTTGAATTCTGCTCTTGGCTTGCATGCGCCAGAAGTTGTGTGCTCAGTATTGTGGGCCCAGTTCTCTGGAATGCCTTTGAGATCTGACAGGGGTCTACCCTGTCAAACTTGAGGTGCTTGGTGAACAGTTTTAAAAACATTTAAAGAAAACTTTACTGATTTTCATAGTTAATATTTTTCTCTTTTGTAACCTCATTGTACACTGCTACATAAATTGCTTAAATAAATAAATAAAGTTGCAGAACATGAAGAACAGTGTATGTATTGAAGATAGCCTAATGAACACATGTAAATGGACTGAAGCTTTCTTACTTTTTGACTGCTTCTGAAGCCTAGCACAGTACTGAGGACAAAACCCCAACCCTTTCCTGAGCATGGAGAAAGGCTCCCTTCTGGAATTGGTTTGCATTTTGGAGGTACCCAGAGTAGAAGTAAGAAGGCTTGGGGCAGTATCCAGTACATTTTTTTCATTAATTCAAGGATTTGCACTTGCACAATGGAATTATGCCCTCCCAAAAACGTTCTAGACCGTTGGGAAGAACCACCAGAACAATTTTAGAGGGCACAGAGAAGGACAGCCGAGCAGAGTTTCATTGCACACAAAAAAATCCTTGCACTAATGACATTAATTTTATATTATTGCCTTGACTGCTTCTGGAATTCAGAGTAAAGGGAGGAAAAATCATTTTGTGGACCACATCTTTGTGTAGGTGAACAGTAAGCCCTAACAAAACTCAGCTCCTGCTGTGCTGTTAGGAAGGCAGGTTAGAATTTTTTTAAAAAGAAAAAATATTGGCAGATAATCCATGTCTTTCATCAGATCAAAATGAAATCTTTCTCTAGAGTACCATACACTGGATTAAATGAAATAACCTTTCCCTGTTTTTGTCTGCAGTGATAAAGGAATGAAGCACATGGTTGGCAAGAACTGGCGAGACCTTTTCGACATGGTCATTGTGCAAGCAGATAAGCCAAATTTCTTCACTGATAGACGCAAGTATGTTTTGAGTTGGAGTATACCAGAACTATATGTTACATTTAACTTTGCAGCTGTTACACAAAATGGCAACTGCAGATTCGGTGCTTCTCTGCCCCACATCATTAGTTGATGATAAAGGGGGGCAGAGCCAGGAATGTGGAACATCCTGAAGTCAGGCTATGGGCAGGAATCCTGACTGGTGGGGTGAGGAAAGAGAGGAATTAAGTATGCAATTGCCATGTTTTGACAGCAGCTGTTCATTAGCAGTAGTGGGTTTCCTTTCAAGATGCCAAATTACTTGTTTGCATTTTCAAATTCTGGTGAGATCAAGATGCCAAATTACTTGTTTGCATTTTCAAATTCTGGTGAGATCAACCCAAACAAGCTCCTTCTTCTAAAACTGCTTGTTTGTCAAATTGTACAGAAATGTATTATGTTAATTCCCTGCCTTTTGCAGAGTATTTGAAGTCTTTAATACTGTGTGTAATGCAAGCCATTGACGTCAAGCATCCATGTACAATAAGTCAAATAACTATTTTGACTTTTCCTCTATCCCAGCTGCCATGTGTGTTGAAGTGGTTATATATATTGAGTCCCTAACATCCTAGAAAAAGAAAGCATGCAGTGGCTGTTTTTTCTCTTAAAGCAGACCATACATTTTCATTATGCAAACTGTTGTGAATAAATGGGCCAATTTCTTTCCTCCTGCTGCTTTCATTAACAAACTTTTGAACAGTTCACATAATAAGACTAATGATGATTTAACACAAAGTGACTTAAGGAATCACTTCCCATTTGTCATCTTAATTCAAGTTTCCATAGCAAGATTCACTCGTTTGCAGGCCTGTAACAGCAGTTGTTTGACTTTTGTAGACCCTTCAGGAAAATGGATGAAAAAGGTTCACTTCACTGGGATAAAATAAGCAAACTGGAAAAGGGGAAAATTTACAAACAGGTAAGACTACTTAACAGTATCTTATCACTTCATGGCTTAGCTTAAGGATACTAGAACTTTTTTGAGTCACTTTGAAGTATGTGAGCAAGCATGAAATAGGTATTTGCTACTCTTCTTCAAAAGCTGTAATTTTATACTTTTTTCATAGCTTCTTTATTTCCATTTTCTTAGAATCTCCCATTCTTAGAACTGTGATGCAAATATGTCATAAGATAAAAGCTGAGGTGGATAGTTACTCTCTGAAGTCATAAACATATTTGTCCTGTTCTTTTGAAATGATTTCATCCCATTGTTTCTGAAGGAAAACAGTCGAGCAAGATTTTGTTTTCCTATTTTAATATGTAGACGAGGTTGTCTTGTTCCGCAGGTAGACTAGGAGTTAGCAGGGTCTTGAAAAATCTTTTGAGGAAGGCTAGAAGATTATTGATCAGTAGAAGATATCACGAAAAATTGTTAGTAACCCACTTTATGTGATTCGCAGTTGAGCTCTCTAAAATTCAGAAATGGTTCTGAGGCAGTGCTGTGATCAAATCAGGCCTTCAGAATTATAATGTCAAAGTATTTCATTGCTGAGTCAATGATTTCGGACATAACAATATGGTGCCAATTGGACAATGGCTGTAGCATCATCCAAACAAATATAATATGGCTAAATATCTTCAGGATTTGTTAATAGAATGCTGTGTGGATGAGACTAGGAAGATGAGGAAGGCTCTGTATATTCATACCATATGTGACCTAATACATGGGTAAAAGTGTCCCAGTAGGGAAATCATTTTGACCCGCAGTTTCCTAGTTATGTTTTTCCCAGATGTCTTTATTACCAGACTCTTGTCTTAGAATCCGATATGTTAAAACCTTCCCAGCACAAACATTTGAATGGTTGTCATAGTTAGGGAGATGATTATTGGTGTGTGTGTATGTGGTTGACAACAAATTCCCTCTGAAATTAACACATTTCTCCATTCTTACTAGGCATGCCAATGTTGGGAAAGTTTCCTAAAGTTGGAATTGGGATGATCTTTTAAACAGCAAAAAATGTCATTCATTCATCCTGCGTGAATTTGAATGTGATGGGTTGGGATTGACGTCAGTGATGATGGAAGTCTAGTTCTGGTCATGCCAGGATTCATTAGGAAGCATGAGTAATAGTGGAGGGAACCCAGCAGCCTGTGTTTTGCTGCTAGGATATCTGAGGACAGATCTGCCTTGCAGCCCAGTCAAAACATACAGAAGTTGGGCCAGTGGGAGAAGCTTAGGAACAGATAATGGTCACTGCAAAAAAGTAAGTGTACCTTTATAAGGTAGCCTGTGTCCCACTTTGAGGGCCCTGGGAATAGCATATTGAAATTGGGCCTAGACTATCTTGAAATTAATGTTCAGCACATAGCAAATCACTAACATAAATCATGACTTAGCTATGCTTTAAAGCAGACCCATTTAAAGTAATGGGACCGAAATTAATCATTACTAACATCAGTCCCATTGCTTTCGGGATACAACCCCTTTTTGTTTGTAGTTTTTCAACTGTAGTATTGGAGTACCAGTGGATTGTCGTACAAAGCTACAGTGAGGCTAAATCAGATAAGAACTTAACTCACCGCACACTTAGGGATCAGTTAGTCTATAAATTTAGGAATGGTTCCTTGAATACAAACAACGTGCAAGATATGAATTTGTAGGAACGATGGGATTATAAATCTAGCGTTCCAAAGTCGCCATTTCCCCTAATTTGACAAAGTTCCCGTGAGAACTCCTTAAGCTTTTACCCATGGATGTTTTTTTTAATAAGCGGCTTATTCTGAACAAATATTTTCTCTTTGTTTCCTTGGCTCTGTAGAAAAATCAAAGTAGTGAGAGACTTATTTTTTTGACCTTTTCAAGACCGGCACACACTGTTTTTCTTTGCAAGAAGAAACCAGATATTTAAGTTTATTCTCACATTCTTTTGTTCATCTTATGTTTCAAGGGCAATCTGTTTGATTTTCTGCGGCTAACAGGCTGGCGTGGGTCCAAGGTCCTTTATTTTGGTGACCATTTGTACAGCGACCTTGCAGTAAGTACTCCAGTCCCACTTAGAATTTTATCTCAGTGCTACTTAGTGGCCTCTGCTTGCTACCAAAATCCAAGAACAGCTTCGTTCTTCAGTATTGTTGCTCTGGGATATATTTGTGGAAGACACCCACACTATGCCTTTGATTCTTGTTCAGCATGATCAACTCCCATTGCATAGGTGGTTCCTTTTTAGCCAGTCCTGATTTGAAACCCATACCAGCATCAAGTTTATTGCAAAAGGTCAAATACTTTCTTCTTCTAGTCTGCCATTTTAAGGCACATTTCCAAACCACAGTCCATATATAACCATTTTTAAGAATAACAGTTTAAAAAGTAACTGTTGGATCTCTCCCCCCCCCCCGCCCCCGTGTCAACTCTATTATTTTTAACTTTATTTTTCTAAAGGCAACTTGCAAAATGAGGTTTCTCCTCCCACCACTTCTTACCTTTCTGCTTGGTCAGGATCTGCCTTATACCTTGTGAACAGAGAGGCTATTTCCTTCTGGCAGCAACCCCTTGCACCTTGCAAGAACCATTCCAGAAAATTGGATGGGGGGGATGCAGGGTGTTTCTGCTGGACAGATGCCCATTGCTATGCATGCTTAGTCAAAAATACTAGGGCCCACTGATGTCAGTAGAACCTGTTCTGTAATAACGATGCATAGGATTCTATCCTGCTATATCTCTTTACATGTACATCTGAAGAGCTCCCGCCTGCCAGCTGACATTGTGCGCTGGCTCAGTTACACTCAAGCTGATTTCCTTGTAGAGGCTGCTGTTAGGAAAAACTCTGCAGAGCTTTTATTGAATGGTTTTATTGGGTACTTTTATCGTATCTGACATCATAGTTTTTGGAGTATATTGTATCTTTTGTATGCTATCTTCATGTTTTGGTACGCAGGGTATATATATTTTTCATTAAGGGGAAGAAAACCAAGTCTGCGTGAGTGGTTGACTGCTTTTGGGAATGAACTGACCTTGAGTAGACTCCCTACCCTGCGATTGCAGATGCTGTCATCTACAAACATATTTCAACTGCTGCATTTTGTTTACTAAGAATTTTTCATTTTTTTTTGTAAATAAAACATCACCATACATTTCTGTAGCACATTCTGTTCAACCCAGAGATCGCCACCCCCTCCTCTCCACTCCCAAGGACTGCCACTCCTCAAGGACTAATAAAGCTAAAAGAAGATTAATGTTTATTTAAAAATTAAATGGCGTGAGAAAGAAAAGAGGAGACTATAGGATAAAGCGAAAAGCTAACAACGAATAGTGGCTTTCCTGATTGTTGTTGGCAAGTAAAAACTGGATGAAAAATTGTTTCCTTCAGGCTATGAACTGATTTATCAGTATGGCAGGGCTATTAAAATGTGTATTGTGGGCTTATTTACAAGGCTGCACCACAGTATCGTATGCTGTGCCCTTCCTTCCCTCTTTCTTAGGATCTCATGCTGCGGCATGGTTGGAGGACAGGTGCCATTGTTCCAGAACTTGAGACGGAAATCCGAATCATTAATACAGAACAATATATGCACTCTTTGACTTGGCAGCAGGCTCTTACAGGACTTTTGGAGAGAATGCAGGTAAAATAGACCAAATGATGATTTTATTAGGTCGTTGCCTAGCATGATTATGGTTAGGCTTGCCATCACCCTAACCTTAGCTAAGCCAACTTCCTGGCTATATTTCCTTGTTTGTATTTCTTTTCTCTGATGAAAGGAGATGTAAAACTGCAACCTTCATAAGTATTAGAACATGTATTTAGCCTGATATTCAGCTATGTTCAACATTCAAACATCTTGGATTCTTTTTTCTTTTTCTTAACTTTTAGATGTATCAAGATGCAGAATCTAGGCAGGTGCTACTGGAATGGATGAAAGAACGACAGGAAATTAGGTGAATCTTGATATTTTTTTATTGTCGTCTGTTCCTCCCCACCTCAAAAAAAGAAAAAGAAAAAAAACTGTCATTGCATTATTACATAAATTCCAAACACAAATCTCACACTTAATTAGGAACTGGTTGTGACTAAGAAGGCATTTTATTGGATGCTAATCCCCAATATTGCTTTGCTTCTATACTGAACAGTTTTCTTTCTCCCTTTGGGAGGGGTGCAGGTGGCCTACTTAGGGGCAGGTGAAGTAGCAAGACAAACATGTCAGGCACCCCTCATCTGTCTCTCAGAGCTTAAGAGGTCCTGGAAAAGCTTTTAGCTGAAGAGGATGCTGGGTGCTCCCTTAAACAGACTAATCTGCCGGCCAAACACAGCAGAGGAATTCTGAGTAGCTAACCCAATGACCGCTCCCCACATCAAATGGGCGGCACCTTTTGCGTGGTCGCGCAGCCCCCCCCATCCGATGTGGCTCCCGGCAGTACAGCCTGGATCCCCCCCCCCCAGGCTGGACACCTGGAGGTAGCCGCCTACCTCTGGCAGTTACCCAATCCCAGCTGGGGAGGCATTGCCAGGAGAGAGTTGGCCAGAAGGGATCGCCCTGCCCACACAATAATGGGTGGAACTTACCTGGGAGTTCTCAGTCGGCTTCAGAGCTTCTCCCACCCTGCCCTCCCTCAGTTAAGCCTTCTTTTGCAGGTTCTCTTCTTTACACTGGCGCTGCTACGTTATGGTCGCTGTTGAACGGCCGGAAAGGAATTTTCCTGCATTGGCAGGTTTTGCCTTCCCCGTAGCAAAACATCACAACTTTGGCGGTTTCAGGCATTGGGCGGAATCCTTTAGTCTATCTTCCCTAAATGGGGGGGGGGGTGACACGGTGACCCACGGCCCTCCTGCAGTGGCGATCCCACAGTTCCCCGTTAAAGGGGTTGTTTTGAGGGGAGGCATTGGCCATACGCCAATAGGTTGTCATTGCTCTCCCCTGCGACGGCGGCGAAATGGGGGGCGGGCTCTCTGCTTGAACAGACGTTCTCCAGAGCTAGCCCAATCCCCACACATTCTGGAGAACCCTGATGTTCCCCAGATCCCCGGCCGGGGACTGGGAGGGAGAAACGCCCAATGCCTAAGCCAAGGTCTCCCTACATCTGAAGCTTTAATAAAGTTGTGGCCAAAATTTTACTCCCATAACACATTGTCTTGACTCATTATTCCACTTGGCTGTCGTCCGGGGCTGGGGGGGGGGGCGTTCTCCGCCTGTCCGCACAAAACCCCATACGTTTTCAAGGGTTTCTGTTCTCATGGCTTAATAGCAAATTATTTCCTTCCAGGTCACTTTCGAAGAATCTTTTTAACCCCCAGTTTGGTAGCATCTTTCGAACCTTCCACAACCCGACCTACTTTTCTCGAAGACTGATCCGTTTCTCTGACATCTACATGGCATCCATCAGTTGCCTACTGAACTATGATGTCAACTTCACCTTCTACCCCCGGCGCACTCCGCTGCAGCATGAAGCTCCCCTCTGGATGGACCAGCTCTGCACTGGTTGCATGAAGACTCCATTCTTGGAGGAAATGGTGCACATCCGGTGAAAGGATGTGTATGTCCCACTGTTGCAATAAAGCTGTTGTATAGGAAGGGCCCAGCATCTTAGCCTTAGATTGCAACCTGGTTACAGTGTGTGCCTATTGCTGTCCTTTGCCTCCCAGCACTTCCTAATACATACTCAAGATGAACGAGTGAAAAGGCTGTACAAATTATGTCTTAGAAATGCTTCACTGATAAGAAGTCCAAAGGGTGAATTAGGTTCCTGTGCACTGTCTCCATAAAGTAGTTCCTTCTACTTAGAGGTTCTACCCAAAATGTTCAGTTCCAGAGTTTGTGCGTTGTGTAGCCGTGATCCGATGATATTCTCAGAACTTGTTAATACTATACAGCCCTATTTGTCCATGTCTCTACCCAGACTTTAGATGTGACTTAGCTGTGATTATATTGGCAAATAGCTCTGGATGTATTCCTACTAAAATGTGGACACATTTATATTTTTAAGACCTAAGCCAGAATTATTTTTGGTTCATTAGATCTGAGATGCACTCTAAATCCTTGGCAAAAGAATTTTAAACTTTAATAACTGCCAGCAGCTCAGAATGTGCTAGATTAACACTTGATTAGGTTATAAATTCAAAGGTGCTAGCTTGTGTATCTTTGCACAACTGAGCACAGTATAATAAACAACATATAGCCAACTCAGTTTTATGTACAAATGTAGTGATCAACAGAGCTTATTGTGAGCATGGCCCAGAAGGGCTAAACAAGCAAAGTTTCTCACCCGGTAGATCAATGACTGCTGCTGAGAGCATAGTGAGATTTCTCAATAGGTAGTGTGCATTTCTGCTAGAGCATGGACTGGTCCACATGTACCACTTGATTACACTTTGACTCGTAGCACAATGTGTGACCTGACCATTGGAAAGCACTGTGTTTGTGGTCAGCTGATGTGGTAGCTTTGTAATGGCTCAACAATGAACGTAGTTGCTGCACTCGTCACATGATGTGCATGCATGTCTCAATCAGCCCTATTAAATATACCATCCCATATATTTCTAAAAACTACTTTTCACCATTGTATAAGTGTAGCTCGAATTTCAAACCTATTTCTTAACTTGAGATCAAAATATGGAAACAAATGGTGTATTATTTAAGCATCTGCTACTTTTTAGCCTGACACAGATGAAGGACACAATCTATCACCAGCGTGCTGCAAAAGGTGAGCCTAGGGTTCAATGGCTGAAGCCATGGGTGCTTTCTCCTTTGTGTGAGATGTAAACCTGGGTCTCTTTCACTGTGCAATAGGTGGAGCTGCCATTGAAAGACTACTCAGAAGAAGCATCAGCTAATACAAGTGGTGAGTTATCAGGACCATGTTAACTGAAGTGTTCCAGTGTTTGCACATGCTCTGCATATAAAAAGCCTCATGTTCAAGCTCTCTGTATGTTTAGGAATGTCCCATCTAAAATCCTGCAACTGGTCTGACTTGATAGAAGGCCGTTTCCTATATATTGGTAAAGGCAAACATTTTGGGCTGAAGCTAGCTTGGCGACACATCTTTTCTATATTTCATCATAATATAGATCCTGACCCTCAACTTAATACCTGTTTTTGTACCCAGCTACTGCAGATCAGAACCATACCATTTAATAGAACATCTTTCCCTGAAAGGCTCACCAAAGTCCATTTGGGCTGGCTCTGATAAGCATTCCAGGTGTATAAATTAAAAGCTGGGCAGGAGACCTGTGTTTATTTTTTAAATATTGCAATTTGATTGAATTCTATAATGGGTTTTATGCTGGCTAATTTAGATATAATTAAATAAAGCTGCTCCACATGATTCCAGCACAGTTTTTTAAAAATCTAATCAAGAACTATTCTGTCTTACAAATGGCAGTTCAAAACTGGAATTAAGCTGAATTGTGCATTGACATGGTAAATTGCATTCTAATGATGCCAAAGCAACCTTACTGTCAAGCTATAGAAATTGTTGTCACTGTAGTTGATGCTTTAGGAGATGTTTTGTTGCTCTTTCTCATGTATATGGTACCAAAGTGGTGATGTTTAAGACTAGAATACTGGTCTTTGTGTACTGTATCTTATATTTTACTCTTTTAGGGATTTATATTAGGATTCTACGTATTAGTCAAACACATGGAGCTGGTTTATAAAATGTGGTTTGATAAATTATTCTGTAGCTATAATAGGCTTAAGTTTAGTTGTGCAAAAAAAACCAAAACACTTTATCATTCACATCTTAAGTAAGGAAACAAACATACCTTAAAATGGCCTCTCTGAAGTTTTCTACTACAGTGGTACCTCAGGTTACATATGCTTCAGGTTACATACGCTTCAGGTTACAGACTCCGCTAACCCAGAAATAGTACCTCGGGTTAAGAACTTTGCTTCAGGATGAGAACAGAAATCGTGCTCCGGTGGTGCGGCAGCAGCAGGAGGCCCCATTAGCTAAAGTGGTGCTTCAGGTTAAGAACAGACCTCCGGAACGAATTAAGTACTTAACCCAAGGTACCACTGTATTTAATGACAACTATAGTTATATAGTCTGCATGTGTCCTGCAAGCTAATATATTATGTAGGGCTGTTATTTCTTCTCTTTTGACACGTTCTCAACTATGTCAAGTCTTTCTTCAAACATGATGACTTTTAAAAACAGATAAGCACTGTGTAGGCAAACACATGACACTGTGGAATGCCTACAGGGGTGCCAACCGAAATAAAATGGGGGGGGGGGAATAAGCCCTGCCCAACGTAGAATTTCTGGAAAGGCTGGGCATTCCCATTCAAAGTGAAGGTATAAAACTTGATGTCACTTCGTTTCCTTATTAATGTTGCCTGCTTTAAATGTGCCAATTAACTTTATATTGCACAGAAGAGATAACATGAATAACTAACATAACGATTCCTGCATCATAAAGCCATCTGTGACCTAGCTTTTGAACATGAAATATGTTAAACAGCTAGTTTTCCTAAGTGATATAATATCAGTTTGGCTAGACGTTTAGGTGGAGAAAATGAGCATTTGAATAAAAAGCTGTAAGATTGACATGGCGGAGAAACCAATTAACTTGCTATACTGTTTCCATTGTATTTACTGTATTCCGCAGAAAAAGTGATAGTGGATTACTTGTCAGACATTGTTCTATCTAAATTATTATAAGCATTTTCTTGTTGCATTTTTGAAACCCAACCTAAAGTTCTGTGTCATAAGGTGCTGAAGTTAGCATTATCCTCATTCTATTATAAGTAGGCTACTCTGTATAATGCCAAATGGCTCAGAACTTGAAGAACTGAAATAATGATTTGGTCAAATTTTGTCCAAGCTAGGTAAAATAGTTTTGGCTCACAGGTCTGCTCACAAAGCAGCCTGTTGTCAGCTGTGTGCCTACTTCATAACAATCTGCACAAACATTCATTCTTCTTTCCCACACTACACAGAATTTGTGGTTTGTTCTAAGTGACCTTGCAAGTGTAGAATGTTTCTTTTGTTGGTTATTTACTATTTTTACAAAAATAAAGTATTGCATCATGGGATAATGACTTTCTCTTGACATTGTCTTCTCTTAGGCAGTGTGGGGATTACTAAATAATGGCTCTCAATCCTAAGGCAGAACATACCTTTTCACCATTATGTATCCTTACTAAGTGTTAACTTTCAGGTTCAAAATAACCAAACACTTAATGAAGGTTGACAACATTTGCTTGTTCCCATTCATTTACAAACATCTGTCATTCTCGGAACAGTACATAAATTCAGTAGGATTATAAACAAAGATGGGCCTACAGTTTTCAGGCAGTATTATTTCAAACTGCCTTTTAAGTAACATTTTTAAAAAGGGATCGGCAGAAGGCTCCATAGTGCAGTTTCAGAGTAAAGTTATCTAACTGAACTCAGATTTTATTGGCCCACTGAAGATTCTCCACAGCACCCACCGATCCAAACACATTCAAGAGTCATCATATTCCCTAAGTTTCAGCCTGAAGATTTAGGAGCAGAATCCAAAGAACACAACATGATTTTCCATCCCTCACCTTCCTAATGCCACTCCTTATGACATCCAAAAACTCATTCCTGACACCCAAAACAGCACAAGGGGGCTGCATTCAATCAGAAAATTGCTGAAGCCCCTGTGTGCATGCAAGGGCAAGGAGCTCTATGGGCCCCAATTTCCTGCCCATGTATTTGAGAAGAGGAATGGAACTGAGGTATGTTAAACAATTTACAATTAAAGCCGCTTGTTAATTTGTCACCATTGAAAGGGCAGGCAAGGCTTCTTAGCAGTCCATAACAGCCATATTCTGTTCATTCTGAATTACATAGCTTCTGGGAAGTGTTGTTTCCAGCTTACTGGTTGCCTTGAATTCCAAAGGCATCTGAAAAATCTTCTCCGGTGAGAGAATCCTGAAACAAACATTCAAATACTTATTAGGCCAGTTAATCTGACAAGAGTTCTATAGAGAATAAGCTTGACTTTTGCAAACTTACTGTAGTACAAGAAAACCGGTCACGACAATATCAATCGTCCACTACAAATATGCCATGTGGACCATCTGTGGCTTGGTGCACATTGCAAGAGCAAAGGAAGCAATCATTTTGGGCAGCCTTAAATTCACCATTTTAGATCTTTTATTGAAGATTATTCAACGACACTATGCCAAGTATCACTATGCCAAGATACTAAGTACTGCCAATCCCAGTTTGGTGATCACCTTCTGAAAGATGAATGGAAAAGCAAAACTTTGCTTGTATTCAGATGCCATGATAGGCTATGGTTTGTGATCACAGGAATCAACCTAGCTTTCCCACAAACTTGCATGCTCCCCTCTCTCTTCTGCTGAGACTGCAAGGAGAGCAGAAGTGTTTGTTTCTGGTTTGAATTAATCATATTTTAACATTAGTCTGAACCCTAAACTGTAGCTAATCTTGAAGAAGCTGGCTTAGTTCTACAAACCATAGTTAAGTTGGTTTACCTCAAACACAGTGTTGTTAAGGTTTGCCACAGTTTTGGGGGGCTCTTGCAAAAAGTTTAACTGCAGTTTATTGAAAAGGGAATGGAAAGCTTTCAAAGTTGCAGCTGTGCTGCAAGGGAGTGTTCAAGTCCAGAAGGAGGGTAGAATTTTCCTGTTATTATAAATGCTGGTTTATTGTGATACTCAGTTACAGCCACTAGGACTGGGGGAGCAATGCCTCTTCAGATTGCTTGAAAATCAAGGCGGCTTCTAAATGATTCAATTAAGAGACTAATGAGAAATGCTTTCTTAATTTTGATTATATATGGACAGTAAATGTAGAAAAGGTTGAAATTAGAAAAACTTCACTACACTTTGTATAAATATATCAACAAAATATAAAGATCAGTTGTCTTACCTCAAATGGCTCATAGATGGAGATGTCTGCTCCATAAATGGGATTTGGAATGGACACCAAGTGTGGGCTCCTTTCCTCCCAGGAAGAAGGCTCATCATCTTCCAGCTCAGCCTACAGGCAAAGTAGAAATAGGCTAAGCATGTCTCTGCCCTTCTAACTGCAAAGCTGATTAATTAATTTAAAAAGGCACAAACCACTGGCATCAATTTGGTCTATAACTTTAATAATTAGTATTGATATAGTGCTCTTTCATTAGTGCTCAAAGGAATTCCCTCATCCCGTATACACCTGCAGCATGGCTGGCCAAATGAGCCGATAGCTAGAGTTGTCCTGCCTATTGTGATGCATAACTGAAGCTACAATGTGAGTGGGACGTGAGGAGTTATGAAACTTTTAAGCAAACTAATTATTTTCCTCAAAAAATGAGTAGTTGCTATAAAAAAATAATAAATTCTTCACTTGTTTTTATCCTGTATTTTATTCTGTGAACTGCCCTGAGAACTTATGATGAAGGGTGGGATATAAATCTCATAAAAATAAAAAACAAAAGCTGGTTGTGCAACTGGTTGAGCAACAGGAAGTATCAGGGCTAGATAAAATCTGTTGCGCATCCAACTGTACTGGCTTCCTGTGCAAGCCATTCCACTAGCACAATTAGTACACTCTTGAATTCCTCCCAATACTTGGCATGGATGCAATGTTACAGGTGCCTGTGACCAGAAATGAGAATGCAACAAATTAGAAGATATTTCCCCACTTAATCCATATAATTGAAGGTGGAAAGTCTGTGGGAGTAATGAATGAAGAGCTGACCCTTTGCAGGCCTTGTAAACCATTTAGAGACTATGATAGGTGGTATATTAATGGTTTAAATAAACAAAATGCATGATGAAGATACCTTGAAATAGCGAAACTGGAATCCTTGGTTCTTCCTTTTGAGGTAGATGTAGGACACACCAGCCACCATTGCACACAGTATTAGGGAGACTACAATGGATACACCGATGGTCACAGCAGCAGGTGATTTCACAGCACCAACAACCTGTGAAAAGCAATTTTGTTCGTATTTCAAAATGTTGGATTAGAGTCCTGCCTTAGTTAAGGGCAGCTAGCGTTTTTTAAAGTGCCACGCTGTTCTACAGCAAATCCGAAAACTCTTATTATCATTATGATTTTGTTTGGTGGATCACTGTCCACGAAAACAGCCACCAGAGCAAGAGGTGAGTTGGCATGCTTCCTGCTGCGAAACTGTAGAAAACTGCTGAGAAGTTGGACAGGAAGCAGCAACCAATAAAGGAGAAGTACTTCTGACCAACCCCCAAGAAGCCCTGCAGCTTTCCTTCTCTTCCAATCAATATAATGTTGCATCTTGATCATAATTTTGGTTATCTTGTTACTGCTGGGTAGCTAATCAGATAGTTATAGTATCATTTATAGTATCATTTTGGCCTTGAACATAAGAAACTGGGTAATTTTTATGGCTTAGTTTTGAGGTGAATTTTCGTTTAAAGGTTCTGTGAAATTGGATATGGTTTATTTTGTTGTTCAGGATCTTCCTTTGTAAAATGAGTAACTGCACAATCTTAAAAAGCTGGAATTTTATGGAAAAAATGAATTATAACACTGGGCAACAATTTTTTACTTTTTGAATGTTGTCTAGATTTATACAACTGATTTAGGGTATTTTTGCACTGCTGAATCAGGAAATGGCATCCGTTTCTCTCCATCAGGTCAGGTTTACTGTAAACTGAATGGTGGGCATTGATAAAGGTAAGTACACTTAAATTGCATGTTGCTTCACCATTTTTCAAACTTCAGGGCTTGAACTTCCCTTTCTTGGAACTCCTGGAATGCTCAGCGGCAGGAAGGTCTCTCTTCAGAGTCCAACAGTAGTCAGCTATCATGACTGCGTCCCAGCAACCCTTATACCTGGTCTCCATCTTTTTCATATCCTGATGGAATCTCTCCCCCTGCTCGTCACTCATTGAACCCAGCTTCTCAGGAAACCGGTCCATATGTGAAAATAGGTAGTGCATCTTGACGCTCATGTTGCAGCCCAGGTTTCTGAAAGCAGTCAGCATGTTGTTGACAAGTTCTGCGTAGTTTCTGGCCTTATTGTTGCCAAGAAAGTTCTTCACTACCAGAACAAATGCCTTCCACGCTTCCAGTTCCATTTCGTTCATTGAGTTTCCGAACTCTGGATCTCTGATGAGCTGACGGATCTGAGGACCGTCAAAGATGCCAGCTTTCAACTTCTCCATGGTCAATCCTGCAAAAGCCTGGTACAAGTAACTGAAGCAGTCACCATCCTTGTCCAGAGCCTTGGTGAACTGTTTGATTAATCCGAGCTTGATGTGCAGCGGTGGGAAGAGTATTCTGTCTCTGTCCACCAGAGGGTCGTTGATGACGTTCCTTTCTTTGCAAGGCACCAATTCTGCCCGCACAGGCCAGTCCTTCTTCATGTAATGCTGAGCACGGTCCCTACTATCCCACATGCACAGAAAACATGGGTACTTGGTGAAGCCAGACTGTTGTCCCAACAAAAAGTTCACCATCTTCAGGTCAACACAAATAAACCACTTATGCTGATCATAACCAATTTTTTCCAGCACATACTTCACTGCTTCATAGTTCTCCTTCAGTGTACTTGAGTGAGCCAGGGGTATAGAGGCAAACTGGTTGCCGTTGTGTAGCAGAACACATTTCAGTGATCGCTTGCTGCTGTCAATTAACAGTCTCCAATCTTTGGGTTCTTACAGTGGCACTCCAAGCTTGAGCAGAAGCTGCGCAATATCTGCACAGTACACCAAGTCCTTCTCTTCCGAGAAAAAATGGAGGTACTCTTGATGCCTGTTGCGGAAGAAGCTGATGCGAGCACTGTCAGAGAGGAGGTTTTTTCCCTTCAATCTGGATGCCAATAGTTCGGCAGAGTCCTTTGACAAGCTGAGGTCATGAACTAGATCATTCAACTCCTTTTGGGAAAATGGATATGGAGCATCATCTTCAAGAACCACTTCTTCTTTTTCATGTCCTTCAACACTGGAGGCACCTTCGTCACTAATGACAGGAAGTTCTCCGAAGATAGGCACTGGAATTTAATCACAATGAGCTACAGGACAACGTGCTGATTGAAGATCAGGATACTTGAGGCTGCTCCGGTTCTTTCTATTGATCCCAGTCACATCAACAGCACAGAAGTAGCAGTCAGTGACATGGTTTTATGACTTCAAACTGATCCCTTTTCGACATAATCACCCAGAACTATCGGACCTGAATACTTCTTGTCATTAAAATAATCATTTCCAATCAAAACAATTATTTGACATGGCATTTTACCCCCACCAACTTCTTCTAAAATGCTCCACACAAGCATACATGTGCACAAAAATGTAAAAAAATGACATGTGGCCATAACTCAAAAACCTGACCTGATTGAGCAAAACCAATGTGATTTTTGGATTCAGCGCATCAGATTCGTCCTAAATCAACTGAAAAAACGCAGACAAGAAATTTGTTGTTGACCAGTGATCAGATCCATGTTAGTTAAACATGGCCTCCATATATAGCCTTGGGAACACACAGAGTCAAATCCGCTGATCATTATTTGCAAAGCACATCACTTCTTAAAAGACTGAATATAAATCCTACTTATGTAGTAAAGCAGAGATGAATGGGATGCAAGCTGGATTATTCTGCAGCAGGATAATTCTGAAAGATTAATACAAACCAACTAATAACCAACCTGGTCAAGTTGCCCAAGTTGAGGTGCCATCAGAGGTGCTTCAATAGCATGAATGATCCCATTGGAGGCCAGAATATCCCATTCAACTATCACTGAATTATTAATCATCTTACAACCCTGATGCAATAAAAGTGAAGAAAACCAAATTACTAAACCAGTGAATTACAATTTAAAGACTTTAAGGATTGCAAATAAAATTTGCTGCATGTGGTGCAAAGCATTTTACAGAGTCAAATCCATAAAGGTGAAGCTGATTCTGTCATTATTCATATGAGATACTTACAGGAAAGCGGGTGTT